TCAAACTTAGATCGGCCATGTCCCGATATACCTAATCACCACAGTACATCGGCTCTGGCACGGGGGCTCGGCCCCAGTTCGAATGGCGATGAGTTCTCCGGTGGTTCATCAATAGTTACCGAGATATGGCCGCTCAAAGTCTGAGACCTGTCACAAAAGTGATGCACGTATTGGGAGCGCGACTGTGCACCTCCGGCGCGCGGAGCCTCTGCGCTCTGCCTCTGGCCCGGAGCGCCGAAGAAAATTTTGAGACGAAATGCTAAAAGTTGGCGCTCCGAGACGATCAAAGTGGTAAAAGTCGCACTCTCCCCTGACCCGATCAAATCTAAAAGCACCCGAGGCTCCAGAAACCCAACCCTCAGACTATGAAAGCGACCCGAAAATACCCTCTTGTTTTCTGTTTTCTGTTTTTCAACACGACGCCCGCCCGCCCGCCACCCCGAGGCGGCTCGGCCCCCCACTGACCGAGAGATCAAAACGGGACGGCCCTGAGAGGGGACATAATTGCACATGCGACATGGGTCTCATGGCCAGCACATCGGCGTTCGGCCCCACGATCGGCCATCGTCGATCGTGCCGATCGATCTTCGTACACTTCGATGCCGAATGAGGAGAATGTGATTCGTGTCTCGAGGAGCGTCGCCGCCGCCACACTGCTTCTTGAAGGCGGCCACTGCGCGGAATTGGGAATAACGTGCGCACGCCACCCCGTCCCGCGGCGTCCCCCGCGAGCCCGACAAGCGACATTTAAACATTAAGTATGTCACATCAGCACACAACAGCAGTCTTCAGTCAACAGTCATCACAAAAAATGAAGGTCTCACATGCGCGCCGCCGCGAGGCCGTAGGGGCGGGGCATGGGAGGCGCCGCATCGCTCGCCTCCGGGTCTTCCTCCGACCCGGAGAGGTCACTCGTGTGCGCTCGCGTCAACTCGCGGCGAGCGCCGTCGTCGTTCTCGTCGAGGTCCTCCTCTTCCTCCTGCGAGGGGGGCGGGGGCGAGGATGAGGGAGGAAAGACTCCAACGCCAGTGAGGGGCGAGCTGCCGGATGTGTGTCTCACGAGTGTCCCGGGAGTGTCGCCTCCTCGAGCGAGTCGAGGCGCGAGATGCGAGTCGAGGCGCGGGAGACCCTGCCTCGCTCCGGGAACATGAGCTCCGCTGCGGCCGCCTCCACCGCCGCGCGGCCCACCAGCTCGTACAGCCGCTCCAGCGCTTCCGCAGGAGGCAACCTGCGGGGCAAGTCACTCGCGTGTGTCTCTCCCATGCAGCCACTCTCCTCAACGCGCGGTTGTCGCGGCATGTGCGTGTGTCTCGGGCTCACTTTCCAGCGCTCAAGCTGCTGTTGAGCGAGCGCAGCCGCCGGTCGGCCGTGTTGAGAGCGCACCTGGGACGAGGGAGTCAGCAGCGCACTCAAAGCTAGCGGGTGTGCGGCCGGGAGGGCAGGAGAGAGGATATTGGCGAGGCGCGAGCGGCGTGCGAGGTCAGAGCTCACTGGAAGACGAGGTCGCTGCAGCTGACGAGGACTGTGCGGCGCGGCCCGTCCCCCGCCTCGCGGTACTCCTCCCCCGGCAAGCAGTCGGACGGCATGGCCGACGATGTCGCCATGATAGAGGGTGGTGGGACGGCCGAGTTCGCGTTCGCCGAGCAGGCTTGCGCCGGGTTTGCCCTCCGCTCGAGGGCGAGCTCCCAGAAAGGCCTGCTCTTGACGAGCCGCCTGCCGCCCGAGACCGAGGTGCCCACCTGACGCTTGGGCGGCGCGTTCGCCAGGCCCTCCTCACGCGGCGCAGCTTCAATTCCTTCAAAGCATCCCCGGCAGCCTCCATCCCGCCCTCCCTTGTGGTGGTCGTGCGCTGCACGCCGATAGCGTGACGGCCTATTCGAGAGCACTCGGCGTCAGGCTCCGGATGGGGAAATGACAAGCGCAACAGCGGTGAAGGCCGCCGCAGGAAGGCTCGCAGGCGGCTGGGCGGCACGCGAGCCTCGCCGCCGCCGTCGCCTTCGCCTCCCGCGCCGCTGGGTGCGCAGGGCGATCGGCCGTTCAATTGGCCGCCCGTCGGTTTGCAGGGCGATTGGCCGACGAGAGAGGCAACCACGCCGTGCCAGAAGCCCTCGCCGCGGCTGGCGCTGCAAGCAGAGGGCGGCGCGGCGGATCTCTGCCGCGCCAGCCGCCGCTCGGGCGTCAGAAAGCGAGCTCGCTGCCGCCGTTGAGTTTTCGGCGGCTCTTGCGCGGCGGCCGCTTCCAGCGTCGAAGAGTCTGCGGGAGAAGTCGGCTCGGGCGGCGGCGTAGCTGGCGGTGGGCCGTCCGCCGCGAGCGCTGCCTTTGGATCCAAAGGCAGCGGCGTCGTGGGCGGCGTGAGACACGGCGACACCGCTGCAACCACAGTATCGAGCCACGAGCGTTGGATACTCTGAGGCGTCGGCGATGCCGGAGGCTGAGCTGAGCGGGCGGTCCCCGGTCGGCGGCACGCCTCCGCAGCAGCGAGCCTCCAAAAGCTGGCGTCTGCATGCGGCGAGAAGCAGGTCCGCAGCGAAGGCGAGGCGATCGCGGGTGGCGGCGTTGGTGGTGGTGGCGGCGTTGGTGGCGGCGGCTGTGGCGGCGGCGTTGGTGGCGGCGGCTGCAGCCTCGAGTTGCCCTCCGAGCTTAGCGGTGAGAGTGGGACTCGGCGCGCCTTGTTTTCAGGTGAGCCCGGCCCACAGACAGGAGGCGGCGGCGTGACGTGCGGCACGGGCGAGAACATGGCTGCGAGTCCGACGTTCGAGTTCGAAGGCGGATTTAAAAGGCTTACAAGAAATCAAAACGCTTAGAGAGACCGCGGGGGCGGGCGCGAATCCTCGACCGAAGAGAGCTGGCCCCACCTCCCGGGGAGGGGCGGCGTGGCGATCCAATACCGCCACCCTCGCCCGAGGAGTCGGGCACGGGATCGCCGGAGGCGGAGTCAACAGGAGCAGGCAGAGAGGGCGAGACGGCAGCGGGGCCGCGGCCGAAAAAAGCTAGGAGGGGGAGCCGGGCCCCGCATCCGTTGCCCAACCAGCGGAAAGCGAGTGGGGGGAGGCCAAACGGAGAAGCCCCGAGGGATGACGTCGAGTGAGGATGTACGTCGTGTGCGTGTCTGGTGTTTATTAGCTCCGAGTAGAGGGGGCGCTCCGCTGCTAGGGGAAACCTGGAGCGCGGACTAACCCTCGGAGACCCATGTTTTCTTTAAGGCCCTTTCCCTGCGAACGCGCACCCCCTGGGCTAGGGCTCTCTTGCCCGCAACCCGATGCCAATCATCCGGCCCGCTGGGTGCGCTTCTGAGCTCCCCGGCCCTGGAGGATGTGCGGTTAATGACTGCACTCCAAGTGCTCCAAGTGCTTAACGAACCACACAGATACATGTAGCATGATGACCTCCGCCTTCTAGAGCCGTACACCGTCCTCGCACCTCGGTCGTTGCACACGAGTCCGACATGGTTTCAAAAACTTAGCTCAAAAGAAATTCCGGCACCGGCGTGCTCCAAGTGCTGCAAGTGCTGCGAGCCACACACCCGCCTCAATCCTCTCCCACCAGCACCACTCGCATCCTCCCCGCGGTCCTCCGTCGGCCGCGCCACACTTCACAACAACCCGCCTGCAGCAATCAGCGATCCCGCCCAGATCACGTTGTGCGACACCGCGACCAGCCCGAGTTGCGCGCCCCTCCGCCGCGCGAGCCTCCGCCGCGCGACCTGCGCCTCCCAGTCGCGCATCTCGTCGGGGCCCGCGACTAGCCTCACGCCCCCGGCGCCTCCAGCCTCGGCGGGCGAGGGGCGGAGCCTCAGCGGCGGCTCCATGCTCGCGCACCTATAGGATGGATCCACTTCCCTCGCGGGCTGCTCCTCCGGCCTCCTGCGGCGGCGGCGTCCTCGCGCACAGCCGCAGCAGCTGCTCGCTCCTCGCGTCGTCGACGTACAGCTCGACCCGGCGCGGGACCACCCCCGAGGCGGGGGGCGGGTGCGGTCTCACCAGCTGCGGCTCGGCAGAGGGCAGAGGCGGTGCGGGGCCGTCGGCATCGTCCACCCCTTGCGACAGCTGATGGAAGAAGTGGAGGGTGCCCACCTGCGGCGGGCCACCTCGTCCTTCAGAGCTGGTCCTCTTCAGAGCTGGTCCTCCCTCGCGCGGGAGTGAGAGGGCAGAGGTGCTCACCTGAGCCACCCCCTCCGGCAAGCCGCGGAGGTCGAGCGACCGCTGGGAGGAGGACGAGGAGGAGCCCAGCCCGCGCTCGTCAAGCTGCCACAGCCCGCGCCGCTCCGCCTCGCAAAAGAGCTTGTCAGCAGCGGCCACCCTCTCCGCCTCGAACTCAGCCGCCATCAGAGCGCCTAGTGCGCAAGACCGCCCGACGTCGCTCGAGCCTCGGCCGAAGCTCGCCCAGACGCAGCCGTGTTCAGAGCGCCGACGGCGACGGGCGGCATCGCGCGCCGGACCTCCTCCCCGTGCGCCGCGAGTGCGCGCGCGCCGCCCAAGTTTCCCTCTCGCAGGCACTGCAGCACCAGCGCCCCGCGCTGCTCCGACTCTGTGATTAGCAGCCGACCGCCCGCCGCCCCCGCCGCCGCTGCCGCCGACCCCGCCGCCGCTGCCGCCGCTGCCGCCGACCCCGCTGCCGCTGCCGCCGCCGCCGCCGCCGACGGCGGCGGCGGCGGTAGCGGCGGCGCGTGCGCATCGATGTGCGCCTCGATCTCCTGCGCCACAAGTCACCGAGATGAAGCCGAGAGCGAGAGACGAGAGGGGGCCGAGATGAAGCCGAGAGGGAGAGGGAGCCGAGGTGAAGCCGAGCTGCAGCTTCGCGCTCCTGCATCACCGCCACCGCCTCGAACGGCGCCGCCGAGCAGCGCGCGGCGGCGGCGATGAGCGAAGAGATGGCTGGTCCGCCGCCGCGCAGCCGCAAGCCGCGCCTGAGGAGGAGTCGATTCACGTTGATCATGCGGGCTCGGCCCCAGCCGGCGAGGCCGCGTAGCCGCGAGGGGCTGCCTTCGGAGCCGGCGGCAGAGGGAGATGGCGGCCTCGGTCTCGCTCGCGTCGGCGAGCGCGCGAACGAGCGCAGTCAGTGCCCTGCTCTCCGGCACCACACCGTCCGAGAGGCACTTGTCGCAGGCAGACAGCGCGCGCTCGGTCTGCCCGAGCCGCAGTCGCCCGAGGATGAGGGCGGTGTAGAGCGCGGCGTCGGGGCGGACGCCGCGCTTCCGCATCAGCCCGCCAGCCGCGAGCAGCGCGTCGTCGTCGCCGCAGCTCACCGCCGCCTCAATCAGAGGCACGAACGCGGCAGTCGACGGCTCGCGCGCCGCTGTAAGCCAGCGGAGGGTCGCGTCGATGCCTCCGTCGTTGAGGACGAGCTCGGAGAGCTCCGCGTCGAGGGAGGAGGAGGAGGCGCCCTTCCGCGACGCGGCGGCCGCCGCCGCTGTCGCCGCCGCCACCTCGCCCCTTGCTCCGCCGCCGGAGTCGTCGTGGACGGCGATCCGGGCGAGTGCCGCGTACCGTGGGCCCGAGAGACGCTCGCCCGAGGCGAGGACCGCGCGGGCCAGCGCGCCCATGGCCCCGCGAGCATTCCGCATCACCGAGGGCTTGCTTGCGTTGCGGCTGCGGAGAGGGCGCAGAACCCGGTCCGCTGTCGCCCCCGCGAAGTGTGTCCTTGTTGTCCTTTGGCCGTTGGGTACGCCGCGCCACCAAGGGACCCCGTTCCACCAAGAACCTCAGTATCCTCTCAAAGGCCTCCCATGTGGCATCCGTCTCGGACAGCTCACGGTACGCCCTCGAGGTCCGGAAGAGAGTCCGAGTCGGCCGAGTCAGCCCGGTGAAGTCTCCAGCGACCAGCCTCATCTGACCGCTTGATACGCTCTCGTCTCTCGACCCAGGAGGCCATTTGCGTGTGCCCACGCGAGGTGCGGGTCGCCTGCCGGGGAGCGAGGACGGGCTGAGCATCTGCGTACTGAACGGGACGCGCCGGCCGCCCTGCCTCTCTGCCTTTGCCACCCTCGTATCCTAGTCGTCGCCGTCCGGCCGAACCCACACGCCACGCAAGAAGTTCCATTCGCATGCATGGAACGCCAGAGACGGTCGGGGCTCTGGCTCGGGGCCTGGGAGTGCCGCCGGCAGCACGCACAGCGTTCAATGCTGCCGCCGCTCCGTCCGTGCCGACGACATTGGTTGTAGAATCTTAAAATACAACCCTCTCTCACAGCAGAAGGAGGCAGATGGCCAATAGCCACGAGCGTTACGAAATGTTGCGGGACCGCGAGCGTAAAAAGTCTGTTAATGCTAATGCGAGACAGGCAGGATTTCCTGCGCCTGTCGAACCCTTAACGTGTGCGCGATGCGCCCTCTCCCGAGCGAGTCCCGTTCCCGGTGCCCTTCCGTGCCCTACCCCCCTGCCTGGGTGGGAACGTCCTTCCAACGACGGTGTCGCTGCGGCGGTGTGTGTGCGCGCCTGTGTGTATGGATAAGAGTTTTGCCAGCCGCTGTGCCAGATCTCCTCGAATCAGCCTTCGTTCGAGACGTGCGAACCTGCCGCCTGCGCCCCGTCCCCGTCGCGAGCGGCGCGGCCGCGCGGCCGAATGCGCTGTGCAGAGTGCAACGTGCTGTGCAGGCGCCCACATCCTGGCCCTATCTCCGCAACGTATATGTATTACAAGGCAGGTCACACGACTCGAGAATATGCGGCACGGCACAGGGAGTCACAAGACCGTTAGAGGTTGCAAGAGGCCCCGAGAGGCCCCGAGAGGGCCAAACACCAAACGGTCAACGCCGCAAGCCATGGAGCCGCTACGGCTCTAAGCGCTATCCTCCGAGTCGGACAGTAGCCAGGCGTGCGACGCGAGCACTGGCGTCGGAACAAGTAGCACGTCGTCGAAACCAGCCTCGAGCACCTGCTCACGATGGACGTTGGCGGCGTTGTGCGAGACAGCGACGACACGTGCACGGGCTGCGCCCTCATGCGCCTCCCAGGTTCGGAACTGGCGAACCAGCGTTGCATCGATCCTCAGCAGATCCACCAACGCGAGAGTGAACTCGTGCGTCGAGGTCAAAAGGCGAAGCCCCGCTGCGCCGTCAGACGCAACGACGACGCTGCCGCGAGCGACTCGGAGAACAGCGGAGAGCTTGCTGGCAAGGTCGTCGTCGCCAACAACCAGTACGCGACTTTCCCAGTATATAGAGCCGGCCGGCGCATGTTCCTCGTCGAACTGGAAGACCTGAGGCGTCATAGGAATCTACAATGTATGCATGACGAGGATTGGGGGGGTACCGTGCTTCGTCGTTGCACAAAATGAGAAAAAATCTTTTTTTTTGAGAGCGCCTTCGTTGTTAATAGTACAAACCCAATGGTCCTCTGCGAGTGGTTTTCCACAGTGAGAAACTCCGAGAGTCGGCGTCTGGCGCGCCGCTAAGGTTTTTTTGCTCGCGTTTTCCTATTCCAATAGCATGTGTGCATGACCCCGCTTGTTGCGTGTCTGTGACTGTCACTGTCGGGGGGATTTTTAGAACTCACTGTGCTGTCGTGCGATTTCGGGCCCGGGGGGTTGTGCTTGGGTGTGAGACGAACGTCACAGGCGAGAAGCCTCACACACAAGCTCACAACCTGCTCCCTTTTTACATCCTCTACCCCCTGCTGACACTGACCCCCTCCATTGTGATTTTCCTCCATTGTGATTCGTGTCACACCTAGCCGCCTGGCATGGGCGACTGGTCGATCGTCGCAAACTCGTCGCGCGAGATGCACCCCGACTCGTCGAGGTCGAGAGTCCGCAGTACCTGAGGACGCGTGGTGCCGTCGCGCCGTGGGCGTGCCTAGACCAAAGGACCCACCGCGCACACCATCTGTCGTCAGCTGTGTTTGCTGTATCTGGTCGCGTCTCGGCTACATCTCGCGTTCGAGACGAGGAAGGGGGACGGCTCTGCGCCGAGCGCCTGTCGCAGCGCAATGCGGATCTCGCCCTCCGAGATCTCGCCGTCGCCTGTTGACGGACCAACCTGTGGAGAGACGCTGCTCACAGATCTCGCCCTTCGAGATGCCGCCGTCTCGCCGTCGAGGTCGAGCGCCTCGAACGAGCCCAGCCGCCTCCACATCCGCTTCGCCTGGTGCATGACGACCACGTTCAGCGCGGGCAGAAAGTTGTCCTCGTCGGGCAGCTCCTCGGCGTGCAACTACAGGCGAGAGGCAGCCAGATCCTCTTCACGCGAGTGTGGAGAGGCGGCCCTCGCCACGGGCGTCGCGCGCCTTCCCAAACTCCACCAGCGGCAGGATCTTGAAGGCGCCCTTCATCAGGTTCCGCGGCAGCGCCACCGAGTAGCTCGCCGATGGCTCGAGCGGCTTGCCTCCGATGCGGATCTCGCCCGCCATGACTCCGCCCTCGCCGATGCGAACCTCCACAGAGTCATCCAGCTGCAGGAAGGCGCGGTTCTCCTCGCTCGGCGCCTCCTCGGTGGGCAGCCGCGAGGCGAGGACGGCATCCCGCAGCGTCGCGCCGGGCATCTGCACCACCACCATCTTGGTTGGGAAGGGCAGCTCCTGCTTGAGCTGCAGGTACGAGATCTTGCCGTCGGGGTACTCGACGTTCCCCTTGATGGTGCCCCCGTTGATCATCGCAACCTCCGTGCCGAGGCAGTCACGCACGCATGAGGTGAGGAGCGCGCCCACCGTCGTCTGCTCGAATCGCGTGCGCTTGGAGGAGAGGGCCGCCTGCTGCCGCTCGAGCACCTCCGAGTCCTTGAGCGAGCACATGGGCTCCTTCTCGAGCGCGCGGATCACCGCCAGGTGAGAGTCGACCTCCGCCTGCACCTCGGGGTCGGCTGCGAAACCCTCGACCGGCTCGAAGGCGACGCTTGCAGTCAGCGCTCGGCTCGGCCCGAGCTCGATGTCGAGGACGGCGGCGATTTTCGCGTCCGAGCCCGACTTGATGATTGGCGCGCCGCCCTCTGGCCGCACCTCCATCACCTCGTGGTCATGGCCACCGAGGATCAGGTCGACGGAGCCGCTCTTGGCGAGCTCCACGTCTGCGCCTGAGAGGGTCGCGCCGCGCACGCGTCACGCGCATGTCGCGGAGGCGCCGCTCCTGACGCTCGACGCCCTCACCGACCGTCTGGTGCGTCAGTGCGATGACGTGGGTGGCCGCGTGCTCGGAGCGGAGCAGGGCGGCCAGCCGCTCGGCCATCGCGCCGACCGGCTCGATGGCGAGGCCGCGCATCTTGTCCTTTCGGAAGATGCCGCGCTCGCTCGTGAGCAGACCGAGCACCCCGATCCGGTAGGGGCCGACCTCGACCACGTCCCAGAGAGGCAGCTGCGGCTTGAAGCCCTGCGGCCCGCAGAGGCGTCGGTCTCCCTTTGATCTCCTCTCAATCGCAGCGCAAGCTCGGCGTGATCTCGGCGCGTCTCGGCGCAATCTCGGCTCGCCTCCGGCCCGCCAAGCCGGCGAGAGGCTGACGCATAGGCCTCGTTAAAGCCGGGTACATTGCTGTTGATCCAACAGCCGCCGAACTCGGAGATGCGCCTGCGTGAGGCGACGGCGGGGCCCCGAGGTAACCGCTCACATATGCGGAGCCGCCGCTCACGTCTCTCGTGGGCACCACTGAGTTGGCCTGCCGGCACGCGGCGACTTGGCCTTCTGTGGGGCTCTTGTGTCAGCAGAGCGGGCGCCGCCGTGCGGCTCAAGGGCCATGCTCCAGTCCTCTAGGATTGCTCACAGGGCGACGTCTTCGAGCTGGAAGTCCGCCTCGTGGTTGCCAAAGCACGCGTGCGTCACCGGGAGGCAGTTGAGCGTTGCGATCATGCTCGAGCCCTGGTCCATGCCGGAGAGGATGCTGGGAGAGAGAAAGTCGCCCGCCTGTAACCCGAGCGCACGAGGGTTGACGCGGCAACCACGCAGCGGTCGGCCGGGCGGCGGCCGCCACCACACCAGCGAGACGATTTGCGGCTTGCGCTCATTGATCAGCGACTTGAGCCGAGGCAGCGCGTGAAGCTCGTAGACGTCGTTGATTGCGACGACGCGCAGGCTCGAGGAGTAGCGGGCGGTGCGTCGCAGCAGCCAGATGGAAGAGCAGCCGGCAGGTCGGCAGAAGGACGTGCGCATTGTCCCGTCCGGGGTGCATCATTCACAAAAAGTGAGGGAAAACAAGTAAAATGTCCTCCGGAGGCCACCGACGGTTCGGTCTCCACCCGGCGGGCCCCGATTCTTGCTTGATTTTTTTCTTCTCGCTCTGGTAGCATCGGGTCGTAATAGCCGAAGGCGCGGTCGTGTCACGACTGCGTACCAACAACAACGCACACACTGACCTGGTGCGATATGCTGGGCTCTGTATCCGCCAAGCTGGCTATGCTGGATAGCGCCGTTCAGTCGCTCGGGCCCTTTGCCGCGCCCGTGTACGCGCTGACCCTCGTCGTCTCCGGGATGATTCCGCTGCCGGCGTTCAACGTCCTCGTCCTTGGCGCTGGCTCCCTCTTTGGCGTGACGCTCGGCTTCGGCGTCGTCTATCCCGCCGCGCTGGCCGGCGCATCCCTCGGCTTCTTCCTCGGCCGTCGCATGCCAGCGTCACTGCGCCGGCGCATACCGCAGAAGCTCACGATGCTGCAAGGCGCGCTCGCCGACGGCGGCTTTACGACGCTGCTGCTGCTGCGGCTCACGCCGCTGCCGTTCGCGCCGAGCAACCTATTCCTGGGCTCCATCCCCGCCGTGCCCTTCGGCACATACATCGCCGCCACCGCCCTCGGCTTCCTCCGCCTCTGCGTCAACGTCCTCATCGGCTCTCGCGTTCGCGGCATGATTGACGGTGAGGGCACCGCCTTGGAGCAGGGCCTTGTCGCGGGCGGGGCGCTCACCTTCGCCCTCGCCCTGGGCAATATCTGCCGCATGCTGCTCAAGCGCAAGGCTGCAGAGAGCAAGCAGGAGGAGTAAACACGACCCAATTTCAGGGGCGCCCTGTTGTTATTGTCTTCTCTCTCTCTCTCAGTGTATGTGTCTCGTTCTACATTCCCGGAGGAGGACGTCTGTGTGTCAATCCGACTAAGATGAAGATGACGTCCGGACTCTCACGTCTCACGACGTTACGGAACTGCGCCCGACACAATGCCGCCCGCGTCCCTGCCATCACCGCTGGATTCGGAGGACGGCAGGTCGCCGCAGCGTCGCGGCGGGTCGTCGGCTGGGGCGCGGCGCGGCTCCGCCGCTGCGACCCCTCCGCTTGCCCCTCCCTCGCCCGCGGCGGCGGCTGTGGACGGGGCCGCTGTTGCTGCAGAGCTCCACGCAGAGCGTGTGGAGAACGAGCGGCTGCGAGCGGAGTCGCGGCGGCAGGGGGAGTGGGCGCGGCGGCGCGAGGAGCGGTACGAGCGCGAGCTCGAGCGGCTACGCGCCGAGCTCGACCAGCAGCAGGTCCAAGCGGCACAAAACAACGATACACGCTCGCACACTTGCCTTCACCCACACACACCCAACACGCACGCTGCGTAAATATTGTGAACGTCTGCCTTACCACACCTTAGGCTGACCGGCAGGGCGCTGGGGCAGGCATCGAGACGCTTCGCTCGACGCACCGACGGGTGCTCGATGGGGTGGCCTCGCTCAAGCAGCGGACCGCGAGCGTTCTTGCCGAGCAGGAGCGCGACTTGCTCCGCGCATTTCGTGCGCGGCTGTACGACGTGCAGCTCGAGCTCGAGAGGGAGCGGTCCAAGAAGGACGACGGCGCAGTAGAGTGGATTGAACGGAGCCGCTCGCTTGGCAAGGAGCGACGCGCCCACCCTCCGCCCAGCGCCCTCTCCGCCCGCCTCTCCTCCACACTCTTCGATTGCTCTCGCCACTGCATATCCCGCTTCGGGACCGGAGGGAGCTTGGTTGGTCGCGCTAGCACTGCCTCTTCTCCTTCTACTGCGAATAGGAGCTTGACTGGTCGCGCGAGGAGGCGCTGCGGCTCGATCGAGTCAATCAGCAGCTACAGTCCGAGGCGAGCCGTCTCAAGGCGCAGCTCCGCTCGCAGGAGAAGGACCATGAGCTTCTCGTGCGCCAACGCCTCGGTAGGAGCAGGCACTAAGCCGTGGGTGGCGTGTCCTCACAGCTCTTGTCACGAATAGGTTCGCCAGAGCCTCGCCGTCAAGAAGGAAAATGCGAGGCTCCGTCAAGAGCTAGAGGAGCTCTCGGGCGCCGCGGGTGAGGCTGCGGCGGCTGCGGCGGCGGCGGAGGCGGCGGAGGCAGAGGCTGCGGGAAGTAGCCTAGTGCACGCAGAGGCCGCCTCTCCTTCGCGCCCCTCCTCGTCTTGGGGCGGTGGCGTCGCCCCCGCGGCCACGGAGGGTGAGACGGATGCCGCATCGAGTCGGCGACTCAAGGAGCTCGTGCAGAGGCAGGCCGAGGCGGAGGCGAGGTACCGCGGTGAGCGCTCCTGTGTCTCCCGACACGCTCGTTGCCACGTCTCCCCACTCTACATCCGGCCCAACCCACCCCCGCCCCCGGCCCCGCTCCAACCCCACACCCCACCTGCACCTCCGCCGCAGAGATGACTGCAAAACTAAAGCGGCTACTCGAGGCGAGCAGCTCTTCACGCCATCCTTCTTCACACGTGTAAATTCACACCGCACTCACTTCTACTCAAGGTGGAGCGCCGCAACTTGCGGGCCGTCCGCACGGCACACGCGCGAGACTTGCAGGCGTTCCCTCCGCGGAGCTGTGTGTGGGACCGGGGGCCCGTCTCGCTAGAGTTCACCTCGTTCTCATTTTACTCAGGCGCGCACCGAGCTCGAGGGTTTGCTTCGCGCCTGCGCAGAGGACGTGCGACGCGAGATCTCGGCGCACCGGTCGGGCGAGCGTGCGGGCGGCGCGGGCAGGCAGGAGACCTAGATGCTGAGAGACGACACTGTATCGTTGTACCTTGTACCCTCGAGACCATGTTTCGTACTCACGGTGTCTGCCACGGTATTCGTCATGTACCCTCGAGGGACGTAGTGATGCCTCTGGGCTGGCATCGCAGGCCGGGTTCCGGCCGCGAGGTGGCGGTCGCTTCCTTCTCGCCTGGCGACCGCGAACGGGTCCTCGAGCTGCTGCTGTCGCAGGCGCGACGATAGATGTGTCCCGGCTGGATGAGTTAGGGAAGGAAGCATGAGCCGCCCTCTCCGCACCCCGTCGCAGGAACGGGTGGTCGCTCTGCTATACGACAAGGCCTTCCCCCCGCGGCACCCGCAGGGGGCGCTCGAGGCGGTGACAGCGACGTCGGCCGGTGGCGAGCGCTCTCCGCCATGCTCGCCCGTGCGAGGCTGAGAGATCCTGCAGGTGAAGGCGCCAACCATTGCCGTTCTTTCCGGTTTGTTTGTTTTTGTCTAATGGGCCAGCCTCGACTTTTGACAAAGCCACGACGTATGAGAGGGCACATATTGAGAGAGCTGGTCAGAGAGAGGTGTGAGACACGAAATGTCGAATCGAGCCACCCTCTTCTTGCGTATCGCGTTCAGAGCACGGTGGGTCGGTGGGTCGGTGGAGAGAGCTGCTAGTAGCAAGAGACAGACCGGGGGCAGTAGAAGAGACAGACCGCGGGCAGTAGAAAAGACAGAGCCGCAGAAGGAAGGCTGGCCTCGAGTTTTATTCCGGGGGCTTGCGAGCGTCTGATGCCGGTGAACGCTGTCCTGAAGTCGCTCGTAAAGAAGCCTGCCTTGCCGTGCCCGGCCGGTAGAGAGATGCCTTGCCGTAGCTTCGCCCACTCGCCGCCTCTCCCACTCGCTCGACCGCAGGCCAAAAACGCCCTCGCCAACCTCCTCGCCGCTCAGCCCGAGGCGGGTATCGCAAAGAAGAAGGACGTTGTCGCGTTCGAGCGGCTGCTGACGGAGGTGGCCAAGCGCGCCGCCGAGGCGGATCAGGCACAGACGCTGCTCTCCGACAAGGCGCGCGCGCGCCGATTTCCCCACCGCGGTCTAGGCTCTGCATCTCCTCGCCTCGGCCCTCGCCCCGTGCAGGTCTTCGACAACCTCTTCACCTACCTCTCCGACAACGTGACGCTGTGGGCGCCCTCGGAGAGCGCCAAGGCGCTCGATCCGGACGATGGCCTCCTCTACAGCACGCTCGACGTCCTCCTCAGCGCATCGGACTCGCTGCCCGTCCCTCTGGCCGAGGCGTGTGTAGAGCATCTGCACTCGCTGGCGCGCACCTCGCACGCCGCTCCGGACCGCCACGTCGGCGCTCGCTGCTCTCACCTCACGCCTCCCCCGTCGACACAGGTCGACATCGTCATGTCCACCGACCTGCACCCGGAGGCGCAGGAGCTGTCGGCCGACCTGATCAACCGTGCGCTGTCCGCCCACGCGTCCCTCGGCCTCCGCCCCTGCGCCCGCTCGAATGCGCGAGCCTCCTCGCCTCTCTGCCCTGCAGATGCCCTCCGCCCCTGCGCCCGCTCGAATGCGCGAGCCTCCTCGCCTCTCTGCCCTGCAGATGCCCTCCGCCCCTGCGCCCGATGCCCTCCGCCCTGCGCCCGCTCGAATGCGCGAGCCTCCTCGCCTCTCTGCCCTGCAGATGCCCTCCGCCCCTGCGCCCGATGCCCTCCGCCCTGCGCCCGCTCGAATGCGCGAGCCTCCTCGCCTCTCTGCCCTGCAGATGCCATGCGCGAACAGACCAAGGCGTGCAAGGCCAAGTTCCACGCCGACGCGGGCGAAGACTCCTCGTGCGCCGCGCTGCTTCAGGGAGCGGAGGGGGTGCTGATGCGCGCCGCCTCGCTCGGTCTGCAGCTTCGGCTCGTCGACCTTCTCGTCAGTCTTGGCAAGCGGGCGCGAGACGTCATCGGTGGGCTCTTTGGCTCGCAGTTCGCCCTCGGCCACGGCCCTGAGTTTGTGCAGACCGCCTTCCGCTGTCTGAGCGCCTTCAACGCTGCTCACTCGACGGCGGTCACTCCCGTCACGGCGCGCATCTCGTCAGCGTTCGGCTGCCGCATCAAGGGCGCCAGCGGCGGGGCGTCGTGCGAGGTTTTCTTTGGCAATCGAGGCGCGATCGAAGTCTTGGCGCAGGAGGGCGGGCCACTCTTCGAGGCGCAGCAGGCGCAGCACGGCCCGCCCCTCAAGTTCCGCCTGAGCGGCGTGGCGTTCGATCAGCCAGGCACGCTCACGCTGAATGTGGACATGGCCAAGGTGAGGGACCTGTTTGACGATCGCGCCGCCAACGGCACACTGCGGCTCGTCCTCTCCGGGGCGGACGCGGAGCGCCTGCGGTCACGCGTGCTGCCGGTGCTCCCGGCCAAGCTGCTAACCGAAACTGCCGGTGGAGAGCCCAAGGCGAAGCCGCGGCAATCGCTTCCGTCTCGCGCAAAGAAGGACGTGCCTTCCTTCCCGTCGTTTGACAAGTGCGTGCAGCTCAAGGCCGCCAAGGAGGCCGCCGCCCCAACGGCCGCCAAGGAGGTCGCCGCCGGAAAGGGCGGCGGCAGCAAGGCGGCGCCGCGGAAGAAGCAGCCGCCCACTCGACCCAAGTCGGGCGCTGTTGCCGCAGCCATCGGGGAGCAGGAGCGTCGGCGAAGCGCCGACCTCGCAGCCGCCCGCGCGCAGAGTGAGGCGCGGTCGCGGCGGGCGGGCCTGGGCGGCGGCGAGGACGAGAACGAGGACGATGAGGGGCGCGCCGGAGTGCCGCCGCCGCAGGCGGAGGAGGAGAACGGGGAGGGCGAGGAGGAGGAGGAGGAGGAGGAGGGGGAGGGGGAGGGGGAGGAGGAGGAGGAGGAGGAGGAGGTGGAGGACGAGGACGGGGAGGGGGAGGAGGAGGAGGAGGACGACGACGACGACGACGAGGACGGGGAGTGGGAGCCAGGCAACACACAGGAGCCGCCCGCAGCAAAGGGCCGGCGTGCGCCAGATGCCGCGCACGGAGGACGAGGCCGTGCAAAGGTCCGCCGCACCCGCGCCCGCAGCCCCCACATGTCACTCGCAGCGTCGTGCAGCCGCACACACGCACGCCACTCTCTCCGCGCTGCGCCCTCTAGGCAGCCGAGAGCGCCACCTCCGACTACAAGAAGCTCAAGGTGGCCGAGCTCAAGGAGCTGCTGGCCGCGCGGGACCTCAAGCTGAGCGGTAAGAAGGACGACCTCATCGCCCGACTCGAGGCAGCGGATCGGCTGTCGGCGACGCCGCCGCCGCCCGCCGCGCCACCCATCGCACGCAAGGTCAAGGCTTCCGCCGCGGCGTCGCACTCGGCGGCCGAATTCGAGTCGTGGAGCAAGGCGACCACATCCTCGCCTCACAGCCTCGACGCCGTGCCTATCCCTCTATTCCCACACCATCCGTTCCTCTCCACGCCCCTCGATCACACCCTCCACGACCTTCCCCGTCGTCGCCTCTACTGCCTCCCCACCACGGCGCCGCCCCCGAGCCCCACCAGGTGCAGGACTACAAGGCGGAGCAGCAGCTCTCGACGGAGGACATACACGACTTGGCAAGGCAGGTGTGCACTTCCAGACGATGGGGGGGGGGGGGGGGGGCACTGGAGAGGGACACGGACGCGTCGTGACGTGACCGTGACGTCCGGCCCCCTCTAGGCCAAGCGCGCCAGCCGCGCGCGGGCCGAGGAGGAGGAGCTGTCGGCATCGGAGGAGGCGGACAGTGAGGAGGCGGAGGTGCCTGTGGCGAAGCGTCGCCCGGCCCGCGAGGCGATATGAATACATACCTCACATACACCTCTCACACTCTCTCAACTGCACGATGCCTTCTGCATTGTGAATGCACTGGGGCTCTCTGTATTCGTGCGTAGAGTCGAGGAGGATAGCCCAGAGCCATCGCCCCGCACCGGCGCATTGATTGACCGCACCGCACCTCCTGCAGAGCCCCGGGAGGACGCTCGACGAGATCAAGCAGCAGCTGATGGTCCTCGAGCAGCTGGGGCAGGACCAGGCGCGCGAGACCCCGCCCGCCCGCGCACCTCTCCGGCACACACGCGGCGCTCTGTCCTCTGAGGGGGGGCGAACTTGCGCGCGGGGCTGCACGGGCGGGCGCACCTCCAAGGGCCGTGCGTCGGTCTCCGACTCTGCGCACTCTTGCTCGCGCTCAGGCGCGCGCCTCCGGCAAGAGCACGGCGCAGCAGGCGTGGCGCTCGCTCGAAAAGGAGGGCAAGACCTCCTCCGAGGCCGTCGACACCGCGATGGGGAGGCAACGAGCAAGCACCTCTTGTGCCCCTGGACTGCCGTCCCCTCCCCTCCTCACGCTCCCGCCGCCCTTACTCCGGATAGCCAAGAAGTTCAAGAGCTGCTCAAGAAGGTCGTGGAGCTCAAGAAGGCGTCTGCTCGGGCAACGTCGTGCGCATCAACCGGAGCCTTCCTAGATCCTTCGTGGGTCCGTCTTGTAGGCGTACGACGAGCACAAGGGCGAAAAAAGACAGACGCTGCTGCAGACGTGTGGCGAGTGCGAGGCCGTGCGCGAGCATGCTGAAAGCAAAGGCAACGCGGCGGTCCTCGAGCTCCAGCAGGAGGGGGAGTCGGTCACCCGAAAGGTGCACTCAGCTGCCCTTCCCTCTTGTACCCGCGCGCCCTCCCTCACAGCCGCAGGCCGCCACCGCACACTGGCCCGCCGCCAAGAGCTATCTCTCCACCACCGCAGTCTGCACCGCACGCCGCGACGAAGCGCCTCCCCTCGCCCGTGCTTCAGGTGGCCGCGCGGGCGGCGCGGTACGATGAGGAGATCGCGCAAGACAACGAGAGGCGCCGGCGCCCGCCACACACGTCCTACGGCCCGCCCACCGCCACCTCACACAGACCCCCCGCCTTGCTGCGGCACTCCTCAAGCGCCTCCCTCAAAAGAGGGGAGAGCTGGAGAGGAGCTGAGGGCGCCCCGGCCGCGTGCTGGCGTCGAGGGCCAGGAGACGCGCCGCTCGTCACACCTGTGCGCGCGCCCCGTTTGCAACACAGTCGCGTGGCGAAGATCGCCAAGCAGAAGAAGAGGCGGGGCCCGCCCGACCCGGGCGCCATCCTCCGGCAGCTCAAGCTGTCCAAGAAGCTCTCCTCCAACGTGATGGTCTCGTTCAGCGGCGACGAGGGCGAGGAGGAGGAGCCTTGAGCCCTGTGCGAGAGGGGCGAGAGGCGCGCCGGTCAGGCAGGGCGGGCCAGCACGGTCTTGCGTGTGCGCAGTCTGTGTGTGGCGACGACCCGCGGCACGGAATGTGGGGAGGGGGCAGCGACAGGGAAAAGGCTTGGGGCGGGGCTGACTCCGTAGGAGGGGCCCGGCGTGCGGTTATGTTGTGTGACTCTGTGGACGGGCACGGGCGCCAGCGGCATGAAGAGTGCTGCATCGGAGAGCGCGCGGGGGGGCGACGACGCGTGAGGAAGTCGGGAAGGCTCTCTCTCTGAGAGACTGAGAGGCGTGAGGGGGGCGGGGAGGGTGCAGGCCGAGCCGACAGCGAAACGCTGATCGCTGATGCAGGGAGTGGGCCGTACACGCGGCTCGCGGGTCCAGCGCGCGATCGTGGTGTGCCGTGTGTCGCCTCGCGTCGGACTCTTCGACTTGTGGAGTGTGCGTGTGTCGCTTGTGGTAATATAACTCGACTTTTGCAGAACGGTCCGTTGCCTCGGTATGTAACCAATCCCGAAAACCGCACACCGCGTCCTCGGCGTCGGCGCTCTCCACACAAACGTTTCAAACCACAAAAGTGTACGATCGGAGACAAATTATTCAACACGCTCAAAGCTCCTCCTTTTCGTTCGCGGGCGGCGGCGCCGATCGGGCGCAGCGGATGCCGAGGTTGGACGTGCCTACAGTCAGGGCAAGCGGCGCGCGTGAGGCGTCTTCGGCGACGAACGCCGGCGGGTGCGTGCAGAGGAGTGGCGCGCCCGTGTCCTCGGTGTTTTGCGAGCGCGCGGTGACGCGGTAGCGGAAGCAGTACGAGGCGTGGCAGAGGAAGGAGCCGCCCTTCTTGACGCGGTCGGGCACCGCGCCCTGCGCCCCGGCTGGCCGGCCCGGCCCGCGCGGGTCCTTGAGCACCTTCTTGCTGCGCCTTTTGGACGTGTCATGGACGGTTCACGGACGTGCCCTGGTCGGGCCTTGCGCGGCTCCTGGCTGCGCCTGTGGCGCGTCGTCCAGTAGTCGCGCGTCCACTCCCACACGTTGCCAATCACGTGGTGCAAGCCTGCGGGATGTCGAGGGGAGGGGCGAGAGGGTGAGGGGCGAGAGGGGCAAGGGGTGGCCAGGTCTCGGCTCATCTCGAACTCATCTCGGCTCATCTCGGCTCATCTCGGCTCATCTCGGCTCATCTCGAGCTCATCTCGGCCGGTCTCGGCGCCACCGTGCTCATTCTGCGGCTCGAACGAGTCCACCGGAGAGGTGAAGGTCCACCCGTCCTCCGCGCTGTTCTTGGTCGGGAAGTGGCCTTGCCAGATGTTTGCTCGGTGGCCGGCTGCCGGCTCGAGCTCGTCGCCCCACGGGTAGGACCGCTCCTGCTCACAGGGCTGGAGGGGGTGGAGACTCGCCGGGCACGCCTCGAGCCCCTCCCACGCGCCGCAGCCCGGCACCGCGTCTGCCGGAGCCCCTCGCGCCGCCAGCTCCCACTCCGCCTCGGTGGGCAGACGCCTAGCTCTCGGGCGAGCTCGGGTGAGCTCGGGTGAGCTCGGGTGAGCTCCCGCCCCGCGTCGGAGGGAGGCCGCCCCGCCCCCACGCCGCCGCCGCCCGCGGGGTACGCCCACGCGCAGTACGCCACCGCGTCGTTCCACGACACGTGCACGACCGGGTGGTGCCGCAGCTCGTCGGTCAGCGCGTCCGAACCGGGGCCGTGCGGCTGGCGCCAGGTCGCACCTGTCGGTTGAGAGTGGACGGACTCACTCCGAGTCCACCCCCGTCCCTCTCCCCTCTCTCCCGGCTGCAGCTCGCCGTTGACGGCGATCCACCACGGCGCCACCTCCACCTTTTGCGTCGCCTCTGCGGCCGCCTGCGCCGTCATCTGCGGCTCAAAGACGAAGGACCTGTTCACAGCGTGCGGCGTGAAGAGACGCCCACACGTCGTCCTGCGGCTCCGAGGCGAGAGGACCAGCCGAACCGCTCCGACTCGCTCTCGTACCCGGTCGCGGCTGCGAACGCCGCCCACTCCCGGTTGGACACCTCCGTCTTCCCGACCCACAAGCCAGAGACAGAGACGCGCCGCGAGGGGCCCTCGCCGTCGGGGTCAAAGGTGGAGGGCGAGAGCGAGCGGTTGTCGTGGCCCATCGTGAAGACGCCGCCCGGGATCCAAACCAGCCGCGCGGGCTCCACAGTTGGCGCCGCGTCCGCCTCTGCCTCAGCCGCCGCCGTCGCGTCCGCGTCCGCCTCTGCTGCGTCCGCGGCGCCCTCAGAGGAGTGACTCGACGCGGCGGCGTTCGACCCGTCGGCCGACCCGCCGGGCCGCGCGCCTTCCCGCCCACTGCCACCGCCCGCCTCGCGGGAGAGGGCGCCGCTGCCGCAGCCGCAGCCTTCGCCACCCGCGCCGTCGCCGCCGACGGATGCCTCGCCGGAGCAGGAGGAGGCCGCCGCAGCTTCCTCCGCGGCGGCGGCGAGCGCGACCAGCGCGAGGAGCAAGCAGCGGAGCAACGCCATGGCGCCGAAGGGGCTCGACAGAACTGCGGGGGTCGACCTTCGCGCCGCGAAGCTACAGTAGCGAGAAAACGATTTCGATGAACGGCTACCGGTAACCTCGGAATGTAACACCAGAATGGCTGTGCTGGCTCCTTCACAGCCATCTTACCTAAGGATGGCTGAGCTAGCTGCAGTGCAGCCACATCCTTCAGCCCGATGGCTGCAACACACACACGGCCGTGCAAGCCCCACCCGACTGACGGGCAGGCGTGGGGCGCGTCGCCCGCTTGCTCTAGATGAAACGTCTAAAGGACGAGAGATGGCTGTCGGCCCGACGGCGGGCGGAGAAGACGGGCACTGGACCAGAAAGGACTGGGAGAGTGTGAATGGAGGGAGGGACACGGTGGACCGGGACACGCGGTGGTTCGGACGTCCCCCCCCTCGACATAGTCGAGTAACTCCCGATCGACAAGAGGAAAGTGTCCCTCAGAGTAGAGAGCCTGTGGCTGCTCTACTAAGCCACGAATGAAGTAGCGGACAGCGTTGCAGGGGCCGTCGGCGATGCTGTCGGTGCAGGCGACGGTGCAGAAGCTGGCAGCGCTGATGCCACCGATGCAGGTGACGACGAGAGAGCCGACGACGCTGTAGAGGCTACAGGCGAGGTCGTCGACACGAGCTTCGGCAGAGAGGCCGATGGTGCTATCGGCGCCACCGTTGAGTGGAGCGGCGGCAGAGAGGGAGTCGTCAGCGCAATGGCCGCCGAAAGGAGCGACGGCGAGAGCGACGGCACTGCCTTCGGCGAGGCCGTCGAGTCGTGCGACGGCGGGAGAGCCATCGGCGAGTCGAGCGACGGCTGGAGAGCCATCGGCGAGTCGAGCGACGGCGAGACGGCCGACAGCTGAGTCGGCGAAGCAGCCGACGGCGAGGCCATCGGCGAGGCCGTCGAGTCGAGCGACGGCGACAGAGTCGTCGGCAAGGCGAGCGACGGCGAGAGAGCCGACAGCGGAGCCATCGGCGAAGCAGCCGACGGCGAGGCCATCGGCGAGGCCGTCGCTGAGCCGAGCGACGGCGACAGAGCCGTCGGCAAGTCGAGCGACGGCGAGACGGCCGACAGCTGAGTCGGCGAAGCAGCCGACGGCGAGGCCATCGGCGAGGCCGTCGCTGAGCCGAGCGACGGCGAGAGTGCCGTCGGCGAGTCGAGCGACGGCGACAGAGCCGTCGGCAAGTCGAGCGACGGCAAAGCAGCCGAGGGTCTCGGCGAGGCCGACAGCGCCGGAGCCGTCGGCGAGGCCGTCGAGTCGAGCGACGGCGACAGAGCCGTCGGCAAGTCGAGCGACGGCGAGACGGCCAGCGCTGGAGCCGGCGGCGAGGCCGTCGAGTCGAGCGACGGCAAAGTGGCCGTCGACCTGAGCGATGGCGGAGCAGCCGAGGGTCCCGGCGAGGCCGACAGCGCTGGAGCCGGCGGCGAGGCCGTCGAGTCGAGCGACGGCAAAGTGGCCGTCGACCCGAGCGACGGCGGAGCAGCCGAGGGTCCCGGCGAGGCCGACAGCGCTGGAGCCGGTGGCGAGGCCGTCGAGTCGAGCGACGGCAAAGCAGCCGAGGGTCTCGGCAAGGCCGACAGCGCCGGAGCCGTCGGCGAGGCCGTCGAGTCGAGCGACGGCAAAGCGGCCGTCGACCTGAGCGACGACGGCAAAGCGGCCGTCGACCTGAGCGACGGCGATGCAGCCGAGGGTCCCGGCGAGGCCGACAGCGCCGGAGCCGGCGGCGAGGCCGTCGAGTCGAGCGACGGCAAAGCGGCCGTCGACCTGAGCGACGACGGCAAAGCGGCCGTCGACCTGAGCGACGGCGATGCAGCCGAGGGTCCCGGCGAGGCCGACAGCGCCGGAGCCGGCGGCGAGGCCGTCGAGTCGAGCGACGGCAAAGCGGCCGTCGACCTGAGCGACGGCGGAGCAGCCGAGGGTCCCGGCAAGGCCGACAGCGCTGGAGCCGGCGGCGAGGCCGTCGAAACGAGCGACGGCAGAGCGGCCATCGACATGAGTGACGGCAAAGCAGCCGAGGGTCCCGGCAAGGCCGACAGCGCTGGAGCCGGCGGCGAGGCCATCGAGTCGAGCGACGGAAAAGTGGCCGTCGGCATGAGCGACGGCGAAGCAGCCGAAGGTCTCGGCGAGGCCGACAGCGCTGAAGCCGGCGGCGAGGCCATCGAGTCGAGCGACGGCAAAGTGGCCGTCGACCCGAGCGACGGCAAAGCAGCCGAGGGTCTCGGCGAGGCCGACAGCGCTGGAGCCGGCAGCGAGGCCGTCGAGTCGAGTGACGGCGAGAGAGCCGTCGACGAGCTGAGCGACGGCGAGAGAGCCGACAGCGGAGCCATCGGCGAAGCAGCCGACGGCGAGGCCACCGGCGAGGCCGTCTAGTCGAGCGACGGCGACAGAGCCATCGACGAGTCGAGCGACGGCGAGAAGGCCGATAGCAGAGTCAGCGAAGCAGCCGACGGCGAGGCCATCGGCGAGGCAGCAGCCGAGACTAGCGACGGCGGAGCAGCCACTGAGGGCTACACATGCTGGCGGTGTTGTGAAGCGTTCAAGGCCCCGATCGCAGTCCCCATTGGCCCAGTCCGCCGAGCACGATATTGCTCAGTGGCTGAGCCGACAGCAGAGGAGCCGTCGGCGAAAGAGCCAACAGCGCTGGAGCCGCTGGCAAGGCCGTCGAGTAACTCGATGGTGAAGCAGCTGTTGACATGAACGACAGCGAAGCAGCCATCGAGTCGAGCGACGGCGAGACAATTTGACAGCGGAGCCGTCGGCGAAGTGGCCGACAGCGCTGGAGCCGCCGGCGAGGCCGAAGGTCCCGGCAAGGCCGACAGCGCTGGAGCTGCCGTGAAGGCCCCCACCAGGCGCGTCGATGACTGTGACTGGTGTACAGTAACTGGTGACGGGAGGCGGGGGGCCGAGTAGGACGCCTCCGACGGTGAAGACGCAGCTAACATGCGAGGAGGCGTCGACTGACGCTGCAGTCGCAGTGAGAGCATGGGCGCCGGTGGAGATGCAGGTGCGGAGGCAAATGCTGGCGGGGAGCGAGATGCTGCGAGTAGGGGTCCCAGTTCCGAGAGCGACTCGTGGCACAATGTGCATTGCATGTGATCACTCAGCCCCGCCCGTAGGCCGCGCAATGGTTCGTACCCCTCCTCTTGAAAATCTCAAGTTTGTCCTCAAATCTCGGATCCTCGAGACCTCGGGAAGACGTCGGCCGCGGCAGGACGCGACCGAAGACCGCAGCACATCGCGTCACGCGTGTTTTCGTGCGTCGCACCACCGCTACGAAGAGCGCAGCAATAGCGCTACCCCGCGCGACACGACACGAGCTGTATTCATCCCGGAAAGTATCACGCTCCTCAATCCTCCTTCCTTCGGCGGCCTGCGCGAAAGCGACGACTCGCCACAACGTGACTCCCGCTCCCCTGTCTCCAGGAGCACTCATGATCGACTCCAAGATGATTGCAGCTGCTGTGATACTCCAACGCACCGCTCGCCTGCGACGGCGGCCAAAAGAGACCGCACTCGTTCGTGCGCAGACCGCAGTGATTCCACTTGAACGAAAGTTGGTCCCATTCCGTGGGCGTCCCTCAGCCGCTGTCACGGTTTTGATAGTGGGGATCGTCTCGCTCATGATCGGGCTCGATCTGCCGCGCATTTGGGGAGGAGCAACGGGGCCTATGGTCCATCTCACCGTCAAATCCGTGCACGCCGGGACTTCCTTGCCCATTGCTGCACCCATCGGCAGCAGCGTGTCCAACGTGCTCGAGATCATCCAGCGGGCGGGCGCAGGAGACCCCGATCTGCACACACTCGTCGGATCGGATGGGCGCAGGCTCGGCTCTCACAGCCGCGTCACGATGCCTGCTACAATGCATCTCGTCCTTCGTCCCGTGGCACCTGTGCCGCTTCCCTCCAACACCATCGCTACCCGCACAGAGGAGGGTGACCGTGTGCGCACCTTCGGCGAGCTTGGCACGCTGTATGCGCGTTGTGGCGGAATCATGGGCGTTGCGAGCTTCGTGGACCGCTGCATGGACAAGTGGATGGCCGACCCCACTCTCAACGCCAACGCCCGCGTCGTCAGCTGGCACGCTCGCTCGCAGCGTTGCGGTGCCGCCACATTATTCCTGCCACCGTCGCCCATCCTTCTGACGCATCCTTCTCCACACCACTTCGCCATCCTTCTGACACCCTTCTCCATCGTCGCCGCAGGATTCAAATTCCTGGTCACTCAACTCCTGGGCTACCTCACTGGCGGCCCGCAGCGGTGCGCCCCACACCACGACCCGCGCCGCCACCGCCTTTAGTCGTCCCACAGGCAAGTCGCTCCCCGCCAGGTACACAGGCAAGTCCATGGCCTTGGCGCACAAGCACCTCGCCATCACCGCGGGCGAGTGGGACGCCTTTATGGGCACCTTCTACGAGGTCACTGAGGAGTTCAACCTGCCCTCGTCCGACGTGGAGGACCTGCAGGCTGTGCTGCTCTCAATGCGCGACGACTGCGTCGCCGAGGGCACCGCCGCCGACGCTCACCCCGCCGGAGCGACCAAGACGGGCGGCTCCTTCTGGTTTGGCTCCGCCTCTCTGTACGAACGGCTCGGTGGTCTCTACCCGATCGCTCTCTTCGTGGACCGCCTCATTGACGCGCTGCTCGCCGATCCACGCGTGGCCATCCCCGTGGACGGGCAACGGCGTAATGAGGCCTCGATGAAGTACCTCTTCACGGAGGTGGTGTGCGCCATCGTTGGGGGCCCGGAGCTCGTCACCTCCCTCGCCTTCGCCGAGACCCGCCTGCTGCTTCCAGCCCGCCAGATGTTCTTTCTGCTGGAGGCCGCAAAGGATGCCTCCGACCACTTCCACTCGTCGAAGCTGCGAGCGGAGCTGCTGCAGGCACTCCACCAGGCCTCGGCCGACTATATCGTGGACCAGCGCACGACCTCGCCCCCCTCCCAGCGACACTCCGAGCGCGCCGTGAAGATCGAGGCGCTGAGCGCACTGGCAGGCGTGCCGCTCATCTACATCCCCAAGGGCGGCGTGGTCCGCATCACCTTCGACGCCTCGCCAGCGCAGCTCGAGCAGGTAGCAGCCGGCCTCGCCGACATGGGTCTGAAAACGGTCGACCGGACCAAGGTCAAGACGGCCTCCGACGCCGCCAATGGCAATCTGCTTTCCTCCGCCGTCATCGCGGCTCGCCACGCAGCCCCCGGAGCCTTCGTCGCCGCGCGGCGCCGCTGCTTTGGCGATCCGCGCACCCTGTACGGCCGCACCGGCGGTGTGTTTGGGCTGGCGACGCTGGCTGATGCGCTGATGGAGGCGTGGATGGCGGAGCCGACGCTCAACGCCAACACGCTGGTGACACGCTGGCACACCTCCCAGCAGCGCGCGGGGTTCAAGTTCCTCGTCACCCAGATCTTGGGCTACCTGTCCGGCGGACCGCAACGATACACTGGGCGGCCGATGGACGTCGCGCACAAGCACCTAGGCATCACCGCCGGCGAGTGGGACGCCTTCCTGGCGACCGCCAAGACCGTCCTCACGGCCGAGGCGGCGCTGACTCCGGAGCTGCGCGAGGAGCTGCTCGAGATCCTCACACCCTTCGCGCAGCAGGTGGTGTCGCCCGAGGGCGCGGAGCTACCTCCCGACCCTCAACTCAGCACCACCCACCCCGATGGCAACTCGCTCTTTGCGGAGGCGGGCGGCGTCTACCCGCTCGCCCGATTCGCCGACCTGCTGGTGGAGCGTGTCCTGGCTGACGAGCTGGTGCTACCGCTCTCCAAGCGCGCCGGCGGGAAGCTGAGCAGAGCCGGGCTCAAGTACCTTCTCACCGAGCTGCTCTGCAATGCAGCGGGTGGCGCGGAGATCGTCACCTCCAAGGGCTTTGACGACGCCAAGCTCGGGGTGAATGACTGGCGACGCTTCCTCTCGGCAGCGCGGGAGACGGCGGCACGCGTTTGGAACGACAAGCACGTGTCCGGGGCGGTGCTTGCCGAGCTAGAGGGGGCACAGGCCGAGCTCATCGTGGGGCTCGAGGCCTCCGACGGCGGCGGTGAGGGCGCGGCCGCGCGGCAGAAGATGAGAGAGGCCGGGTTCGGGCACGTGGAGATCACCGCGGCGCTGCAAAAGGCCAAGGGTGACGGCGTCGAGGCACTGGACCTACTGGTCCGCGGCTGGAAGCCGGTGCGCTCACAGACAGGAGGTGCCCAGGCCGGTGGCTGCCCATTCTCGAGGGGGGGTGGCGCAGGGGCCACAGCCTCTCCTCACCGCGGCGTCCCGGGCAGCGGCGCAAACCCCGGCGGAGCCAGGCGAGCCGGAGGGCGCGTACTTGGGAGCCCGCTGCAAGCACGTCTAGACTTGCTTCTGACCGAGGACACAGATCTGAGCTGTCCCATCACGCTGCTCCTGTTCCAACAGCCGGTGGTTGCGTCGGACGGCGGCATCTACGAGCGGGCCGCCGTTGCCAAGCTCACGCAACTTGGGGGGCTCAGTCCCATCACGCATCGCCCGCTCAGCCCCGAGCTCTCGCCAGCCGAGGATGTTAAGATGCGCGCCACGGCCTTCATGTCGGTAAGGGCGCTGGATCTGCTGCAGTTTGCTCAGGAGGCGCACACCGCCGATGCCTACGTGATGGCGGTGCAGGCCGCAGAGCGCGCCAAGGAGTACGTGGCGGCCCTAGACAGCGAGGACCGCGACCCCGCGCTCGTGCGAAAGCTGCGCGAGACCTGGCGGGCTCTAGGGCGATCGCCGCCGCCGGTCGACCAGCTAGATCCATATGAACGAGTCGCCGCAGTGCTAGACCGGCAGGTCGCGCAGGCTAAGGCCGAGGCCGAGGCGGCGGCCGAGGAGGCGGCGGCCGAGGAGGCGGCCTCGTCATTTCGGGCGCCGGTGCGCAAGTCCATCGTCTTCACCATCGACGCGTCCTACTCGATGAACCAACTCCTCGGGAGGAACCAAGGCGACCACCACCAGCTCACACGAATGGATAGCGCTCGAGCGAATCTGCTCATGATCCTGGACGAGCACATCGAAGATGGCGACACCATCAGCGTGATCACGTTTGCCGACGACGTGCGGACGGACGTGCCCGCGACCGTCGTGACGCCACACAACCGCCTGCGGCTGCGGGGGAAGGCGGAGCGGGCCTGCAGGGCGCGCGGAGCCACAGCCTTCTACGACTCGCTAGTGGCGTCCGCCAAGATGCTCGACCAGCACCCGACGATCGACGAGGGCGAGCCTCGATGGATCATTGCGCTGACTGACGGGGAGGACAATCGTTCGAAGAAGAGTGTCCACGAGACGGTTCGGGTTCTGAGGCGGAGCAAGTCGGCCCCCGATCTGCTCGTCGTCGGCGTGCAGCTTCACGAGAACACCAAGCCCTTCATGATGGCGCTCGCGGCTACGACGGACAACAGCAAGTTTATCGACGCAAGCGGCGGGATCGAGAGCCTCAACGACGCATTCGAGGAGGTGGCCGAGCTCATCGCAGAGTAGGGTAGCATGTAGACACAACCGCCATCTGCCGAGGGCCGTGGGGATGACGAGGTCTGTTACCTCACATGATACACTTGTTACTGCACGTGGCGTGCACCCCCCCGGCAGCAGCTAGGTGAACTGTGAAGGGTACGGTTCGCATTTGTTGCCTTAGTGCTTCGAGCGGAGAGTAGAGGGGCCGGAGGAGAGAGGAGCTCTCTTGAGCGTCATATCTCCGCCTCTAGTAGAGATGTCCGTTTTTTATTTTACAGCTTCTTACACCTACAGCTAAAAAAAAATGCGTTTTACCCTGCGAAAGACACTACGTACTCTCCCCCCCCCCGTCACTCGTCCCCCTTGGCGTGCCTCTCCCCCAGCTCTCGGTATCGCGTGCTGCACGAGGCTACCGTGGGCCCCGCCTGCGCGCTGGGGGTTCCCTGCCCTGTCGGGAAGCCTAGCTCTGAACCTGGGGTCGCTACCTAATGCGGGGCTCCTGGACGGGTGATGAAGTTCGCCTTGAATCTCTCGTCTCGCTTTCCCCCCGACTCGCGTCCGTCGGGGGTACTCCCTGCTTTGCTTACAGCTACGTATACAGATAGCTACGTATACAGATCTCTCTCCGTCGGCTCTCGCCCTTCTCCACACAGCGCGTGACTCGGCCCCCCCTTACGCTCCCCCACGCTGTGTCCCCACGGGCGCCTCAGTTCGGCCCTCCCAGGGGGGGAGGGGGGCAAGGGGGTGGGGGGGTCGGGGCGGTGGGGAGAAGTCTCGGTGAATGTCTAATCTTGCCTTTCAGACGCTGTCGTGAGCCGCCGAAAAAAGAAAACGGACAACCCACGGGAGGGATGGGAGGACGGCACGCCGCCACCACACAAGGGATTTTAAGGAGAGGGGTGTGGTGCGCTAGCCGTGGCCCACCCTTGGGCGTCCGCCTCTTCCTATCTCTCTTCGCAGTCTCGCGCCGATTCTCGCTGCAACCTTCATGCCACCTCGCAGTCGTCCCACTCTCGTCGTTCTCTCCCTTGTCGCTTCTTCCTCTGTCGCGTCGCTCTCCTCTGCCTCGTTCTGCGACGCCGCCGCCGCCTGCCGGTCCCTTGTTCTCGTGAGCCGCCGCTACTCGAATAACGGCATCTTGGAGCACTTGGAGTGCAGTTGGTAACCGCACATCCAGGGCCGGGGAGCTAAGACATGTTGACGACATTTCGCCGTGTTGGGTAATCTGGAAATGACATTTCGCCGTGTTGGGTGATCTGCGAGGCAAAAGGTCGCAGACGCCGGGTGATCTGAAAAACGCCGGGTGATCTGCGAGGCGAATCTCAAAATAAACCGGGTAATCAGAAATATATCCTTAATCGAGTGGCCTCCGGTTCGAGCTCGGCAAGTCGACCCTCTTATATTTTTCACACCAGCGGGCTCAATTTTGCTCTAGGTGTCTCCTACGGATTCGACGCACCCTCTTTCTTCGGCCGGTGCGTTGGTCGTTCTCGTCATGGGGCGGATCCCGATTTTTGCCAAGACCAACAAGAAATCACGACTCTCACAGAGATTTGGGCTCGGCAGCTTGTTGCGTTGAGTGATGAGGAGCGACACCGATGGCGATGCGCTCTCTCTCTCTCTCTCTCTCTCTCTCTCTCTCTCTCTCTCTCTCTCTCTCTCTCTCTCTCTCTCTCCCTCCCTCCCTCCCTCCCTCCCTCCCTCCCTCCCTCCCTCCCTCCCTCTCTCTCTCTCTCTCTCTCTCTCTCTCTCTCTCTCCCTTTCTCTTTCTCTCGCTCTCTCTCTCTCTCTCTCTCTCTCTCTCTCTCTCTCTCTCTCTCTCTCTCTCTCTCTCTCTGAGATTCCTCTTCCGCTATAGAGTTCATTACGCAGCACAAGACCGTTCCTCGCTCATGCACGATCGATTTGTGGCGTTCAACCCGTTGTGTTGGTTGAATCCGCTGAAGTGTGTCATGTTCATGCTCGTGTACTCGCCTTTCTTGGCACGTCCGAGCGCATCTCGCACTATCATCCGATTATGATCGCCCGCCACGCGAACTCTGTGACCTCCCTGGCCAATGTAGAGTCCTGGGGTGATGCTCGTGCCGTATGTGATGTTCATGCTCACGTTTGATTCCATGAAAGTGACGAATCCTCTCTTGAGTGCGCCCGGGCCAGTCGTCCTCGCGATGTACATGAACCGATTGACGCCGCCGGGGAAGCGCGAGTCGAGCACGTGACAGATCGCCGCCTTGAGCGCAGATTCCATGAGTGGCGATTGCGCTGTGGCTGCCATGAAGTACTGGGTCAGCGACCTCACACTTGCGTCGATGAAGAAGAGCGCATCGCTGTCGAGAGAGATCGACGCGTTGCTGAGCGTGCGCGGCTTGACGTCCATGTCAGCGTAGATGCCGCCGTATCGCCAGAGGGCCAGGTAACGCCACATGTCCGCCTTCATGGTCATGGAGTGGACGCACTGCACCACCGCATGGAGCAGCGGGAAGGCGTGCCACCGACGCGCCAAGAGGCTCTCCATCGCGGCGTCGTCATGGAAGCGGTAGGCCCAGCCCGGGAAGCGGTCCATCCAAGCTCGCATGACCTCGTGGAACTTCGCCGAGACGCAGCGGCTGCGGCCCGTCTGATGGATGATCTTCGGGATGCGCGAGGGAGGCTCGTTGACACGGCTCGATGGATCGGGAGACACGTCCGAGACGAACGCCAAGCCTGGCGGACACTGCGAAGCCTGCCCACCTGCCACTGAGGTGTCTTGCTTTGACTGCGTCTCTCTGCCGTAATGCCTGCCATTAGGAGTCTGCGGCTCGCGCGCGTACACATGGACGGGCTTAGCCAGCACCAGCCAGGTGAGCCAGGTGCACTGCACGTGCTGCTGGCTCATCTCGCGAGAGAGCAGCGCACGCCACGCACGCAGCCGGATGCGCTGCAGATCGTACAGGCCCTTTCACACTTGTCGTGGTGGTGTGAGATGCGGATGCTGAGAGTGCGCCGCGAATGAGTCACGGAGGCAGCGCACGTAGGCAGCGAGTGCTTGGTTTTCAATGCTGGGTATGCAGCACCGGCTTTTCGTAAGTTGACGAGAAGAGTACGGCCGTGTGGCCTCCGTCGGGCCGGCGGGCGAAGCCGGCGCGAAAGATTTTTTGGTGGTGCATAGCTGTTTCGAGTGTCCTTCCATCCCTCCCTGGGCGTGTCTGTTTTCTTTCTTTCTTTTTTCGAGTGTATGTAGCTCTTAGTAGGAGGACTGGTGGCATGTTTTGTTTTTTGGGTTCAGCAATGCAATTGTTAGGATTTAGTCCGGGTTAGCAAGAGCTCTCTCCTCTCTCTCTCTCTCTCTCTCTCTCTCTCTCTCTCTCTCTCTCTCTCTCTCTCTCTCTCTCTCTCTCTCTCTCTCTCTCTCTCTCTCTCTCTCTCTCTCTCTCTCTCTTCTCTCTCCTCTCTCTTCTCTCTCCTCTCTCTCCTCTCTTATTGGGGGGCAACCGGAGGGAAGAAAGAAAAGCGATCGGCCCACAGGGAGGGAGGACTTTTCCGCTGTTTTTTAACTCACACCCCCTCGAGAAAGAAGAAATCTGTGTCCTCAAGCACGAGCGGCCGATCCTCGCAGCGAAGGAACCCCAGGCTGAGATTCCAGGGCTGTGCCTCGCCGAGACCAACAGTCCGTCGGCCCGGATGACTGCCGCGGCGGAGTACGAGGCCTACGTCCGCGACGCGGGCGGCGAACGCTGCATCCGCTCGATCCTGGTCGCCAACAATGGCATGGCCGCGTCCAAGTTCATCATGTCGATCCGGAACTGGCTGTTCGAGCGGTTCGGTGACGCGAGCCTGATCCGCATCGTGTCGATGGCGACGTCGGAGGACATCCGCGCGAACGCGATGCACCTGCACCACGCCGACTCCTTTGTCGAGGTGCCGGCTGGCGCAAACTTCAACAACTACGCCAACGTCGAGGTGATCGTGCGGCTTGCGCGCGAGAACCGGGTGGATGCAGTCTGGCCAGGCGTGCTCGGTCTGCGCGCGTTGCGCTGCGGACTCGCGTGACGCGCACCCCTCTGCCCTCCCCGCCGCCAGGGTGGGGGCACGCGTCGGAGAACCCGGCGCTGCCGCAGGCCCTCGAGGCCAACGGCATCACCTTTGTCGGACCCACTGACAAGGCCATGTTCCTTCTCGGAGACAAGATCGCCTCGACAATAATCGCGGAGTCGGCCGGCGTGCCCTGCGTCTCGTGGTCTGGTGCGGAGCCTTCGCCGCCCGCCCGCGCCGCCCGCGCCCCTCGCCCGCACACGCCCTCACCCGGCCCAGAACGGACAAGGGAGGACAAGGGAGGCCCCTGCGCGGAGCAAGCGGCCTGCGCTTCCGCCGCCGAGCCCGCTGACGGCTGCGCTGGCTGCGCCTCGTGCAGGCACGGGTGTTCGGGTGGAGCCGGACGCCTCGGGGCACGTCACCGTGCCGGACGACAAGTTCGCCGAGGCGTGCGTCACCTCCGCCGAGCAAGCCGTCGAGGTTGCGGAGCGGGTCGGCTACCCAATCATGATCAAGGCGTCGGAGGGCGGAGGCGGGAAGGCGCGCCACGCACACCCCCGCCCTCCCCGTCTCCCCGTCTCCCACCTCCGCTTCCGCTTCCGCCCCCTCACCCTCCCTCTCCCTCCCTCTCCCTCTCCTCACTCTCCCTCTCCCTCGCCCCTCCTTCACTCTCCCTCGCCCCTCCCCCTCTCCCTCGCCCCTCCTCGCCCTCTCCCTCGCCCCTCCTCGCCCTCTCCTTCGCCCCTCCTCGCCCCTCCCTCGGCCGACTCTCGCCTCACCCTCCGCCTCCGCCTTCCACCCTCCGTCTACTCTCCTCGCCCTCCGCTCCTTCCGATCCGCCCACCGCCCGCCTCCGACCCGCCCTCTCCGCCTCGCCTGCCCTGACGCCTCGCCTGCCCTGTCTCAGGGCGTGCGGATGGCCACCAAGAAGGAGCAGATCGCGCCCATGTACCAGGCCGTCTGCGACGAGGTCAAGGGATCGCCCGTCTTCCTGATGCGGCTCTGCACCGGTGCGCGCCACATCGAGATCCAGCTGATGGCGGACAAGAAGGGCAACGTCGCCGTCCTCTCCGGCCGCGACTGCTCGATGCAGCGCCGCTTCCAGAAGATCGTCGAGGAGGGGCCGCCCCGCGCGGTTGCGCCGGAGACGCTCGACCAGATGGAGCGCGCGGCGGCCTCCCTCTGCCGGATGGTCAACTACACGCACGCGGGCACCGTCGAGTACCTCTTCATTCAGGAGACGCAGGAGTTTTACTTTCTCGAGCTCAACCCGCGCCTGCAGGCGGGCACACGTTGCAGCGGCACATTGCAGAGCGAGACGACTCTGCAGAGAGAGAGAGAGAGAGAGAGAGAGAGAGTCTGCTGCGACACACTGCCGAGGCACGCTCAGAGACGCACAGCAGAGACGCGCTGCAGAGACGCGCCGCAGGCGCTCCCTCCCGGTACAGAGCCGGCGGCAGATCCAGCCGGCGACGTTAGACGGCGCATCTCGGCTGATCTCGGCTGATCTCGACCGATCTCGCCGCAGGTCGAGCACCCCGTGACCGAGGGCATCACCGAGACCAACCTGCCGGCCCTGCAGCTCATGTGCGCAACCGGGGATGCCCTCTCTCTCTCCGGCCGAGCATGAGCCTCTTCACAGGCCGAGAGTGTGAGCAGGTGCGCGGCCGGCATGGACCTCTCCAAGCTGCCCGCGAGCGACGACATCAGCCGCTTCCTCTCGACGCCGGACAAGCCGTACGTCGACCCCTTCTCGAAGGTCAAGGGGCACGTCATCGCGACGCGCATCACGGCCGAGAACGCGGCCGACGGCTGGAAGCCGACCGTGGGCAAGATCGAGGAGCTCTCCTTCCAGTCGCTGCCGTCGGTGTGGGGCTACTTCTCAGTCCGCACTCCGGCAGAGGCGTGCGCCGCTCTTCTCGCACACACTTTTCCGCGCCCCGCCGCTGCGGACGGCGCCTCCCCTCACCCCGCGGGGCGTGCGGGGTGCTGGTCCACCAGTTCGCAGACTCTCTGCACCTTCCCTGCACCTTCCCTGCACCTTCCCTGCACCTTCCCTGCACCTTCCCTGCACCTTCCCTGCACCTTCCCTGCACCTTCCCTGCACCTTCCCTGCACCTTCCCTGCACCTTCCCTGCACCTTCCCTGCACCTTCCCTGCACCTTCCCTGCAGGTGCACCAGTTCGCGGACTCGCAGTTCGGGCACATCTTCGCGCACGGCAAGACGCGCGCAGAGGCGCAGCGCAAGATCATGCTCGCCGTGAAGCGCATCCGCTGCATCGGCGAGATCCACACCAACATCACTTCCGTCGAGGAGCGGCCGGCAGCTGGGGCCGGCAGGGTGTGAAAGGGCGGTCCCTTCACAGCGGCGCGGCCTGTGAGTAGGAGCTGGTCCGGACGGACGACTTCAAGAACGGCATGATCACCACCTCGTGGCTCGACGCCATCATCGCCAAGGCCTGACCGCCCTCGCCACCAGCTGGACGCCGCGCCTCGCCCTCCCTACGCCCTCCCGGACCTGTCCCCGGACCTGTCCTGTAGGAGACCGCCCTCGTCACGGTGCCAGCCTCGTCGGTCGCGATCTGCGGCGCGCTGCTCAAGGCGCACATCGCGATCTGCGCGACCGAGGCGAAGATCAAGAAGGAGTACCTCTGGCGCAACGCCTGCCCGCCGCCCGAGCTACTCGCGCAGCTGACGGAGCTCAAGGTCGAGTTCATCTGGAACAAGACCAAGTTCGAGTTCGAGGTGTACCGCCACTCGCCCGAGCTCTTCACCATCTCGGCGAACGGCTCGCTCGCCTCGGTCAAGCTCAAGCCGACGCCGGGCGGCAACCTCGTCGCCACCTACGGCAACCGCACCGACACCTTCCACTTCATGGAGGAGCCCGGCGACAAGATCCGGATGGTGCTCAACGGAGTGGTGGCGATGCTCGAGAAGGCGAGCTTCGCGGCCCCTCCGTCCTCGTCGCTGGGCCCGCGATCCCACTCGGGCCGTGCCTCCTCTCAATAGGAGAACGACCCCTCCGTCCTTGTCGCCCCGTACGGCGGCAAGCTGACGCGCTGGTGCGCCGAGGGCCGCGCCGGAGGGCCGTGTGAGCAGCGCCTCTTCACGGCGGCTGGTGTGAGCAGGTTCGCCGAGGACGGGTCGCACCTGACCAAGGGCGGCGCCTTCGCGGAGATGGAGGTCATGAAGATGCTCTTCGCGCTGCCGGCGGCGGAGGCGGGCACCATCACTCTGCTCAAGCCCGCGAACGTCTTTGTCGAGGCGGGCGAGCAGATCGCCAAGCTCGAGCTCGACGACCCGTCGCTGGTTGCGCGCGCCGTCCCCTTCAACGAGCCGCTCGGTGGCCCGCTCGCCGCCGCCGCGCCCCTGCTCGAGTCCCCGCGGGCTGAGATTGCGGCCTCCCCCGCAGGCGACCTCGAGCCGCCGCCGGAGATGCGCGAGGACAACATCGCGGTGCACCAGCAGGTGGCGTACCTGATCGCGCGCGCGCACCACATGCTCGGCGGCTTCGTCGACAACGAGGACGACGTGCTCAACAAGCTCTCCGAGCTGCTCCTCGACCAGCGCGTCATGTGGTCCGAGTATGACGAGCTCATGGCCGGGCCGGGCTCCAAGCTGCCAGAGAAGCCGCGCCAGGCGCTCTCCCAGCTGCTCACGCCCGCGCGGCGCGCGGCGGCGGACGGCGGAAACGGCTTTGGCGACACGGTCCTCGCCACCCTCGCCGCCTTCTCCGACACGCTCGACGAGGCGGCGGCGACCGCCTTCAAGAACGCGTCCGAGCCGGTGGCGGCGTTTGGCGAGAAGTACAAGAGCGGGATGCTCGACATGTCGACCTTCACGCTGACGGCGATCCTCGAGCACTTCCTCGAGGTGGAGCAGGTCTACCCCGACGACCGCTCCGAGATCGTCGGCGTCAAGCACCTCAACGAGTCCCTCTCGGACCCGGCGGCCGTGCTGCAGGCCATCCTCTCGCACCAGCAGCTCGACCGCAAGGCGCCGCCCCTCGTCACCCCGGCTGCACCCCGGCTGCACCTCGGCTGCGCCTCGGCTGCACGCCGGCTCACGCCGTCGGGCTCACCCCTGGCTGCGCCTCGGCTGCACCTCGGCTCACACCGCCGGGCTCACACTCCGGCTGCGCCTCGGCCAGGTGTCGCTGATCCTCAACGTGCTCGACTTCCTCGGCAACTTCACGTACATGAACTCCAAGGTCTTCGAGCTGCTCCGCCGCCTCTCGCAGCTCTCCTCCTCGAAGCACACCCGCGTGCAGCGCAAGGCGAAGCAGATCATCGCCAACTGCCGCGACAACATCGCCGAGCAGAACAAGGAGCTCGTGCTGCCCGTCCTCAAGAAGATGGCGGGCAACAGCATGGAGCCGCAGGCCGAGCTCGACACGGTCCGCGCCGCTCGCCGCTTCCCTCACGCTGCGAGGAGGCGCGCTTCACACCTCCACCTGTGAACAGGTCGACGGGCTCGCCGCTGAGCTCAAGCTGTGCCAGCCCAAGCTGCTCTCGATGATCTCCACCTCGGACAAGGCGCTCAAGCGCGCCATCATCCGCGCCTCGGTGATGCTCTGGTACCGGCAGGGCGGCATGTCCAACGTCTCCTTCAAGACGTACCTGCGCAAGGGCAAGGAGAAGTCGGCCGTGACGTGGGAGTACACGTCCGCGGCGGGCGAGCCGCGCTTCGGCATCCTGCTCACCTTCCAGACGATGGAGGACCTCGAGAACAACTTTGACGACCTCTGCAAGCTCGCCCTCGAGGAGAAGCGCACCGAGGAGGCGCCGAAGCTGCAGCGGCCCATGTCCCGCAACGCGTCCGCGCAGGCGCGCCAGGAGGCCCCCGCGCCGAGCCGCGGGGGGGCACAGCCTCTCCTCACAGCAGCTAGCTGTGAACAGGCGCTCAAGGAGCTCGCCGCCTCGCCGGGCACCAACGCGAGCGGCCGCTCCTCCGCAAAGGAGGTTTGCCTGCACGTGCTCGTCCTCGGCGAGTTCAAGCCGCTCGACGCGGCGACCAAGGCCAACCTGCCGCACAAGTCCTTCCGCCGCTCGTACGCGTACGCGGTGATGGACGAGACCAAGTCGAGCACTTCGTACCAGCGGTTCGTGCAGACGAAGGCGCTGCCTCCTCCGCCCGCGCAGGGGCGTGAGGCCCCTCCCTGCACCTGCTCGGAGCCTCCTCTCTAGGCGGGCTTCCTCCGCTCCTCGATGGTCGAGTCGGTCACCGTGATGCTTCCGCACTCGACCGCCACAGACAACCTCAACTACACCTCCATCTACAACTTCCCCGCCTTCCAGTCCTTCGACGAGCACAAGATCACGCGCCACATCCTGCCGCCCGAGGCCACTCTCCTCGAGCTCGGCCGCCTCTCCAACTTCAACGTCGAGCGCTGCTGGTTCCCCGACGCGCCGCACACGCGCGCGCACTCCCGCCGCCGGCCACTGCAGGCGGAGCCCGCGCATGTGACGCGTCTCGGAAGCCCCGTAATGCAGGCACGTGTACTACGCGTCGGCCAAGCAGCAGAAGCTCGACACGCGCCTCTTCGTGCGCACGCTGCACTCGCGCGCCCCGGCGGCCACCGAGGCCCCTCCGACGAGGGCCGCCCATATTCTCGCGGCCGCGGCGCCTCACCGCACGCTCTGTGAACAGGACGAGGCGGTCGAGTCGATCGCGACGCTCTGCGGGACCGAGATGGCGGTGACGCTGGCGACGCTCGAGCAAGCCATCGGCGACTCGCGCTACCAGATCACCGAGTCGAACCACATCTTCTTCCGCGCCACGTCGCCCCTCTGCATCGGCGCCGACGGCGTGATCAAGACGATCCGCTCCATCCTGCCGCAGTACCAGGCCGCCTTCTCCGCGCTGCGCGCCACCGAGCTCGAGCTCGTCCTCCCGCTGTGGGCGCCGTCGACGCCGAAGAGCGCCCTCGCCTCGACCGCGCCCACCATCGTCCGCATCATCTGCCGCCTCGGCCCCTCGATGACGATCGACGTCTACGAGGAGGTCTGCCGCGACGACGGCTCCCTCGGGCTGCGCCAGATGAGGCAGGCGGCGGGCGGCGCGCTCACGCCCTCGTCTGGGTCTCCGGTGGCGCTGGAGCCGTACGCGCTGCTCTCGGTCGTCGACCAGAAGCGGCTGCGCTGCCAGAAGCTGCTGACAACCTACTGCTACGACTTCATCCACCTCTTCGAGATCGCCGTCGGCGCGGCCTGGGAGAAGGCGTCGGCCGCCGACCCGTCCCTCTCGGCGCCGGCGGAGAAGGTTGTGGCGACGGAGCTGGTGCTCTCGCCCGACGGCTCGTGCGTCGTCCCGCTCGAGGCGCCGTGCAAGCCCGGCTCCAACAAGATCGGCATGATCGCGTGGGACGTGACGCTCTACACGCCCGAGTTCCCGGCGGGCCGCACGATCATCGTCATCGCGAACGACATCACCTTCATGCAGGGCACCTTCGGCCCCCTCGAGGACCTCGTCTTTGAGCGCGCCTCCCAGTTCGCGCGCGAGCTCGGCGTGCCGCGCATCTACATGGCCGCCAACGCGGGCGCGCGCTTCGGCCTGTCGGAGGCGGTCAAGAAGTGCTTCCGCGTGCAGTGGGTCGGAGGCGACGACCCGGCAAAGGGCATCGCCTACCTGTGGCTGACCGACAAGGACAGGGAGGCGCTCGGCGACGCGGTCGTGACGGAGCGCGTCGACGCGCCGCCGAGCGACGAGGACGAGGACGAGGCGGAGGAGCCGCCGGTCCGCTTCCACAACAAGATCACCGCCATCATCGGCAAGGAGGAGGAGGGTGGGCTCGGCGTCGAGTCGCTGCAGATGGCGGGCGCCATCGCGGCCGAGACGTCGATCGCCAACCGCGAGATCTTCACCCTCTCCTACTCGACCGCGCGCAACATCGGCATCGGCTCGTACGTCCTCCGACTCGGCCAGCGCGTGATCCAGCAGCGCGACGCGCCCATCATCCTGACCGGGTACATGGCGCTCAACAAGCTGCTCGGCACCACGGTCTACGAGTCCAACGGCCAGCTGGGCGGGCCCGAGGTGATGGGCGGCAACGGCGTCTCGCACCTCGTCGTCGACAACGACCTCGACGCCGTGCACCGGATCGTGCAGTGGATGTCCTTCATCCCGCACAAGGTTGGCGCGCCGCTGCCGATCATCAAGCCGGCGGACCCGATCGAGCGGTCCGTCGACTACCTGCCCGTCAAGGGCGTGCCGTACGACCCGCGCGAGCTGCTCACCGGCGGTGTGCAGGACGGCGTCTACCGCTCCGGCCTGCTCGACAAGGACTCCTTTGTAGAGACGCTCTCCGACTGGGCAACGAAGCGCGGCCACCGTCCCGCCTCTGCGGTGAGCAGCGCCTCATCACGCATCGAGGTGTGAACAGGCTAAGACGGTCATCGTCGGCCGCGGCCGCATCGGCGGCATGCCCCTCGGCGTCATTGTCACTGAGAACCGGCTCGCAGAGACGCGGGCCCACCCTGCGGAGCAAGGAAGGGCGAGGGCGAACGGGGCACTGTCGTGCGCGATAGGCTGGTCGAGAAGGACATCCTCGCCGACCCGGCGAACCTCGAGTCCAAGCCGCAGGTGCAGATGCAGGCGGGGCAGGTCTGGTTCCCCGATTCCGCCTACAAGACGGCGCAGGCCATCCAGGACTTCAACACCGGCGAGGGGCTGCCGCTGCTGGTGATGGCGAACTGGCGCGGCTTCTCGGGCGGACGCAAGGACATGTTTGAGGAGGCGCGCGCTTGGCCGAGATCGGACGAGATGCAGAGGCCCGCGGAGGGGCCGTCGTCGTCCACCCGCCCCCCTCCCCCGCTGCTGTCAGGTGCTCAAGTTTGGCTCCTTCATCGTCGACCAGCTCACGCAGTTCCGCCAGCCCATCTCGGTCTACATCCCGCCCTTCTCCGAGATCCGCGGCGGCGCGTGGGTGGTCATCGACTCAAAGATCAACCCCGCCTTCATGGAGATGTACGCCTCCGAGACGGCGCGCGGCGGCGTGCTCGAGCCGCCCGGCATCGCCGAGATCAAGTTCCGCAAGCCGGACGTCATCAAGACGATGACGCGGATCGACAAGCAGCTCCAGTGGATGTCGATGAATGAGGCCACCGGCGTCGTCCGCGCCGAGGACATCGAGACGCGCAAGGCGCGCAGCCGCCGCCTACCAGCGCCCGCACCCGAGACCGCCCGAGATACCCGAGACCGCCCAGACCGCCCGGGCCCACCCCAGAGCGCCCGAGATCACGCGAGACCACCCGAGACCAGGCGGAGCTGCTCGCCTACTACCAGCCGCTCGGCGAGACGATCGCCGACCTGCACGACCGGCCCGAGCGCATGCTCGCCAAGGGCGTCATCCGCAGCATCGTGCCGTGGGCCAAGGCGCGCTCCGCCTTCTACTGGAGGATCCTAACCCTAACCCTAACCCTAACCCTAACCCTAACCCTAGGCGCGCTCCTTCTTCTACTGGAGGATCCGCCGGCGCGTGCGCGAGGAGGAGCTCGTCAAGGCGGTGTGAACAGCGTCTCTTCACACACCCCGCTGTGAATAGGCGCGTGCGCGAGGAGGAGCTCGTCAAGGCGCTGATGGCGGCGGCCTCTCTCTCACACGACGAGGCGCGCGAGAGTCGCTGAGAGTCGCCGAGAGAGTCGCGATGAGTCGCCGAGGGTTGGCGAGGGTTGGCCGAGGGTTGGCCGAGGGTTGGCCGAAGGTTGGCCGAGATGAGCCCGCGTGTCGCAGAGCCACGCAGCGCAGCCTCGGCCGTGAACGGCGCCTCTCCAGACACCGTCCGGTGGCGAGCAGGCGCTCGCGCAGCTCCACGAGAAGCTCCCGGCAGACGTGTGCGCCGACGACCGCCGCTGCTGCGAGGTGCTCACTTCCGCGGAGGCGGACTGAGCGCGCTGTTGCGGCAGCCCCTTCCCGCCGCGGCGACGCCCCTGCCCGCCGCGCCCGCTTCTCCCCCTCGCGGCGCGGATCGGCGCTATCCCCTCCTCCCCTCCTACCCCTGCCCCTCTCTTTCGTTGTTCTTTGTTCTCCCCTCTCCATGTGCGACGGCGCGCGACCCACCGCGCCGGTGCATTCCCGCATCCCATGCCATGACCCCGATTCGTGCTGTTGTGCCGGGGGCGGCCGCGGGCTAGACGCGTCGCTGCTCCCCGTTTCCCGTCGACCCTGCGATCATCTCCGGAGTCACGCGTGAGTCTGTGCGCGGATATTTGAAGGGTGCTGTATAAATGTTTTAACGCTCTACCTTCGACGGGCACACCATTTTTTCAGTGGTACCGTGTAAGTACTTTTTTTTACCATTTTAGCTTACACTGGGAGAAAAGGGAGAGGGGGTTATGTGTTCTCTCTCTCTCACTCTCTCAGTGTATGTAGCTCTTACGTACCATTCCCGGAGGATGCCTGCTGACGGACGGGGTTTGTTTGCGATGAGAAAGAAGCGATCCCCTCGAACGTGGCATTCGTTTCGGGTGATCAGATCACTTTTTTGTATCACCCTTGAGCACTTGAGCACTGGATAGGGCAAAGCCATACCGAGATGCCAACACATTGCATTACCCGCCGGAATTCAAAGGTGTCTCTCACTCAAGGAGGGCTCTTACTCAAGGAGGGCATCATCCTTCCAGGACTTTCGCTCGTTTCAGCTCATTGCCACTCCGCCACACACACAGAACAATGGGCTGCCACTCCAGCAAGAACGCGGACGCACGCGCCGTCAGCGGCGGTTTTGTCAGCGACGAGGCGTCAGCTGCTTCCTCTTACGGCGTCAACTTCTCCCTTTCTCTGATGAACATTACGGTTGACAAGGCAGCCAAGGAAAAGTACGCCAACGTTGCCGCCGGTTACAAGCTCACCTCCTTGAAGCTGTGGTCCTGGAACGATACCGACCTGCTCGATGCACTGTCCAGCGCATACACAGCGGCCGGGCTGAAGAAGCTCGAGGTCATGATCATGGTTCCGCAGGACGAAGTCATTGCCTTCGCCGACTCGGCAGAGAAGGCAAAGGAGCTGCTGCCCATCCTCAGCAGGTACCACTTTGTGAGGAGCATCGCGGTTGGCAACGAGCCCGATTTCCCCGGTGGAAACCCTCCGCAAGGCAAGGATCTCGAGATCTTCCAGAAGCTGCCGATGGCAGTCGCTAATGTGCAAGCTGCGCTGCAAGGCTCCCCGCCAGGCTCTGGCATTGTGGTCACGGTGCCCTTCTCCAATGGTGTGGTGGGGCCAAACAATGGTGACTGGGGTGACGTGATCATCAAGCAGGCCAACAAGAAGGTGGTTGAAGCGTGCATGCCCAACCTGGACTTCTGGGCTTTCAACCCTTACCCCTACTTCAGCTTTGAGGGCGTTCCGATGGGCGTCGACAAGACGACTTGGCAAGACTGGGTGCTTGGCAACGCCAAGACCCCTTTCGGCAGCCCCCCCCTTAGCAGCATGCTGGAGTCGCAGCTCTACAACATGCGCCACGCGCTGGACAAGCTCAGCAAGAGCGCGGGGTCGAAGCAGATTGCCATCACCGAAACCGGATGGCCGACGGAACCAAGCGCGGTTGGCGCATCGATTGCAAACGCGCGCCTCTTCTACCAGGACATGCGCCGCGACCTAGGCCGCATGACGACGACGTACAACCTCGTGCCCGGTTACGTCTTCCTTTTTGAACTCTTTGACGAGGCGAAGAAGACGGGAAACCCAGCAGAGGCACATTGGGGATTGCTCAACCAGGACGGAACCCCCAAGCTTGGCTTGACGGAGTTCGTCCTCCCCCCATCTTTCTCGGCAACAAAGCCCTGACCGGAAGGAGCCTCCCGTTGAGTTGACTGACTGTGTGTGTGTGTGTGTGTGTGTGTGTCTAGGAATCCTACTGCCCCACAGCGCAGCCAATGATCGTGGCCCCTCTCTTGCAGCCCACTCTTGTGAGCGAACCCGATGTGCCGTCTCGCGCGAGTTCCCTGATAAAAATAAATCTCTTCTCATGGCCGCTATTTTGCCACATAAAGAAGACATTCGTGGCCGGTGTACTCCGTTCTTGCCTCGGTTTGATGGCTAGCGCATCACACCCCTCTCCTTAAAATCCCTGTGTGGTGGCGGCGTGCCGTCCTCCCATCCCTCCCTTGGGTTTTTAGGTTCTTTCTTTCTTTCTGGGTGTACCTGTGTTAGTGCCAGTGCGCGCCAGTCCCGTGCCCAGTGTCGTTCGAGGGAGTCATCGTAAAATTTGGAGCACTGGGGTAGGGTGCCCAAAGGGCCCAAAAAAAGAAAGGGAAAAAAGAAATGGGCCACCCCCGATCGCAGCACTTCGTGTTGGCCAGTCGAGAAATTGAGAGTGTGACTAGGAGGGTGGGACGCTGGGAATTCTCAAAGGTATACCCTTGGAATGGCCGGATCCAGCCTTAAAAGTACGAGATCGCGCGCGCTTCGCGCACAGCACCGCCTGTTCTCCGCGGTTGAGTGACGACGCGTGCCGTGTACCAGCAGAGTTGGGCGCGCGCGGCGCGACGGCGCCCGCGAGGGAAGGCGCGGGTGCAGCGGCCGCCGGCGGCCGTACCGCCCGCCAGCCGGCGCAGCAGCGGCCAGCGCAGCGGCCGCCGGCGCAGCAGCCAGATCAGCCGGTGCGCGCCTTGCGAGGCGAGTACTCGTTCGAACTTTGCGAGCCGTGCGCGCGCCGAGGCGCCCGCGGCGCGCGCCCGCCCGGCTGCCAGTAGGAGGCGGCGCAATATGGCCTATAGTACAGCCCTTGAGGAGGAGGAAGAGGCTGGCTGGCAGTGCTGTATGCCGCCGGGGGCAGTTTTTGGGTGCTGTCCCCATCCCAGGGGGCTGCAGAAGGCGTCCGCAGCCGGAACAACCCGCCCCCCCAGCCGAGGCCGGTCGAAGCCCACTTGGGCACAGCCATGAGGAGTCCTCTTGGTGCTCCTGGCGGCCGTTGGAATGGCGAGCGCGCGCCGATGGGGGGGGGGGGGGGTCTTGCTTGCTCCACACCGAGCGCCATCGGTCCGGACCGGCGTGCCCACCGAGGGGTGGCAGCCTGCACAAGGTCTGAGCCGCGGGCGCTCGGCGCCAAGTGCAGTGTCACGCTCGCGCTGGAGCGGGACACAATGGGAAACCCTCGTTTCCTATGAACTCGGTCCCCCAACGGAAGAGGCCTCGCTCCGGAACAAGCCAACATCAGATTTGCCTCGTGCGTCCCTTTTTGAGTCGGAAAGCTATTTCTTTTGGGTCCTGTGGGCACCCTAACTGGGGCACTTGGAGCACTTGGAGTGCAGTCGGTAACCTCACATCCAGGGCCGGAGCTGAGAAGCGCAGCCAGCGGGCCGGATGATCGGGATCGGGCGTCGAGGCTTCCAGAATTCTTTCTGTAAGCCCCGCGGCGTGAGTGCGCCGGCTGCCTAACGGTGGCCTTGCTAGCCAGCCTTCGCCTCCTCCGTGGACACCATCGCCGCGCGATGTCGATCCCATACGTCGCGGCGGAGACGGCAGAGACCAAGGCCGACGCGGACTGGCACCATCCGCAAAGACGCTGGCCGCGGCTGCTCCACATGTCGGCGGCGGCGGCTGCTGCTCTCATCCTCCTCCGGCTCGCTCTCGCGTGGACGGCGTCAGAGGAAACGAGAGTCGTCTACTTGATGCGACATGGCGAGAAGACCTTCAACAAGCGCAACAAAACCGCCTACCTCTACGCCTGCCTCAGCGAGAAGGGCTGGGCCCGTGCTTATAACCTCAAGGCGCTCTTCGGCCCGCAGCCATCTCCGCCGTTCCGCACGCCGAGCGCGCTCTTCGCGGGCAACTACTCCAATCCTTCGGACTGCCGCGACGAGCACGGCTGGTACCGCACGCAGACCACCATCGCTCCTCTCGCGGCCGCGTCGCCAGGCGGCTGCATGCCTCGCTCTCTCTCTCTCTCTCCTCTCTCTCTCTCCCTCCCTCCCTCCCTCCCTCTCTCTCTCTCGTTTTTCTCTGCGCCTGTTCACGCCTGCACGTGTGAACAGGCGGCCTCGACCTCGCCGTCGAGAGTGGGACAGGCTGGCTGCCAACTCTCTGTGCTGCAGAGGAGCGAGGGCACTGCAGGCATATCTCGGCCGATCTCGGCGCACCTCATCGACTCTCTGCACGTCCCTCTCTCTGCAGTGTCGGCCGTACCTCGGCCATACCTCGTGCAAATCTCGACCGTACCTCGGCCACACCCCCGCAGGCAGGCGGCCAAGCCCGGCAGCTCGCCTCACGACTACGGCGTCTGCTGCAACACCGCGGCGGCTAGGCGGGTCAAGGCGCCGGCCCATGTCGCCGCCCGCACCTCGGCAGCACCTCGTCGGCACATCACGGCCCCATCTCGGCTACACGTCGGCTACACGTCGGCTGCGCGACGGCACGCCGGCGAGGGTGCGTTGACGGATGAGTCAACAAACGCAGGGGGTGGCTCGCCCGGCACGGCGTCTAGTGAATGTGAATTAACATGCTGATTCAATGCAGGAGCGGCTCGCCCAGCACGGCGTCGGCGCGGTGCTGGTCGCTTGGGAGCACGCAAACATCGGCCTTCCTCTGGCGGCGGAGGGGCGGGCACGTGTCGGAGGGGCGAGCTACTCACGCGCACGGGCGCGGAGTAGGCTACCTGGCAGAGGAGCTCGGCGCGCCGGCGCACGAGCTGGCCTGGCGCCCGACCCTGCGCCCCGTCCTTGGCCCCCTCACCGAGGGGACTCTTCACAGCGGCTGCCTGCGAGCAGGCCCGACCCGGAGTTTGACCTGATCTTTGCGCTGCACTTCCGCCCCTCGGGCGAGTACCTGCGGCTCGAGAGGCTCTACCAGGGCTTCACGCACCACACCCAAGGCACCCTCGGCCCACCCCCGAGGGCTGGAGGAGTGTGGACGGCGTCTCTTCACGCCTCGTGCCGTGAGCAGGCTACCTCGGGCCTCAGGAGAGCTGCGGCGCGGTGGCGCCGCTCGAGTTCGAGCACGACCCGGACGCCTACAGCGCGGCGCAGGACGAGCTCTCTGCCTCCGGCTGAGCCTTCCTAGGAGCCTTCCGGACGCAAGAGGCAAGAGCTGGCCGCTTTGGGCGCATGTGTTCATTGTTGCCCGTTTCATTCGCGTCGTACTCGTACTCGTACTAGCATGGACCATGGTGCATAGCAGCCAATTTTCGGTCAGGCGACAGCCAGTTCTCGGTGTCGGTCAGGCGATCAATATATTCAATATTTCCCGTGTGGTCCTTACGCCCCGTGTGCTAGTCTGCGCCCTTCCTTTGGCGCGTGTCGTGAAAACGGCGAGCTCGCCCCGTCAGACGAGCAGCGCACCGCGCCGGACCGGGAGGCGCACGAGCGCTCGGCACACTGTGCGGTGTGCGGCGGGGCTTTGCCCTTAGTAACCCTTAGCGTTGTACAGATACCCACTCACTAGCGCTCTCGTGTCTTGACAGTGGGTGCGACGAACTCCCTCTCCGAAGACCAAACAAGTGTACGGTGCAGTGAGGTCGAGTGCTCGAGGTCGATGTGCGCCACCCTCTCCGGAGATTCGTTCATCGACGACGTCCATTCCGACTGAGGGCCTAATAGAGCCTCCCCCCCCTACCCCTCTCCTCCTCCCTATCTCGCAATTAGCCAAAGACAGGCCACCAGATCGAGTCGTCTCGTGGAACGAGTCGACGGTTTTCCGCCCATACGTAGATCTAGGTTGTCGATCAAACGGGGCACTTTGCGAGCCGCCTCCGTCCCGTCTCGCCTGGAAGGGGAAAGCGAGATAACGTGAGGGATATGCTTGGAGAAGGCGAGGTGGCTGGCGCTCTGTTTGCCGCCGCACGCGTCGCAACTCTTCGCGCAGAGGTCCTTGACCACCTCGAGCTCGCAGCCCCCGATGGCGAGCAGCTCGGCGCACGTGGCGGCGGGCAAGGCGAGCTTCTCCACAGCGGGTGCGAGAAGCTCCTCGGGGGTGTCGGTGCACTCGAAGTGATCGAGCTCCGCATGGCCGTCCGCCTCAAACAACATGCGCCCGTACGGCTCTGGCTCCGGCTCCGGCTCCGGCTCCCAATCGGGGCATGTGTGCTCTGGGAGGCCGGCCTCCGGCACTGGAGCCATCGCGCAGGGCAGGTTGGGCCGGGCGATGCACTCCGACTTCGGGTAGCAGCACTTGATCTACAGGCCGGCCAGGATACTCACTCAACGGGGGGGGAGTCGAGAGGGGGGGGGGGGGGGGGGCTGCGGGAGTGTGTGGCGTGCACCTCATAGTCTCCATTCAGCGGCTCGCCGATGTGACCGCGGAGAATGAAGTGGTCCTCCTTCTCCGTCAGCATCGTCGGCGAGAGCAGGGGGTACGTCTTGTCGCCTCCACACGTCTTGCACGGGAGAACGACGTGATCCACGCCGTTCTCGTAGTTATCTGCAATCACCAGGGCGTCGCGGCAGGTTGCCACCGATGTTGCTGCGTTGATGGTGTAGTTCTGGCGCTGGCGCCCTTCGGAACCGTCCACATCTTGGAGTTCAATCTCCAAGAAGCCGCCCTGCATCACGAGCTTGGTCTCGTGCACCGCGACGGGGCAGTCGTCCGCGGCGTTCTTGAGCGTGGAGAGCTGAGGTGTCATGGACGAGGTCGTCATGGAGGGCGCCTCCGTGTAGTTGATCGTCGAGATGATTGCCCCCCAAAGACAGATGGCGAGGAGGAGGACCTGGAAGACGGCCAGCGCCGCGAGCAGCGACCTGGACAAGGATGTGGAGGGAACGGGGCCCTGCGAGTTCCTCTTGAGCTCGGCGACCTCCGCCTCTAGCTCGGCGATCCTCGCGCTGGCCTCGACCAGCTGCGCGTCCGCGCCCATAGCTCGAATGCCCGCCGCGTTGCCAATCCGCGTAAACTCAATTCTTTTACTCGCGAGTAAAAATTCTTTTGACCGCGCAAGATATGAAGGGTGGCTAAGGGCTCTGCTCGCAAGGCGCCCGCGTCGCAGACGCGGTACCATTGACAAATCTGCAATATACCCCCACACGAACAAATAGCAAAATCCGAATACCGTGCACGAACTGCGTGATGTGCGCCGGGCCGCAAGCCTTCAGTGGTGCCAAGACATCCGTAAAGTTGAAGCCGAAAAACGTCCGCCAAATCCGAGCTAGCGAGCCCAGCGTGCCCGCGGCCGCCTCCCGCGCAGCACCGCCGCTGGGGACGACACGCTGCGGAATCGGATCGAGCCCATGCACGGGCAAAGAAGGACGCTGCAGAAGCGGTTGGAGAGGCAGCTGGCGTCTGCCGTCACAACGAGTCCCAGCGCTGGTTGGACATGCGCGTCGGCTCGCCCGAGGACTGCTGTCGCGACCCTCCCGTCGTGACGCAGCCTCCGACGAGCTCTGCAACCGAGGAGAGTGAGGGTGCGCCTCCCCTCACTGCTGGCCTGGCTGCGCACCGCCCCACTAAGCACCCCCTCGAGCATCTCTACAAGCACAAGTACAAGGGCGACCTTCTCCAAGTCGTCAACACGCCCGGCGGCTCCGGCAAGACTTTAGCCTTGGCCACCCTCCTTGCGGAGCAGGAGGAGCTCCGCTCTCGGTCGGCAACGTGGCAGCTAGTCGAGAGACTCGGTAGTTGTGACCCCCCTGAGTGAGGACAGGAGAGAGAGAGCTTTTGTGGTGTTGGTGTACGCAATAACGGGACAGGGTAGTCGTTCTCTCTAGCTCCCCTTCTAGCTCTCAGCATGAGCTGCGCCCTGTGTCCGACCCCTTTTGCGCAGCAACACCTTAAACTTTCAGGCCCTCCAAATTCGGGTCGGAGCGTAGCGGAGTGAGTGGGCCCCGAGTTTGAAAAGGGCGACGGACGCTTGCGTCCTAGCCTCCAACAACGCCTCCCCGGCGCAGAGGGGCCCCCGGAGGGATGCTCAACCGCTCCACGCCACGCCGCTTGCGGCGGTCCTATTCCCAGCTCCGCTGAGGGCCCGCGCGTTATTACTCGCCCGCGGTGGAAATTCTTTTTACCTTAAGGTACGTGGCGAACCAAACGGCATCGGCGCACTGGCGAGCATCTCATGCAAAAGCATAGCGGCCGGGGTGTCTTCTGCTGCCTGATGACCGCCGCGCTGCCGGTAGTTCTCTACATGGCTTCGGATCCGCACACGGATCCAAATCGGCGGCTACTACGAATGCAGCAGCTTATCCAATTCCCGCTGCAAGTTCGCCTGATTGACCATGTCAGCTTGCACCAGCCTGCAGGCTATGAGCTGACCACAATCCCGCTTGAGATACAGCAGGTTCTTGCGGCCCTAGTAGACGATGCGCTAGGTGCAGGCCACGTTGGCGCTCCGTTTCATCACCATGTCGTCGACGGTCGAGCGACGGCACTGCCGCTCCCGCGTAACCTAGCTGCCCTACTCCGGGCGCTCATGCAGCCCAAGCTCGAAGAGTTCTGTGGCTGTGCACTGCAGAATGGCATCGTGCACGGTATTCGCGTGTACCATCCCGGCGCGCTGCTCTTGCCGCACGCCGACTGGCCCCACGCATGGGTTGTGTCTGCAACACTGAACGTGCGCCGGAACGTGACACTTCCGGACTGGCCATTTGAGTTACGCGGCCGTGATGGTAGAGCTACGCGTTTCGCACACCGTGAGGGCCAGGCCCTCATGTACGAAGCCTCGCGCTTGCTGCACAGTCGGCCAGAGCCCCTCAGAGGAGGTGTGTATGCGGCGGTCTTCATTGGCTTCACTCCTGTCGGCTACCCAAACATTCCGAGCGCGGGCATCGCGACGCGAGCGATCGTCACAAGCGTGATGGGCATGCAGCAGCTTGGCCTAAGGCTCGGACTGCTCTAGTGTGTATGGATCTCATTGTGCTGTGTGCAGTGGAAGCTGATAAAAAAACACCTGTCCTGTGTGCAGCCCGAATGGCGAATCCCCGAAAAACGCCTTTTTACTGGGCCAATAATATTGAATTGGGCAATGACCGTAAACCGAGGCCGGGGGGTGGTAGAGGACACTCTCCCGAGTCTAGCCCACCTAGCCCGCATCGAAAATCCCATACGCATACCACGGTACGTTTCTCGTTTGAGGATATTCTGAATTCTCCACACAGCGAGACACGATCGTTCGGTTGCATTTTTTGGGTGTGTTCGGTATTAAAGAATAAACGCCAAGTTAGCCCCATATAGCACCGGGGTGACCGTCCGGACTAATAAGAGTCGACGTACTCGAGGTTTCCGAGCCGCCGCCGCAGCCCCGCTGGCGGCGGCCCGGCCCGCACCACGCCAGCGAGCACGGCGACGTCGTCCCGCTTGCCGCCGTGGAAAGTGTACCTGTTCACGGGTGGCGGCGTGGTGGAGAGACGCCCGACTGGCATACTCGCAGCTCTGGCGCCGAAGGGAGGCGAACACACCCCTCCTGCGCCGCCGCCGCGGCGAAGGGTGTCGGCAGGCCCTCCTACACGACATGTCTACCTCCTCAGCCCTCGCGCAAACTCCGGCGAATGCGTGCTCAACTCTGCCCCTCGCCTCGTCCTCGCGCGCGCCCGTGGCGGCGGCAGCCTCGCCGATGGCGGCGGCGAGCGCGTCGACGGCTTCGCGCGCCGCGGCTTCGTCTGCCGCCTGTAGCTGCGGCACCCTCCGTGCAACCTGCGAGTGTGATGCCCGGCCGGTGAGCACGGAAGATGCTTACTGGAGGCGCCCCGTCGCGCGCGCCTCCATCTGCAGCGCCGAGTCGAAGAGGTTGTCGAGCACACCTGCTGCTCGGCAGAGGTGTGAAGCGACGCTGTTCCACAGCCGCGCGCCGAGAGAGCTTGAGTCAAGAACACGCCGTCCGTCGCGACGAGCAGCACGTCGCCTGTTCACGCGCGTGCCGACCGTGAAGAGACGCTCTTCACGCCGTTGGTCGCACGCCGCGGTGGGGGGCACCTACGCGCGCCGTCGCGCGTACCTCGTCCGCGTCAGCCGCCTGATCGCGAGTGATCTCGAGCGTGACCTCGACCAATCTCGGCCGATCTCGGCCGATCTCGGCCGATCTCGATTTGTCTTCTGCGCCAGCCGCCTGCTCCATCTCGCCGTCGAGCTGGTACGGGCAGTTGAAGTAGTGCGTCTGCTCCGCCGTCCGCAGCACCTGTGCCACCGCAGAGGTGTGAAGAGGAGCCTGGTCCTGGAGGTGCGCGTCTGCTCCTGCCGTCGTCCGCAGCACCACGCGAGGCCAGGCGACCGTCCCGCCCGCGCGGAAGCGGCGCGCCGCAGGCCGCAGCAGCATCGCGCCGCAGTCGCCGATGTTGAGGAGGCGCAGCGTCGCGCCCTCCGGCTCAAGCTGACCGACCAGCAGCGTCGAAGACCCCGCCACCGGCGCCTCACGCAGCCGCTGCGCCGTCCCTGCGAGGACGGCCCGAAGCGCCTCGCACGAGCCGTCGAGCCGCTCGTCGCAGGAGCGAAGCAGCGCACGGGAGAACTCGCCCGGGTCGACGAAGGCGCTCGCGGAGCCGCCCACGCCGTCCGCAACTCCAAATGTGCCTTTGGCCTCATCGCAGAAGAAGGCGTCCTCGCCGCCCTTGGCCGCCTTGCTCGGGTGCGGGATGCCGCACGCGCCGAAGAGCAGGTGCAGGCTGCGCGAAGGCTGGCGAGCTAGTGGCCCAGACGGGAGGCGTAGGGTCCCGAGCATGGATCGTCTTGGTAAGGCGCTTATACGAGCGTCATCTTGTAGTGAACAGGCCGAGTTCGCGGTTTGAGCGCCGCAGCTGTGAATAAATTAGTATCTCGAAATACTAGAGACCAAGCGCCCTCTCCCCGTCTAATCACTCCTCGTCGTCCGAGTGGCTGAGCTCGAGACCGAGACGCTCAGGATTGGGTCGGAACACGAGCTTGTCCATGTCCACACTCTGGTCGTCGTCGTCCATACGATTAGCTTCGCCGGCGACACACTGTACCCGTTGACGAGCCGCTTGAGCGTGGCCAGAGCTTGTACAAAGCGACGGCAAGCAGGATTAGGCCTGCGACTGCGTAGATGCTCCACATACAGGGTCGGGCTTGCTCGGGCCTCGGCGAAGAAGTCTCCTTGGCGCTTGGCTGCGTAACTAGTTTTCATAGTGAAAACCGGCGATTTCGAAGCGCCCGTGGCGGTTCGCGAGAAGGAGGGAGAGAGAGCGTTTGAGTGAGGGGCTCACGGCAAGGACACCGACCGAGGTCCGAGGGTGTTCGTTGACCGTAACCAAGACGTTATGCGTCCACGGCTGTAGCTCCCATCCGGACGAGGTGACGTCATCCACCTCCACCCCCCACTCCCCCCCCGACCACGCCCCCCCCACCACTCTGGGTGCGGTCTCGAAGAGCGTCGACATGGTGAGCGCCGAGGTGAGCGCCTCGCCTCTCAATCCGAACGCGTCTCTCAGCCACGCCCTCAGCTCCGGGACGATCTGTGCCACGATCCGCAGCGGGCCGCGATTCCCGGACCGCCTCGGAACACACCCGGACAGCCGCAGCGGGCAACCGCTGTGCTCCAGGCCACGTCCGACTCGCCCACACCGCAGCGAGGCAAGTAAATAAATAAATAAATACAAAGGACATCCCAAGCTAGGGCTGGGTCGAGGACAGACACGTCCCCACCTTTGCAGGATTTTGCAAAAGCGAGGGGGGAGGGCGCATCGCCGCGCGGAGAGGGCTGGGCACAGGGCACAGGGGATCTCTCTCGCATAGGATATGCACTCGGCGGCACGAGGGCAAGGCTGGGCGTCCTATGTTTGTGCTCCCCCCCGGACCCCTCGCTCTCGGGCACTAACCATCTGACCACTCATCGACGGGGCTTGGCGAGCGGCCGCGCTGCGGGGCAGGGCTGGTGAGAATGGGCTCTGGCCACTCGCCCGTGCGGTTGTAACCGCGCATCAGCCGAACGGAGGCCTCGACCGCCCCTCGCGGCAAGCTCTCGAGCATCTCGAGCAGCTCGCCCGCCGCCATCGCCGCCTCGAACTGCTCCCTCATGCCGAGCGCGCCGCATACCCTGCGGACCGCCTCCTGCTGCACCTCAGCGAGGCAAGTCGCTCTTTCCAGAGGGCAAGTCAAAATCTTTTTCCACGCGCCGCGGAAACCCAGGCTGAGTTGCCACCGCGACGAACGTGCATCAACACACACATGCTCTCCACCCGGGTCCGCGCCGTCGCCTTCGCGGTACTGCTGCCCCACGGCTCCTGCTTCGCTTTGAAGCGGCCTCGCGGCCGCGCGAGCATTCACATGCAGGTGGGCGGCGCGTTTCCGAGTGCGGAGCGGTGGAAGCAGCACCTCCTGAGCGAGCCTCCTCCGGCGGAGACGCCGGCGGTGCCGGTGCTCGTGCTGCAACAGGAGGAGTATGCCGACTGGCTCGCCGCGCAGTCCGACGAGCGGCAGGCATATCTCGCCGCGGCGGGCCTCTCCACCTTCAAGGACGATAAGCTCGTGCTGCTGCCGGAGAAGAGGCGCCTCGCGCCCAGGAAGCCTTCTGGCCAACGCCTTCGCTGACGAGTCGCTAGTCACTGCTAGGTGGGCCTTCCTGACGAAGAATGCATCGTCGCTCTTCGCCTTCTCGTCGCTGCCCTCGCGGCTGCCCACCGACGCCACCTACGCGCTCGAGTCCTCGCTGCCTCTGCCGCCGACCGCCGCCCTGTCGTGGGGACTCGGGTGCTACTCGTTCGATGCGTGCAAGGGCTCGCTCACGCGCAAGCGCAACGAGGGCGCGCCCCCCAAGTTCGCGAGCTTGGTGGTGCCCGGCGCGTGCGACGCGACCGACACGGCGACGGCGCTGAGCGGGACGTTCCTCTGCCGTGACCTGATCAACGCGCCCGCCGCCGACATGGGCCCCGCGGAGCTGGAGTCCGCCACGCGCTCGCTCGCCGCCGCGTGCGGTGCGAGCGTCTCCACCGTCGAGGGCGAGGCGCTCCTGCAGGGCTACCCGCAGATCCACGCCGTGGGCCGCGCGGCGGCCGACGCGAGGCAGCCGCGGCTCATCGACCTGACCTGGGGCGAGGAGGGCGCGCCGAAGGTGACGCTCGTCGGGAAGGGCGTCTGCTTTGATACGGGCGGGCTCGACATCAAGCCGGCGAGTGCGATGCTCACGATGAAGAAGGACATGGGAGGCGCCGCGCACGTCCTCGGCTTGGCGAGTATGGTGATGCGCGCCAAGCTGCCTGTCCGACTGCGCGTCCTCGTCGCTGCCGTCGAGAACTCGATCTCCGGCGACGCCTTCCGGCCGGGCGACGTGCTCGTCGCGCGCAACGGCAAGACCACCGAGATCGGCAACACAGACGCCGAGGGGAGGCTCGTGCTCGCTGACGCACTCGTGGAGGCGTGCGCCGAGCAGCAGGCACCCCCCGCCCTCAGAGGCGCCTCTTCACACGGCTGGCCGTGGAGACAGGCGTGCGCCGAGCAGCCGGAGCTCGTGGTCGACTGCGCGACGCTCACCGGCGCGGGGCGGGTGGCCCTCGGCACCGACGTGCCCGCCCTCTTCTGCAACGACGCGGGGGTCGACGTCGCCGAGCAGCTCGTGGCCGCCTCCGCCTCCGAGCAAGACCAGGTGTGGCGGCTGCCCCTGTGGCCCGGCTACCGCGAGCAGATCGACTCCAAGGTGGCCGACCTGAAGAACATCGGTGCGGGTCCGTACGGCGGCGCCATCACCGCCGCCCTCTACCTGAACGAGTTTGTCGAGGCGCCGGAGGACGGAGCCGACGGCGGCCCGGACGAGGCGGCGGAGACGGCGCAGCCTCCTCCGTGGCTCCACCTGGACATGATGGCGTACAACACGGGCTCCAAGCCGGGCAGGCCCGAGGGTGGCGAGGCGATGGGGATGCGCGCCCTCTACCGGCTGATCGAAAGGCGATGGGGCAGCGCGGCCAAGTGAGCGGCGCGGGAGGGGAGGGGAAGGGGGGAGGGCTTGCAGCTTGACGCTCCTGCCGCTGGTCGTCTGACCTTCTCTCGCTTCGGGCCTTTCTCTCAGCGACGCTGCAGACGGAGGCATGCGTGGCCGTGGGCTGACGAGAGATTCGCACCGATCTCCGGCCGCGGTGTGCGAGAATACATTCGTGAGATGGGCGCCTCGAAGAGAAAAGGTACATGCAGCAAAATCTCCTCTCGGTCTCGCTCCCCCGGGCGACACCCCGAGCACGTGCCCGTCCCGGTTGGACAGGGTCAGGGAGGATTCGGCTTTTTTTTCACCGCTTGTTGGGACACAGTCGATAAAGGTTAACGCCGTACTGACCACGCACGGCATCAAATCAATCTCCCAATCCGCCATGGACGATCCTGGATGCAATCGCTTTAAATGGGCCGGAATCTCGTGTGTGAACCGAGAACGCCTTGAGAGTTGTAATTGTGAGAGAGAGTCACGTACTACTACTATCGTATAATACACGTATCACGCTGCCTGACTCTGTTCTCTAACAGGCAAGTGGCAACCTGCTTTTTCACAGGCAGTGTCAGTAATGCTTGCCGCCCCACGTCGGCTTCCACCAGCCGGCCTGCTTGCCGCCCCTCTCCGGCTTGTCGAGCGGGTGCGACGAGCCGCCGAGCATGAGGTCCTCGTAGTACATGCCGTGCGGGATGGGCTGCGCGGCGTCCTTGCCGACGTAGAGACCGTAGAGAGCGCTGTGCATCCAGTAGTGCTGCGAGACGCCTCTCGCCTGCAGGGCCCCTTGAGGCTGCAGCTTGTGGAAGGCGAGCAGCGTGAACGGCTCGCCCGCCACGACGTCCCACTCGGGGCAATGCGGCGCGCGGTAGCGGGAGTAGTGCGAGCGAGCGGCGTCTCCCTCGACCTAACGGCGGTGCAAGCGCGTCGCCTTGGCGCGAACGCCTTTCGCTCGGCGCTCTCCTCGCGCCGATCGAGCACCGCCTCCCAGCGGTCCGGGTCGAGGCTGCAGCGGAGGAGCGGCGGCGAGGCGCACGCGACGCACTCGCTCTGGGCGCGAGACAGCTGCGCGAGGTTGTGGCGGCGTGGAGTGAGCGCGGCGGACGAGGGCACGGGCGCAAGCGGGTCAGAGTGCTGTCAACGCTGGGGATGGAGTGGGGGAGGGGGCCCCTACCTGCGCGAGGATGAGGCGCTGCGCGCTGCGCACGTCGAGCCCCAAGGCGGTGAGGTTGGAAAACATGCCTCCAAAGAGCTGCCGCAGCCGCAGCGAGGCGGCACCCGCAGAGACGGCCCACAGGTCGTCCACATACGCGTGGTGCGTGTGCCTGGTGGCATGTGCGTGTGCCTGGTGGGTTGTGGGTGTGCCTGGCGGGACTCGTCTCTGACGTGTCGTGGACGTGTCGTGGACGTGTCGTGGATGTGTCGTGGGCGTGTCTGCGGTGCGTGCGCGCCAGTAGAGGTGGACGAGCGACACGTTCGCGGGCCAGCGCCCCTCCTGCCAGTAGAGATACTCGCTCGGGCGGGCGGCGTCGAAGTGGAGCAGGTAGTCGTCGTGCGGCTTGAAGGTGCCTAAGGAGATGACTTGCAATGAATTGGTGAGTACCGATTCCACCGCAGGTAGTCGTCGTGCGGCTTGGAGGAGCCCGTGCTGATCATCGTGAGCAGCTTGCCCACCCTCCGGCGCGGGGCGCGGGTCCAGCGGTACGCGTGCTCGGCGTAGAAGGTCAGCGGCGGCGAGCCTAGCGCATCAAGACAGAGGGCGCTGAGGGCTGGGAACCCGTGCCCTCTCGAGCGCTGGCTGGAAGACACACCGATGTGCGCTCCGCATCTAGGGCATCTAGGGGCGAGCCAGCGGGCCGCACGTCGGCGAGGTCGAAGAAGGTCTCCATCGGGTCCGTGATGTGCATGCCGTACCCGGCGGGGAAGGCGCGCACCGTGCAGTTCATCCCGCCGCTCGAGGAGGCGCACTGCCGGTCGCCGTGCAGGTCGAACTCGACGGCGTAGCTATGGGGCATGTCTCGTACATGTCTAGGACGTGCCCTGGGATGTGTGCCGTGCAGGTCACTCGACGGCGTACAGTCCGAAACCGTCGCTGCTCCGGCGCAGCCACTGTCGCGCGAGCGACTGGGAGGAGGTGACGTGCATGTGGTGGATGTGCACGGGCGGCAGGCCGATCGGTGTCCCGTCCGCCGCGACGGGGCGGAAGCCTGAGCTACATTGACATCGATGAGCCTGCGTCGTGCTTCCACCGGCGCTAGGGCGGCTGCGCTGAAGGGCTCACGCTATAGGGTGCTGGATGAGGACGGGTACGATGCACTAGCGAGCGAGCGAGCGAGCGAGCGAGCGACGCCGCCGCCGCCGAGGCCGAGCGCGAGGGTGATCGAATTCAGCGAAGACAGCTCGAGTGTAGCCGAGTGTGTGTGTGTGTGTGGTATCGAGTGCACGGCCTCCGTGTTCCGCATCTAGGGTCGCAAGCCGTACGCGCTCACGGAGAGCGGCCCTGCTGTCGGCTCGGCGAGGGCGGCGCCGAAGCGGCCTGCATCCCTCCAGCCGGCAGAGTGCCAGCTGGCGCCGCGGCTGTGGAAGGGCCCGACCCGCTCAAAGGTCCAGACGCTCTCGCCGTCCTCGTCGCCCACCTCGCAGTGCTCGACCGACACCGGCGGGTGGCTCGCCTGCAGGAAGGTTTCGAGGAGGTTCAGAGAAGAGTGGCCGGGGGAGAGAAGAGTGGCCGGGGGAGAGAAGAGTGGCGGGGGGGCGGGGGGGAGTGCGATCGCGTGATGCGCGAAAGGATCGCCTCCTCCTCCGCACACGATCGGAACCGAGCACGAGTCCGCTTCTCTCTCTTTCTCGCCTCGTTCTCGCTGTGCTGTGTGCACTCAGTGCACATGCTACGTGCCCGCGCGCCTTCTCCTCCGCTGGCAGCTCGTGGAGGTAGTCGGTGATGCTGATCTCCGCTTCGGGAAAGGCGAGAGCGTACCCGTTGCGGTTCTCAAGCTTCGAGTCGCGCTGCGGCATGAACGGGCTGTACGAGCTCCATATCTTGACGCGGAGCGATTGCGCAAACTGCGACCACTGGGCGGACGGGCCAAGTATCGAGCTGCCGTTGCCTCTACTGCACCGTTGCCGCGCCTCACTCATAAGTGCGGTGATGTCAGCTCGCGCGCGCGCGAGGTCCTGAGCGCAAAAGGCGGCGGCCACCGGCGACTTGCTCGCGCAGTAAAGCTCATCCCGCGACACCGCCGGAGCTGAGGCCAACGCCGGAGCTGAGACGCCAGCCGTGCCGCCGCGCACCGCGAGTTGGTAGGCAGAGACGGCAGCCGCGCCTGCAACGAACCACACCACTCGCGCCGATCGCAGCCGTAACCAACGGCTGCGGCGGACGTCATGGACGTCAGCGACAGCCTCGTAGCCCTTCACGGCGCACATGACAGCAGCAATCACGGGACGGAGCGGAACGGAGCGTTGCTGGCGCGCTGAGAGAATTTCTGAAAAAGAATTTTATAATAAACTCCATCGCACAACACCCGGCAGGCGGCGGCGTCACAGGACGAGGCAGAAGAGAACGACGCGACAGAGGAGGAAATGACAAGGGAGAGAACGACGAGAGTGGGACGACCGCGAGGTGGCATGAAGATTGCAGCGAGAAAGAAGCGGCGAGAGACTGCGAAGAGAGATAGGAAGAGGCAGACTCCCTAGGGTGGGCGACGGCTAGCGCACCACACACCTCTCCTTAAAATCCCTGTGTGGTGGCGGCGTGCCGTCCTCCCATCCCTCCCTTGGGTTGTCTGTTTTCTTTCTTTCTTTTACACTGGGCACGAGTGTTCGAAGAGAGAGTGGACCTGAGCAACAACATGACCTGTAGGCAAATGATCGGAGTGGGAGTCAGAAATGTGGTCCTTGCGCGAGGGGAGCTCGATAGACTCGAGGGGCCAGGATACGCCGCGAGGAGGACACCTAGCGGCGGGGCGCCCCCTCTACTCGGAGCTAGCACTACGTACGAGAATACTCTCCGAGGGTTGGACCCGGAGCGGCCGCACACTGCTCGGTACCCCCCCTGCACATCTAAAGCCATGGGGGGGGGGGGGGGTCGGCCATGGCTTTAAATGTGCAGGGGGGGGGTACCGAGCAGTGTGCGGCCGCTCCCGCGTACCAGGTTTCCCCTTAACTGCAGGACGCCCCCTCTACTCGGAGCTACATGCACATGTACATGCATGTGGTGATACGAGAATACGCACCGCCCACGCAATACCTTACTCGAAGATAATACGAGACTTCAGACGCCTGCAGGAGGAAAAAAGAAAAGTTGATGGACTTCTCGTTCTCAAACAACTTTAAAATCCCTGTGTGGTGGCGGCGTGCCGTCCTCCCATCCCTCCCTTGGGTTGTCTGTTTTCTTTCTTTCTTTTACAACTCTAACACTCACATAAACGCACAACTCCGGACCCAAGACGCACAAGCACAGACAGTCGAGAAGGGGGAGAGACAGCAACGACAGTCAGAAGTCAGCGCTGGGTCCCAGGAAGGCGAATGCGATGACGGCCTCTAGTGTGAGCTCTAGCTAGTGAGCTCATACGCACGCCGGCAGATCGCGACTATATACAGCTAGTTAAGAGCCGACCGACCCTCGCGTCCGGTGCTCACCGACGGCCGGGCGGGCCGCCCGCCCACGCGCCGCCTACGCGCAGCGCGTGCGCCGCAAACTCGCCCGCCGACAGCGCTGGCCAGTCTCCATCGGCCGTCGCGAGAGGCCTGCCCGGCTGTCGCCGCGGGGCCCCCACGAACACCACGCGTCGGATGCGGTGCCGCGCGAACTCGCGCGCAAAGTGCACGCCCCACGCCCGCCGCAGCGCTCACACATCACGTTCGCTTGCCCCTTTCGCCCGCCGTACCCAATCGGCGCAGGTGTGATCTGGGAGGCTGCGGGAGCGGCGCAAAGAGGCAGCGTCGCGCATGCTTTCCGCAATGATCTTTTTATTTTGCGACGGCCTGGACGCTAGCTGCCGACGCCGGGCTGGCTTGGCTTCGAGTGGCTGCTTCTACACGGCTTCTACACGAGCACTGACGCCACTCGCCTGAGACACATGTACCTATCGGTCCTCTTCGGCACGGGTCTAGCGTGCGCGACGGCGCAGGCGTTCTTCACCCTCCTATTTGCGCGGCTGCTGCCGGACGGCATCTGGCGGCGCGAGCCCGGCTTCTTGGCCCACCAGGCTGTCGGCCTCCCGCTGATGCTCATAGTCGCAGGGGTCGGGACGGTAGCCTGGTTCTTTCCAGACGAGGCGTCGCAAAAACTCGCCGCCACGCCGGAGGGCCGCGTTCACGGCGACTTTCCAACCTCAGATTGGCTAGTGTCGCTGCTCCTGGGCGAGCTGCTGCTGTGGGACATTCCGATGTCGGCCTTCCCCTCGCTGCGGTCGGCTGCGTCCGTGGGGCACCACGTGATGATGGCTCTCGCGTGCGTGATCGCTCTCCAGCCCTACCTGCTCTACTACGTCCCCTTTCAAGGCGGCGGCGGCGCGCTGCGACAAGTCGCTGTTCACAGAGCCGTGCGTGAACAGGTGCCCTTCTTCGGCGGCGTGATCGAGCTGTCGTCCATCCCGCTGCAGGTGGTGGATGTGCTGCACCCGAAGCACTTCGTCGAGTGGACGGATAGGCCTCGGGTCGCGCAGCTCAACGCCGCCTGCCGCGTCGCCTTCGCGGCGCTCTTTCTGCTGACGAGGACGGCCCTCTTCCCGTTCGTCGTCTTTGGACAGGCGGCGACGCGACACGCCACACACCCTCCCCCTCTCTCCCTCCCACCCGAGGCGCGACCACCCCCAGGTCCTGCCCGACCTCTACCACGTCGCCTCTCGAGACCCGGACGAGCGAGTCGGCGCGGCGGTCGGCAGCGCCCTCGCCGTCGGCTTCCTGCTGCTGCAGCTCTACTGGTCGCGCCTTATCCTCAGGCAGATCCTCAAGAGAGGCGGAGAGGGCGGCAGCAAGGCCTCGATCCGGAGTCGAGAGGAGGCGTCGAGTCCAGCGACAGCGTACTCCCAGCTGGACGACGTCAGAGGTCATAGAGCAGTTGAGGCGTGACGTGATGGAGAGCCGGGTGTCCCTTGAAAAAATGTGGTGTGTGCAAAAACGCGTCGTGATAAATGTGTTCGTTAAGTGCTCCATTCGACAAGACCGATAATAACAACGACAACGTCAGTTCTCGGGCGCGTAGGCCCTCACCGCCCACTCCCTCGCGGCGTTGGTGAGCCGCGTGTTCATGATGCCGCCGATGCCGTACGCGCATCCGAAGCGGCCCATCCGAGCGAGCGTCGACGACGGCAGCAGCGGCCCCACCTGGCTGGCCCTTTGCGCGGGCGTGGCGATGGGCACGTTGTACATATTCAGCGCCAGGAGGTGGACGGGGGTGAGGAGGCACTGCATGCCGACGGGGGAAAGCAGCTGCGAGGCGTTGGCCGCGCTCGCCTGCGCGCGAGAGGGGGGGCGAATGGAGGTGGGCGGGCGGGGCGGAGGTGGCGGCGCCTCTCTCTCTCTCTCTCTCTCTCTCTCTCTCTCTCTCTCTCTCTCACACACACACACACACACACACACACACACACACACACACACACACACACACACACACACGCCTCTTCGAGCGAGCCCGACTTGACGAGCGTCTGGGCGAGGATCGGCGGCACCGTGAAGCCCGCCGCGATGGTGAGAACGTCTCGGCCGGCAAAGAGCATGTACGTTACGGGAGGGACCGGCGGAGGCTTGGCGCCGCCCGCTCCAAACATCCGCGCAAAGGCGGCGTCCTTTGCAACGCCGGCGCACATGTTGACAACCGTGACGCCAAAGAGCTTGGTGGCGCCTTTGACGAACTTGTTCTCTGCGTCGGGGTCGAAGGCGCGCTCGCTGACAGCGTCGATCGAGTTCGCGGTGGCGTAGGTCGAGCCGTAGACGCCGGCGACCATCCAGTACGGGAGGCTGGTCAGCATGACGTGAGGGCGCGTGAAGACCTGCCTCAGCCCCTTCAGCAGCGCGGCGCCGAGCCCGCTCTTCCCGGCGCTGTTCTCCGTGACGGCACGGTCGACAGTGAGGATGAAGGGCGCGGCGCAGCAGGCCGAGGCGAGGCCGCAGGCCGAGCCAAGCGCGCAGTCTACCCATGTCGGAACGGCAGCCGTCTCGTCACGCGTCCGAGGCGTGAGCGGCCCGCCGCCACCCATCGGCGAAGCTTGAACCTCGGGGTCGACCTCGGCCAAGCGAGCCGGGCTTGCACTGGCGATCGAGTCGAAACCACAAAGAAAAGATCGGCGGTCAAACGGAGCGAGCGAGAAATAAAGAAAAATGGGCGGCTAGCACACCGCTGCGCCACCCTCAGTGAGTCTACCTCGTCTGAGCAGACCCCTGCTCATCTTGACGATGCTGGCTATGCTGCATCTCCACTCAGTCGCGTCGCCGCCGCCCCCGCCGCAGCCGGTCCTCTGTCCTTCGAAGGGAGGCACGATCAGCGGCCTTGGCTCCGACGAAAAGCACATCGTCCGCCTTCCAGCCGACGCACCGACCAATCAGGAGAAATGGATGTTGACAAACGACTCGAAAATCAAGGGCTCGTTCACCGGTGAGTACTTGCAGGTCTTGCCCGATGACCGCGATGAGTACAACGATATCTACGGACAGGGCAGCTTCACGATGACGGGCCTCGATTTTGCCTTCACCGTCGAGAAGACGGGCATGCACACACTCTTCCTGCGTTGGGCGGGCGGTGACATGGGCGGCGGAAGCGACTCGCTGTATGCCGTGGTGCGCCGCGACGACACGGACGCTATCGTTCCCGGACCCGACATGTTCAAGCCGAAGCGGATCGGCATTGCGGACAACCCGGGCCAGTACCTGGGTGAGCGCCATATCTCACAGCACTCTGCTTGCATCGCCCTTCCCGACTACACGCTGTCCCCTCGCAGGTTGCTGCTACCACCACGCGACACACGAGTGCCCCTGCTACACGCCCGACATGAGGCCGGAGAGCTGCGAGGAAGAAGGCGGCTACTGGGTGAGCACACGCGCACAAGGCACATGCTCCCCCGCCCCCGCCTGCGAAAATGGCCTGCCCTTGCCTCCTCGCAGGCGGAAGCCGCGGGGGCCAAGAGATGGGGCGCGACCTGCATCGCTCCGAAAGGTGAGATGGAGGCGGTCCGGAAGCCTCTCTGGTACCTCTTCGCCGGGCAGGTGCGGGCTGCCCCCCCCTGCCTCCCCTCGCCAACTCGCCCCCCTCCTCCCCTGCCTCCCCTGCCTCCCCTGCCTCTCCCCTGCCTCCCCTCGCCAACTCGCCCCCCTCCTCCCCTGCCTCTCCCCTGCCTCCCCTCGCCAACTCGCCCCCCTCCTCCCCTGCCTCCCTCCCCTCCTCCGCGTCCTCGACCCGTCCCCGACCCGTCCCTCGCCAGGACCCCGACCACGAGTCAGGCGCCGGGGCGCAATCGACGCTGATGGACTTCGACTCGCCGCCCTGGGACTCGACCTGCGAGGCAGCCTCCACCGCGACCAAGGACTCGGGGATGGACTTCGCGCAGTGGCAGCTGAAGGCCGGCGACATCTACCACCTCGTGCTCTACCCGCGCGAGGACGGGACCGCCGTCGACGCCTTCCAGCTCGTCCCTCCCGGAGGCACGCCGCCCGCGCGCGACACCAGGCTCAAGCCGGGCGACACCACCCTCGACTGCCCGGGCGGGCCGCGCTTCACCAGCCCTGTCGACAGCCCCGGCGCCGACGTCAAGCACCACGAGCACGACAAGGCCGGCTGGGGCCACCGCGGGGACGGCGACGCCAATCTCAAGTGCGGCGCCTGCCTCGAGCCGCTCACCGATTTGAGCAAGTGTCCGACGCCCGAGCAGCTCTTTGCGATGCCAACCTGCGACAACGTGACCGAGGGCGAGAGGCGCGGGAGGCGGACGCGTCAACTGGTGCAGCAGCCGAGTTGTTTTGTAGGTGACCGAGGGCGAGATGTGCGAGGCGGACGGCGAGTGCGGCACCGACGTGCACCTCAACAACTGCGACGACACACTCCCCGGAGGAGGAGGAGGAGGAGGAGGAGGAGGAGGAGGAGGAGGAGGAGGAGGCAGGCCTTCGAGGAGGCACCGCAACAATAATGATGTGTACGTGCGTGCGGCGTGCCCCGTGGACAAGTCGGGCGGCGGTGTCAACGTCGCCGCGCTCGTCGTCTCCCTCCTCCTCGTCGCCGCCCTGCTCGCCGGCTACGTCCACCTCTCCCGCAAGACCCACGGGGGCGCGGTCGTCCTCCCGTGGAACTGGCACAAGGTGACGCGCACCGGGGCCGCCCACTCCGCCGACCCAATCGTCCGCTCGTGCGTTTCGACCGTCTACGCAGCTCCGTACGCCGCCCCCAGCTGCCCGCTCTCCACGGCGGCGGTGCCTTCCGCGGCCTCGGCCACGGCCCTCCCCGCGGCGGGGGCTGGTGGCGCCACCACGTACGGCCTCGCCAGGGACGTTCGCGTCGCGCCGGCCTGAAGACTGGCGCGGTGAAGGTCAAGTGCGAGTGCGCGAGCCAGCTAGCGCGACGGGGCCAAGAGGCGGCAGAGTCTCTCTCCTGTGGGGGCGGGACCTAGGATGCGAGCGCGGGGCGGTCGGGAGAGGCGCGCTCGCTAGTGCGAGTGGAGGAGCTCTGTGAAGCGCCAGCAGGGGGACCTGCCACTTGACCTGACCGTGCGTGCGTCGACGGCTCATGCGTAGCGACGGCGGCATGAGCGTTGAGACACCTAAAGCCGTATGTACGTCTCCACGCGGTCCCTGAGTGCTGAGACATGCGCCAACGGTGTGGGCAGTGGGCCCATGTCCATGTGATTGGATGGTTGCTGGTTGGGGAACACTTGTGGGTAGTTGGAAAGGGATTTGGACGTACACGTAGAGTAGAGTCAAGAGTGGATAGCCAACGGACTACGCGATCTCATACACGGCTCTCTCTCACTAGAGAGCACAAGAACGCATGGGACATGCGACACCTAAACGGCGTAAAGGATATGGGGCCCGTTAGGCATATACGGCTACGCTCACGGGCATTCGGACATCGGACACGGCGAACACACACATATGTGCTACTCTTTCGACTCACCGACTCTATCTAGAATCTACTCAGTCTTTGGCCGTCTGCGCACTTCCCACACCAGCCCGCACCGCTCGAGCAGCAAAATCGCGCCGAAGACCCAGTCCTCCTGCGCGCCGTGCGGCGAGTTGCAGGCGAGCGTCGGGTGCAGGTGGTGGCGGGCGTGGTGTGCCTCGCCGCTGGACAGCAGCCCGAACCAGCGCGCCGGGATGTCCCACGCCGCCCCGCCCCGCCCCGCGTGGTCCGCGCGGTGCTCGTCGTGCGCATAGGCGTTGAAGAGCAGGTTCATCTGCACCGCGAAGGCGCCTCCCGCCGAGGCGGCGTCCCTCGCCATGTCGCCGAAGCGGTGGACCACGAAGTCGGTCGGGTCGACGAACCACCACGCGGCCAGCGCGCGCGCCGGGCGGAGGAGGGTCGCGTCCACGACATCCTGCGCCTCTCCGGCCGCGAGCAGCTCGAGCGCAAAGAGTTCCGGCGCGTCCGCCTGCCAGTCCCTCATGTGTTCGACTCTGGTCCGGAAGTTGTGCCGGTCGAACAGCCAACCGAGGTAGGCGTATGCGACGCCGCACTGCACCGGGCTGTGCGGGTCCTCTTTACCGTCGCTGTGCCTGTGGTGGTGGCGGTGCAAACTGCTCCACCACATGCAGCGGGTCCCCGTGTTGCAAAAGGCGGCGAGCAGCCACGTGAACGCGCGCGACGTCTTGAAGCAGCGGTGCGCGAAGAAGCGGTGCGCAAGAGTGTTTGCAAGGTGCGTCAGCAGCATGTAAGCCGCAAAGATTAGCAGCAGCACGAGCGCGTCGATGCAGACCAGCGCGCCGCGCCACCGGCTAAATATGAGCAGCGCGTGCCCCGCATCAGCGACCTGCATCGCCGGGAGCCACATAGACCCGTGGATCATGCGGCCGAGGCCCAGCGGGCCGAGGTTCGCGTAGGACGGCAGCGCGCTCGCACTCGCGCAGAGGTCGACGTACAGCCGCTTCCACGACACGGCGTGAGCGCGCGCGCAATTCGCAAGCGGCGCCGTCCAGTCGCTGGCGATGCCGCGCAGTTCCTCTCTCGCAACGGCGACTAGGGTCGCAGGCGCAGCCGCGCGCCGGTGGTACCAGCGTATGACGATGACGCTGACGAGCGAGGCGGCGACGTGGTGCGGCGCATAGAGGAGAGCTCGGCCGCACTTGTAGTACCAGCAAGCGGTAAAGACGAGCGAGGCGGCCGATTTGGCGGCCGCGAGCGCAGTCGCGCGCGAGCAGGAGCTTTCGGCGGCGACGCGAACAGTGTCCATGTTTTGTGCTGCGCTCAATTTCACGGATCTGGCGAGGCACTTCGAGCCGAGCGCAGCCCCAGGAGGCGCTGGAGCGGAGGGACTCAGTCAATTTTCTTTTTTCTTTTTGACCGCGCTTAGGGTAAACGGCTCTGCCCGCAAGGCGCCCGCGTCGCAGACGCGGTCGTCTGGCCGAAGGCTCATCCAGCCATATCTCGTGGTGTGTGCACTGCGCAGTGTGGTTTCTTTATCTACATCGATGTAGGTCACGAGGCCCCGCCGTGCAGGGCGCTACGGGCTCCGGCCGGACGTGGCAGCGGCGGAGCGTCGCGACTCCGCCCTTTTTTCGCCCAACACGCTATCCACCGTCACCGACCCTGCCGCCAGCGCCGCGGCTTCCCGCCGCGCGCGCTCAGGCTAGGGGCGCTCGCTCACCGCATCTCGGTTTGCGCATTGAGCTCTGAGGCCCCCATCACGCCGGGGATCCACGGCCGGCGAGGCGTCCCGCCGGAGGCCAGGATTGAGGCACCTGCGCCGTCGACTCGGCGAGACCCTCGCCATCACCAGCCTCTACCTGGGAATACCGCATCCGCATTCCCGCTCATCGCTTTGCGCATTCCGCAGATCCCTCAGGGGGCATGGACGCGTTCCTCCCTGGGGGTCAACTCGAGCGGCCCCTATCTTGGCTCGGCCGAGCACGCCTGCCAGCGTGCTACAATCCCAGAGTCGGCCGCCGGGGCGGGCGTTTGCCCGCCCAGGACGCCCCGGCCGAACGGCGGTACCATTGACAAATCTGCAATATACCCCCACACGAACAAATAGCAAAATCCGAATATCGATCTGGGCCGTGCAAGCCTTCAGCTGGTGCCAAGACATTCGTTCGTAAAATTGAAGCCAAGAACGTCCGCTAAATCCGTGCTAGGGAAAGCTGATCGAGCCCGCGGCCGCCTCCCGCGCAGCACCGCCGCTGGGGACGACGAAGGCCCCCGCACGGGGGGTCCCGGGGGGCACCATGATCGTCCGCCAAGGGTCCGGGGTCGCCCAGGCAAGTGGCCCAAATCCGATGAGTTTTCCAGGTGTGAACAGCAGCTGAGAGGTGTGAATTCATCCCGGGCGGGGTGCGGGGCGGCCGCCCCGCAGAGAAAATTTTGCGTGCTGGGGCACTGAGATCGCAGTTTTCGTTAGTCCACGGCGGATGCCAGCGGCAGCTGTTTCGAAGATTCGCGGTGCCGCATTTGAGCATGAATCAGCGACCTTTCTGCTGGCATCACGCATAAGAGAAGCCGAGAGGCACGAGGTCCTCCAATTTGCCGGATCAGCAGCGCGGTCTGGAGCGTGGTTGTGCGCCGGCACACTTGCCGACGGGCGCCGGGGTCTCTTCGGGTAGGGGGACTAGTTCGCAAGCGCCTTCCGCAGTGGCCACATCAGCCTCTCAAGCATACCTCTCACTACGGCTTGAATCCTCATGGCCGCTCCGTTCCTATACACACTCTCGAACTCCTTCCGCTCCCGCCTGATGCGGCGGTTGTGGGCCTTATGGCTATTCTCTGCTAAGAACGATCTCACCCAGTCCCGAGGCGGCCCGTCCATGCGTGACACCCTGTTATTAGAACTTAACGTGAATGTTTGATCTGCGACAAGCTCCGACGTCACGCGCATCCAGTTCCTACCCCCAGGGAGGTGGAACCCACAGTGGACGCCGAATTCTCAGCATATGCACTCGTACTCGGAGCTCATCCCCTACCTGCACGTGACATGACACTGCTGTGAATACATCCCGAACCCATACTCAGGAGCGGTAGCATATGCCGAGTCGCTTGCGACTTCTCTCTCTGCTCGTACTCCCCGCCGGCAACACCGCCGCCGCCGCCTACTGCACGTCGTCCGCCTTCCCGCCGGCACAGCAGCATCGTCGCCTGCGACCACAGAAGCATGGGCTGCGGCATCCCGCTGCCGAGGCGAACGCGTTCGACGTCTGGTGGGCTGAGCGACGAGCACGCAACACCGTCGCCGGCAAACCGCGTGCGGTGTGGGCGCAGGCGGCGGCGTACGAATCCAAGAGCGCAGAGGGGCGGGCGAGGCTGAGGGCGGCCCGTGTCGCGGCGGCAGCAGCGGAGGCGGCAGCGGCGGAGGCGGCAGCGGCGGAGGCGGCAAGCCCAGCGGCCACCGCCAACGCGCTCCCGCTGGACAGTAGCTTTCGTTGGACGGCTTCGATGCTGTCGGGCGAGGCGAACTGCGCTTGGAGCCCGCCCTTGTCTTCGAGTGTCGGCGTGGTGCTCACCGAGTTTGTCCAGAGCGACTATGCGAGAGCGGTCTTCAACACCCGCCGGGTCGGCGGGAGCGACTACGGGCAGATCCACGGCATGTTCGATTCGGTTCGGCTGGTCGGCACGCGGCTCGAGCTCAAGCCGAGGCAGGCTTGCGAGAATGTCGAGGGTCTCTTCGATCGCCTAGCAAAGTACCTCCGCGCGAGGATCCCGCAGATCAAGGATGTCGTCGAGATAATCAGGGACGGCGAGAATCATCACTGAGTGTGCTCTAACTACGGATTTTAGCCCCCCGCTACCCGGTTGCACTCGTGCGACGTAGCGGGGGGCCACAACTACGTTTACGAAAACATAAGTAGTCCCGCTCGGCAGGTGTGAAGCCGCAGGTCGGATGTCGTACATGTAACACGATGGTGGCCGAACGGATGCATCAACGGTGCACGCTGCTGCGCCCCACGCCGCGGTGCGCGGCGGCGATGCTGGCGGCCTCGCTGCTGGCGATGCCAGCCGCGCCACTGGCACGTCGGTCGCCACTGTCACCACGTCTCTCGCCGCGGTGGAGCTCTGCGACAAGGACGTGGCAATGCGCTGCTCTGCTCAAAGCGATGCTGGCTCTGCTGCCGACCCTGAGTGGGAGGCAGTGCTGGCGCAGCAGATAGCAGAGGAAGCAGAGGAATCATAGCAGAGGAATCGGAGCTCTACTGCCGCTTCGAGCGCCGTGGCGACGACTCCGACGACGGGTGGGACAACTACAGTGAGGAGGAGGAGGAGGAGGATGGCCATGCTACCGATCCTGAATCCTCTGCCGCTCCCAGCCGTGCTCGCCGAGCCTCCGCCGCCTCCACCTCCGCCTTCAATCTCAATGTCCCACCCCCCTGCGCGCGGGCCTTCTAGGCCCGCGGGTAGGTAGGAATTCACTATTGTGATGTTAGAGGTGGGTTAAGAGGGAGATGTGCGCGAGCTGAATTCCTAGGACGTATTTTCTTCTCATAACAAGGCTGTGAATTCCTATCTCGCAACGAATCTCGCCGGCCTCACCGGCCCTCACTTTGACCGACGCCACCGTCCGCTCGACTGGCCGATGAACAGGGTTCGTGATTTCACATGGAAACAGCGAATCGGTTTCACTTTCACTTTCACTTCACATTTCATGTGAAACGAAATTTCACTTTTTCGAGCGAGTGTGAAGAGTCGTGACTGTGGACGTGAATGATGAAGGATGCTCCCACCGAGTTCCGACACTCTGACACTCACTTGCACAGGTGTTGGCTCCCAAGCAGCAGCCAAGATGAAGGAGGCTGGAGATATTGGTCTCGCTGAGCTGATGTGTACACTAGACCTATATGAATCTCATAGCATGCTGTGGGCGAATACGGTGCTGATGGTGGGATGAACTCTCTCAGCAGTCGAGAGTCGACTCTCGACGCTTCGGGAGGGCGGCGGCGGCGGTGTAGGGGCGGCGGCGAGCTCCCGGTTGCAAATACTCGCCTCACAGTCCAAGATGGCGGCTCGCGCCCCCATCCGTGCACCAGCGTGCCACTCTAGCCCCGCCTGCCGCCCAGATACCGAGGGCGGGGCGCACTCTTCGACTTGGGCTATTGCCACCGGGAGGGCGGCGGCGGCGGTGTAGGTGCGGCGGCGAGCTCCCGATTGCAAATACTCGCCTCACAGTCCAAGATGGCGGCTCGCGCCCCCATGCGTGCACCAGCGTGCCTCTCTAGTCCCGCCTGCCGCCCAGATACCGAAGGTGGGGGACGCACTCTTCGACTTGGCTATTATTTGCCACCGGGAGGGCGGCGGCGGCGGTGTAGGGGCGGCGGCGAGCTCCCGGTTGCAAATACTCGCCTCACAGTCCAAGATGGCGGCTCGCGCCCCCATGCGTGCACCAGCGTGCCTCTCTAGCCCCGCCTGCCGCCCAGATACCGAGGGCGGGGCGCACTCTTCGACTTGGGCTATTATTTGCCACCGGGAGGGCGGCGGCGGCGGTGTAGGGGCGGCGGCGAGCTCCCGGTTGCAAATACTCGCCTCACAGTCCAAGATGGCGGCTCGCGCCCCCAAGCATCCATGCTCTGATGTGTCGCTTGGGTCGCCTCTGCTGCTGTGTCTCTGTCTTAGCCAGATATCGAGAGCGCGCGACGACAACCAACCCCTTACCCTAACCCCTAAGAGAGATGGGCCCAGGTAGGAGGCTCCACGCCACCTGACTCGCGTCGTGCCACCTGACTCTCGCCTGGAGAGGCCTCTTAGCCGAGGCACACGTGGCAATCGCCACGTGCGCCAACAGGGATTTCGGCCATTTTAGAGCCTTTTGCACAAAAATGCAGGTGGCTTTAGCCACTTGCTCCATGAGCAAAACAGTGCAAAAAGCACCTGGAGCAGATGGCTTACGCCGCCTGTGGACATGGGCAAAACAGTGCAAAAAGCACCTGGAGCAGATGGCTTACGCCGCCTGTGGACATGGGCAAAACAGTGCAAAAAGCACCTGGAGCAGACGGCTTACGCCGCCTGTGGCCATGGGCAAAACAGTGCAAAAAGCACCTGGAGTAGATTCCAAACGCCGCCTGTGGCCATGTGATGCGCTCGGGTGGCGCCAAGGGCTTCGGCCCCCTCCAAGCCACCTGCCCCGCCCCCCTCGCCACACGTGGAGGGCTGGAGCACGTGCGCCACCTGGGCCTGGGCAGGTGGCAACAGGTGGCTTCAGCCCCCTCCAAGCCACCTGCCCCCCCTCCCTCGCCACACGAGGAGGGCTGGAGCACGTGCGCCACCTGGGCCTGGGCAGGTGGCTCCAGGTGGCTTCGACCCCTCCAAGCCACCTGCCCCGCCCCCCTCGCCACACGTGGAGGGCTGGAGCACGTGCGCCACCTGGGCCTGATGGGTGGGCAGGTGGCGCCAGGTGGCTTCGGCCCCTCCAAGCCACCTGCATGCCCCCCCTCGCCACACCTGGAGGGCCGGAGCACGTGCGCCACCTGGCGCAAGTTTGAATTCGGAAACGGAAAATCCGAGCCACGGAAGGGCTGGCCTGCCAAACGCGAGCCTCCCCGCTCCTCCCCGCGCTGCAAACTGGGACTGTGGGGTGTGTGAAAGAGGGCCTGCGGCGGTCATCGGCGGCTACAATCAATGTCCGGCGTCGACATAAGCCTGGGGCTTCAACCCGGCCCGCGCGGGCGTTTGGTGTGGCTGCAAACGCCGCAGGAGCCGGTGGCTGCGCTGCTCACGCGCCGTTGCTGCCGACGCTGAGCAGTCTGACTCGCCAATGAGAAGACTGCCCGATAATACGCCATCACTCGATCCCCGATAAACCAGGCCATGCAGAGCTTTGTCGGCCTCGCCGACGTCGTGTGCTGGCTGCGCGGTAGAGTTGCGAGAGTGGATTGTGGAGGCGCGGCGGGGGCGGCTCGTGGTGCCGAGGCGGTGTATAGTACATTCCTATTCAAAAGAACACGCACGATGAAATTCCCGAAGTGACGCCCAGGTGGCGCACGTGCTCCAGCCCTCCAGGTGTGGCGAGGGGGGGCATGCAGGTGGCTTAGAGGGGCCGAAGCCACCTGGAGCCACCTGCCCGGGCCCAGGTGGCGCACGTGCTCCAGCCCTCCAGGCAGGTGTGGCGAGGGGGGCAGGTGGCTTGGAGGGGGGCGAAGCCACCTGGCGCCACCCGAGCGGTCACATGGCCACAGGCGGCGTTTGGAATCTGCTCCAGGTGCTTTTTGCACTGTTTGCCCATGGCCACAGGCGGCGTAAGCCATCTGCTCCAGGTGCTTTTTGCACTGTTTTGCCCATGTCCACAGGCGGCGTAAGCCATCTGCTCCAGGTGCTTTTTGCACTGTTTTGTCCTTGTCCACAGGCGGCGTAAGCCATCTGCTCCAGGTGCTTTTTGCACTGTTTTGCTCATGGAGCAAGTGGCTAAAGCCACCTGCATTTTGTGCAAAAAGCTGCAAAGGACTCGTGGAGGCACGTGGCGCTTTCCGCGTGTGTCTCGTGCAAAATCCGGCATTTTGTGGCTTTCAGGTGGCACGACGCGATTCAGGTGGCGTGGAGCCTCCTACCTGGGCCCATCTATGACCCCTAACCCTAACCCTAACCCTAACCCTAACCCTAACCCTAACCCTAACCCTAGCCCGAAGAACCCAAAGCGTTCACCGAGAGCTCGTGTCGACGGACCGCTGATTCCGCCATTTGGTTTCGGCCCAAACCGGACCATTCTCTTAGGAGCAGCACAACGGCTTGAACGCTCTCTGACCCTAACCCTAACCCTAACCCTAGCCCTAACGACACGGTGCTTCTTAAGAGGTCGTGCGCGTCGCTGCCGACGCATCTCGCGTGTATGGTGTATTTGCAGTGTATTTCGGCGGGGGCGCGCATTAAAAGAACATTGAGGCAACACACACGTCCTCGAGCGCCCGAGGACACGAACCAAGCTGCACCTCCTCTCACTAGTTATTGTGGGCTCTTTCTCCTTTCTACACTTCCTCGCTTTCAAACACCGCGTTTTGATGCAGTGAGGGCGGGCCCCTGTTCTTTGAGCCTTGGGGACGACCACGGCCTTGACCACACGGCCTCGCTGCAGGGAAGCAGGAACGCGCGGCATTGGTGGCACCCACAGAGATCCCTACCGATGCCGGCAGTGGTAGGCGCACCGCCGCTCTCTCCGCTGCCGCCTCCGCCGCTGCCGCCTCGACTGCTGCCGCCTCCGCCGCTGCCGCCTCGGAGATGCCAGAGCCTTCGAAAGTAGTCGAACTTGTGAAATTTTCAGTGAAACGGGGGCGGCCGAAATGTTTCATGTGAAATTCACATGAATTCACATGTGAAAGTGAAAGTGTGAAAATTCACTCACGAACCCTGCCGATGAAGAGCGAGACCCGTACGACGCGCACTTGTCGTCCTCCCTCCTCGCCACATGACGGCCGCCCCCCGACACCGACAGTCGCGCTCCGCACGCCGTCGAGGTCAGCTGCGGCCGAGCGACGATCGGCTCGTCTCCGATCGCTGGGCGCGTTTACTCTCCGGCCATCACCCGCCTGCCGATCTCCTGTCCGCCTCGCCGCGCGCGGGCCGCTCGCCTGCTCGCCACTCGCCGCCGCGCGTCCCCGCGCCGCCACGCTTCCCTGCACCTGACGGCGCTCGAGCTGGGCAGACGGCGGGCTCTGGCAGACAGAGCAGCGGCCGCCCAGGCGGTCGCTGCTCCGCCCCGTCCGAATCCGTCCGCCCGCGCGTGCTGCTGCCGCCGCCGCCGCCCCGCTCCACCCGGTGCCCGTGTGTCGTGAGAGTTGCTTTGTGTATGTGCATGTCGTATGTGTGTGGACTTATATGTCACACTTTGAGCCTCTATCTATGATTAGTAGACCGGTACTCGGGTTTAGATGGTAGCGGGGGGCCCCGCCGGAGGCTGGTTACTGATTTAGTTTTTTAGCTCGGAGACACACTGCCGTAGTACGGCCCCGTCGAGTGTCACACATATCGTACAACATTGATACCAGGGATTCCTTTTCCTTCTGCTCTCACTAGAGCCTTTTTGTTTTCCCCCATGAGTTTCCTATTCACCGTCGTCCGCGCGGCATTCGGCATTCCCGCTGCGGCGTGGCCGTGGGCCACAGCCCCCCCCAGCACGGCGCAGCAGCACCAGAGCTTCAGGTTCAGCAGCTTCCTCGTTCCTGCCCGTGCCGACGCGGCAGGAACGTCGTTGGTTGCTCCCCTCTCACCTCGCTCGTGAGGTTGCCTATGTCCCTCGACTCGGCCACATGCTGGCTCGGACCCGCGCCCAACTGGAGACCGAGGCTGGCAAACTTGCCCACGTCGAGCTTGTTCTTCCTCCCCTCGGCCACGGCGCCGTTGATCACCAGCCACTCGCGAACCTCCTTGTGTCGTCTCGCGAGGGCATACGGTGTGTCACCGCTCTTACCCGGTCGGTTCACCTCCGCTCCGTTCTCCACCAGCACCTTGACTGCATCGAGGTGCCCGCCCATTGCCGCTGCACAGAGCGGGGTCTCCCATGTGCCGCGGGAGCCATAGCTGCCGGCGTAGCTCCCGGTGATGACGGCGTTGGGGTCCGCCTTGTGCTCGAGGAGTTGGGCAAGAACCGACGCATGTCCGGCCTCGCCCGCGGCCGTCAGTAGCGGCTTCACGTTCTCGATCGGCGCCGCTGCTGTCTGCTGTCCTGCCCGGTCCACGAAGCCAGCATCCATGAGGAGTTTCACAACGTCGAGGTGGCCGTTGGAGCAGGCGAGAGGGAGGGCCTCCAGTTCAGTTAAGGAAGTCTCGCTCACACCATCACCTGCGCCATGCTCCAGCAGCAGCTTCACGATCTCCGTCTGGCCCATCATGGCCGCGTTGGCGAGGGCAGAAACCGAGTACGAGTTGGTCGCGTGCACATCGACACCATTTCGGAGGGCGTTCAGCACAGCTTCTGTGTCTCCACGCGATGCTGCCTCGATGAACCGTTCGAGCGACGCGTCCACTGCCACACCAAAACTGAGGAGCAGCAGACGCGAGTCACGCTCGCCTTGCTCATCCCGCTGCACTGCGGCTCGGAAGGCAGTCATGCCCGTCTCGTCGGCAACGTGCGGATCTCCGCCTGCCTCGAGATACGTCCGCATCGTAGCAACATCACCGCGTTCGGTCGCACGCACGAACTCGTCGACGCTGATAGCCGACATACACCTTTGCTCAGCCGGCTCGCAGGACGCACGACCGCGCTGTGTGTCACACGGACGGACGACGACCTCTCCCCTGTTTAGGCGCATTCAACTGGTTCTCTCTCCCCCTCTCACGTGTCGACGACACGCTGTGCTGTAGCGTTGAGCATCAGGCCTGCCGATGAAACTCGCCAGGGTAGTCTCGACCAGTGCCCTCGTTGTTTCCACCGTTCTCCATCTTGGCGTCGTGCAGTCGGCTGGCGGACTATTTGATGCCACCAATGTGTTTGGATTCTTCGGTGTGACAGCTGAGAGGGCCCGGTCACTCACACGTGGATTCATGAGCGGAGGTGCGGAGCAAAAGGACATGATTGCCCTCGCGTACACAAGCATGCGTGGCGAATGTGCACAATTCATTGGCATGGGCTGCAGTTCGCTGTACTCCCTCTTATTCCTCCATCCTGGAACCGCCCAGGTGGCGGTGGTTCACTTTGCGCATACCTGCTGGGCAGCCATCGCTCTAGCGGTCAACTCACACTGCGCCGGACTGCTTACCTTCTGCCCGGCCGCCCCTGAGTACGACCCACAATCGCGTGCCAAGCTCAAGCCCTTCGTCCTCATGGTAGGGGCTCAGGGTATCCTCTACTCAAGCGCCTTCATCCTGTCCAAGGGCAACGCGGCCCCGTAGAAAGCTGACATCATCCTTGAACACTCTCCGTATGGTGCACGGAAGTACAACACTCTATACAAGTACGGTGTACGGCTTCGGGCTTTGAAAGGAGAAAGCCTTTCAGCTTTCTCTACGGCCTAGAGTATGTTAGGGAAAGCCGAAACGAGAACGCGGGGCCGCGCCAGGCTTTTGCCGTACTCGTACTCCGTAGACCGCGTACCACACAGCTCTGGGTCTCATTTCTTTCGTACTGGGCTGGGTTTTTAGGCATTGTGGGGTTGGCACTCCCATCGACCCTCATGACCTCCTGCGGTCTCTGAGATGGACACCAGTGGGTGTGGGACCACAGCAAGGATACACTCGAAGGCTGGGTAAGCAGTTTTTGTCACAGTTCCCGCTCTGAGAGGAGCTGCGGGTCAGTTCGACAGCTGGAGCTGTGTCGCCGGCGTGCGGCGGCCTGCCTCCGGAGGTGCCTCTGAGGTGGACATCTTTTGGTCACCGTGAGAGAACGCGTTCGAATTTTTACTCCGGAACTTCAACTCTGCACGCGCACCGGCCAGGGCTACAATAGTGCCAGTGAGGCGGAGCGCGAGTGATAGAGGGTCGACAGCGTCCTAATCTAAAATCTGAGGATTCAGGATTGAGGGCTTGCTTCAGTGAGGCCAAAGTGAGTTTATGGATGTGTGAGAACGGTGCGGGACACGAGGAGTCACGCGGACCGACTCGTCGGTGACTCTGCTCCACGCCGTTTCAGAATTTTTCTCAGCGTGAGCGAGACGTGGAAGAGTGCCACCGTCGGGTAGGACGGGTCGGCCCGGAGTATCAGAGTAGCCGTCGTGGTCGCGGCGAGCAGCGCCGGCCACTCCGGCGCCGCGTCGGCAACATGGGAGCATGTCCACCGCCACTTCGCGGTCGCAGCGCTGTTGTCGCCCAAAACGCCGCATGTACCTCTGGCGGGCCAAAGATCGACTCACATGTCGATTTCGACGCGACGGGCGCATGGAGGCATCACGTCTACAATCGCTGTGAACCCAGCCACGTATAAGCTATATTCCTATAACACTTAACACGTCGCTATAACAGAGAGGTGTTACAAAAAATCATCCGCGTCACCACACGATTACCCACCTAAGTATAAGCTATCGCATTGCTCTCCCTCCACTAGAGACTGAGGGAGAAGGCAGCCACTCGCACAGCACACAAATGCACTCCGCAGTGACACATCCAGCGTGACCATCAAGCCGCCGCGGCACCACACCTCGCAAACCCCGCCGCGACGGGCAGAGCGCGGTGTGGCGGGCGGGGCGGGTCAGAGGGGGGCAAATCTCCCTGCGTTCTGCGAGGAGACGAGCGTGTGACTGGCACGGCTGCCGCCGGCAGAGATGTCAACTCAAACGTCGGCGCGCTCGAGGACGAGCTTGATCGACTCGTACGTGGTCCAGCAGATGGCGACCGAAGGCGCGTGCGCGCTCATCCGCGCCGTCGCGCCGCGCAGGAAGCCGCGCGCCCCCTCCTCCGCCCAGATGGACTGCGCCGCGTGCCGCATGCCTTCGTAGGTGAGAGGCCTACGCGCCACAGAAAGAGAAAACGGGCGGTCGGCAGAGCGGGCAGCGGACAGCGGCGAGCTCCATCGACAGCAGAAGTGCCGGCGCGCGCACGGCAGCGCGCCGCCGCTGCCGGCGGCGCACGCGGCGGCGGCGTGCGCCGCTGCCGGCGGAGGGGCGGCGACGAGGGGCGCGGCGACGAGGTGCTGCGTCTGGAGGCGCGTCTTGACGACGTCGAGCGGGTTAGTGAGGCCGCCGGCGAGGGCACCTGGTGGTGATGGTGGTGGTGGTGGTGGGGGGGGCTGTGTGCGGCTTGAGTGGTTGAGTGGTGGTGGTGGTGGTGGCGGCGGCGGCGCTGGGTGTAGGTGTGGGGTGGAGTGAGGTGGAGGGCTCCCTCGCGGTCTGGGGAGGGGCGGGGAGGCGCGCGCCGGCGCCGGCGCCAGCCGCAAAGTACGCGCCCATGGACGGGTCTCCGTCGGGTGCAAAGAGCTGCCGGGAGGCGGTGAGGCGGTGAGGCGGTGAGGCGGTGAGGCGGTGAGGCGGTGAGGCGGTGAGGCGGTGAGGCGGTGAGGCGGTGAGGCGGTGAGGCGGTGAGGCGCGCGCAGGGCAAGGGGGGAGGGAGGGAGGGGCGGGGGGGGCTGTTGGGATGGGATGGTGGGGGCAGGAGGGAGGACCTGGCGCAAGCGCTCGTTTGCAGACCCCATCAGGAGTGCGTATGGCAGGTTCATCAGCAGCGTGGTCGGGTACGAGAGCCAAAAGGCGCGTGCGCCCTCCTGTAGGATGGGAGGGGCGCGAGGCGGAGAGGGTGGTGGGATCGGGGTGGGCGCGTGCGGGCGGAGACAGCGACCCCCCTCCCCCCCCTCCCTCTTCAGCCAGCGCCTAGCAGGTGCACCTGCTGGAGGATGGTGCACGCGCAAGCGTACACGCCGGGTGACCCGCCCGCAGAGAGCTGCATCCGCTGCTTGCACACGTCCATCGGCGTCATGATCAGGTCGTGGGCGATCGTGCCCAGCGCCACAGCCCCGCCCGCCGCCAGGGCCTGCGCGCTCTCCGCCGTCGCACTCGCCCCGCCGCCCGCCGCGCCGCCGCCCGCGCCGCCGCCTCGCCTCGCCGACAGGAAGGGGAGCGCGAGGCGGGCGAGGTGCGGCTTGGCGCCCTCGTCTGCGGGCGGGAGGGGAGGGAGTGAAGGCGGTTCGCGTGCGCGCCTGTCGAGCGCAGGGCCGGGAGTGAGCGCACAGATCGTGAAGTACGCCCCGTGCGCCGGGATGCAGCCGATAAACATTGTCTGGACGCCGCGCCAGAGCCGCATGCCTCCGTGGTTCCTCCACAGCCGTGCCGCCACGTCGATCGGCGTGAGCGGGGCCGCGGCGAGCACTGCAGTCTGCCCTCCGCGATGTGCGGCGAGCGGCAGCGTGCAGTGCTGCGGCCGCGCCTGCATCATCGTCTTGACTGTGTCGACCGGGAACATGACCGAGTGCTCCGCGAAGCCGGCGAATGAGCCCGCTAACGCATGCTGCGCGGCAACGACAGCGCAGGGCGCGTGAGGCGTGCGGTGGCGGGAAGCGCAGCACGGCTGGGCGACGTGAGGGACGACCTGCGCGAAGCTGCCCCGATCCGGATTCCACTCGTCAATCTCGTCGGCCGCCTCGGGACTCCAAGCAGACGTCGACGCAGCATCAGACGCCGAAGATGATGCGGGGGGTTTCATCACGCCGCCCGTGCCCCGATGCCTCTGCGCGGTCGGGGAGCTGCGCCGCGTTTCTTTTTAAGAAAGTTGCTTGAAATTCTTTTGATGTTTAAAATAATGTGAATGCTGGGCCGCGTGCGCCGCTCGTCGTCACGCCACTCGACCGTTAGCGGCGAATTCTTCTTGACCGCCGGTTAGCCCTCGGACGCCTCCGGGATTGATGTCGGATCCGATGTCGGACAGCCAGAGCCGAGACCAGCCCCGGCTCGAATCGTCGGCCGGGAGCGGGCCGAGCACCGATGAGCTGCCGCAGGATCTCACCCTCTTTGTGCGCTCTGCTGCGGCTGCCGGTTGGACTGAGAGGGCGCAAAGCCACACATACTGCTGTGCGGTCTCGACCGTAGGTGCAGAACCTGATGGAGCAGATGCAGTCGCGCTTCAACACCATGTCGGACCAGATCATCGGCCGAAGCGCGCCCTGGCAACCCAAGTGCGGCGCTGCCGACTGAGCGCCGCACTAACCCGCGCTCCCCACACCCGCAGTCGATGAGATGGGCACCCGGATCGACGAGCTGGAGAGCTCGATCGGCGAGCTGATGGCGCAGGTGCGTGCGCGCCGCGGACTCCGCGCGCGCGCGGCGTGCGCTGCACTCACGAACCGCGTCTGTAGGCGGGCATCAACGATGACGAGGCGGAGGAGGCGGCAGAGGCGCGGCCTGCGGATGGGCGTGGGCGGCCCGGCGCGACGCCGGGCCTCCCAGCTCCGCCAAAAGCGGGCGATCCATCGCCGAGCTGATGCGTAGCGGACGACAATAGAAATCAGGTGTGTCTGAGCATGGCTTCATGTGCAATAGTACATCGAAACTGACCGAGTCAGGTGCGTCCGCAACCCTCTCCAGCTCGCTGTGCTGTGTGTGCACAGACACCAGCGTGGTCTAGCCCACCTCTGACACACGGGCCGACACCACATGCTCGCCGGTTCTTTTACATGAAGTAGCCATAAGGGCGGAGAATAAACGGTAACCGCCCGAGCGACGACGCGGCACAGCCGGCACACAGACGGTTTTTCTGTGCGCAGCAACGAGCAAGTGGTTAGCGCGCAGACCGCAGCGAGCGAGCTCGGTGCGGGCTAGGGTGCGGGTCCGACAGAGTGGACTCCCAGTGCCGCACGTGATACCGACGTGTGGAGCTGACAGCTGTGTGTTCCGCGCACTTTCGTCGTGCCTCGGCCAGACGGCCACAGTGGAGCCTGCGCCACGACGCCGAACCCGCACGGAGAAGAGAGGAGCATGCTGCTGTGTTACCCCGCGACCCCGCCGACGCCGCTCACGCCTTGAGCATCGTCTCGAACTCCTCCGGGTCCGTGTCGGGCGGCACCTCGGTGACCAGGTTCTCCCTGCTGAAGTACACCTCGATCTGCTTCAGCACCTTCATCTCCTTCTCGTCGGCGATGAGGCTGAGCGCGCAGCCGGGCCGGCCGAACCGCCCCGTGCGGCCGACGCGGTGCAAGTACGTCTCCGGGTCGGCGCCGCCGCCCTTCTTGGTCGGCATGTCGAACCTGCGGCGCGGCGCTAGCGGGGTGGGGACAGAAATGTGCACCGAGGAGCGGAACAGCTGGGCAGGGGGTGGGGGAGGAGGCGGGCGGGAGCGGGAGCGAGGGGTGGGTTGGCGGTGGGGGGAGGTGCGGGAGGAGGCGCACTGTATGACGAGCGTGACGGCGGGCACGTCGACGCCGCGCGCGAGCACGTTGGTGGTGATGAGGAAGCGGGTGGTGCCCGCGCGAAAGTCGCTGAGCACCTGCTCGCGAAGATGCGAGTCGGACTGCTGTGAGGATGGCGAGACTGCAGGTCGTCGAGTCGGGCGGCACTTTGTCGCGCGCGCTCTCCTCCATCCGGCCGTGCAGCGAAGAGACCGTGTGCCTGGCAGTGCACTCCTCCTCAAGCACGCTTGGAGACTCGAGTCACGAAGAGGACGGGTGCGTGGGGCGTGTGCGTGGGGCGCAGCGCCACGCTGCGGCGAAGGCCAGGGGAGGCGGCGCAAGCCCGTGCCACATCTCGGCCACATCTCATCCGTGCCTCTTCCTTGCCTCTTCCTCGCCTCGGCCATCTCGGCTCAATCTCGGCGGAATCTCGCCCGTTCTGCTCGAGCATCGCGGCCACCCTCTCGACGGCGTCGCGCCTAGCTCACAAGCAGAGTCCGCGCTGAAGCCGGCTGCCGCCGCCGGGGGGAGACCCTCTCGCCTCGGCCGCGCGTGTGCACGAAGATGATGCACTGCCCGACGGTGACGACGTTGAGGATCTCGGCGAGCCGCTGCTCCTGTCACTCATCGCCAGCTGTGGTGAGCCACGCTTGTCTGTGGATTGCGGTCTCGGCTAGCCCGCTGCTCCTTCTCGCGCGTGCCCGCGGCGCGGTAGTACATCTGCCGCACCTGCAGAGAGCGGGGCGGCGGGACGCGGCGTGGAAGCGCCGCGGGGCGTGTCGCGGGCGGGTGCCCCCCCCCCTCCCCCCTCCCCCTCCTCCTCCTCCGCGCGCCTGGTCGTTGAAGATGAATGCGCGCTGCACTTCGATCTGCGACCACTCCCGGCCCGACACGGCCGACATCTGCTTAGCGAACTTCTTGACGGGCTCGGTCCACGTCGCCGAGAAGAAGAGCGTCTGCACCGCCTGCAGTTATGACTCACTATTCACCAACTGTTAAGTAACTGTGAATTAACGAGAGAAGAAGAGAGTCTGCACCGCCTGCAGTTATGACTCACTATTCACCAACTGTTAATTAACCATTTAGCGAGAGAAGAAGAGAGTGCTGCACTCGCCTTGGGCAACCGCTGCCGGATCCGCTTGGTCGTGTCGCCGAGTCCGCCCAACATCAGCATCTCGTCCGCCTGATGTTAATTAGCTGTTAATTAGCTGTTAATTAATCAACGTCAGCATCTCGTCCGCCTGCGGCGGTCGTCGCGCAAACGTGAGGCGCGCAGCAACCACGCCGCGGGGCAAAGGTGCCATGGCGCAGCAGCCGCCGGTTCCACCCAAGGCTGTCACGCCAAGGGCTGTCTGCTCTCTCTCCGTGCAGGGCAGAGGGCGGGCAGAGACCCTCCAGTCTGGCCATGCCCCCGCCTCCAGCTGGCCGTGGCTTCTCTTCTACTCCCCGCCGCCGCCGCCGCCCTCGTCGAGGAGAGAGAGCTCGCGCTTGCTCGGGTCCCCTCGTGCTCCTCTCGGCTCCTCTCGGCTCCTCTCTCGCCTCGTCGAGGACAAAGATCTTGAGCTGGTCTGTCCCGAGGACACGCATGTTGACAAGCGTCCACACCTTCACACACCGAGGGGCAAAGGAGGGTGGAGGATGCGTAGTGCGCCGGATGCGTGTGCCGACGTGCCCTGTGTGCCCGTGCGCCTGTGCGACTCGCCTGCCCGCGCTGCCTTCTCTCCCTCTCCCTCTCCCTCTCCCTCTCCCTCTCCCTCTCCCTCTCCCTCTCCCTCTCCCTCTCCCTCTCCCTCTCCCTCTCTCCGAACGCCTTTCCCGGCGTGCCAACCACGAGCTGCTCCTCCATCTTGGCGCCGGACTCGTACCGCTCCTCCCGCAGAATCACCTTGAGCCGGATGCCAGACTCGGCCAGCATGTGCTTCCCCATCTTCAGCACCTCCTCGCCTAGACACACGCCCACACCCACACGCTCTCGAGAGCGGCCCGCTTCACCTGCACCCTCGCTGCCACGCGCCGATCTGCTTCGCGAGCTCGCGCGTGGGCGAGAGGCAGAGCGCCTGCGGCCCAGGGTCGGCGACCACCGCCTTGAGCATCCCCAGCACGAAGCACGCCGTCTTGCCCGTGCCTGCGGCGAGGGAGGTGCAGCGGTGCAGCCGCGGGGCTGCAAGGAGCGAGCTGCTGCCGGGCGGATGCCGTTGTGCGACTGGGCCAGCAGTTCGCGCCCCGCCCAGATCTTGGGCAGCGAGGCGGCCTGGATCTTGGACGGCCGCACGAACTTCATCTCCTGCAGCCCCTTGAGCAGCAGCGGCGGCAGGCCTGGGGACGCGGCCGGACGTGCGTCGAGGCGCTCTCGTGCACGCCGCGGCGCTGGCGGCGCGGCGCACCGAGCTTCTCGTCGTCGAAGCTAGTGCATGTGACGCCGTACAGCGCGTCGGTGGGCGACGTCTTGTCGAGCACCGTGTCCGTCTCCGCCTCCTGCAGCCCGAGCGCCTCGGGCACGTCGATCTCCGTGTCGGCCGTCGCTTCGGGGTCGGCGAGGGCGTCGGCAAGCGAGTCGACGGCAGCGTCCGTCTTGGCATACTCCGCGGTGCTGACAGAGGCGGGCTCCACCATGTCGCGTCTCAGCGCCTCTCCCACCAGCAACTCGTCGGAGCGCTGTTTGCAGTGGAGGCCTACCCTGGTAAGAGAGAGAAACCAGTCTCGGCGCCCCGGCCCTGGGTGTGCGGTTGCCGACTGCACTCCAAGTGCTCCAAGTGCACCAGTCCTCGGGAAAGCCCATCCCCTGTGTGTGTGTCCCATCCCTCCCTTGGGTTGTCTGTTTTCTTTCTTTCTTTCTTTGTGTGGTGGCGGCGTGCGGCCCTCCCATCCCTCCCTTGGGTTGTCCGTTTTCTTTCTTTCTTTTAGCCCATCCCTCCCTTGGCTTGTCGGGTTTCTTTCTTTCTTTTACAGGAAAGGAAACCTTCTTTGTTTTTGTCTTTGAGAGAGTTGTGTTGAGAGATTGTTTTGTGTTTTGTGTTGTGAGAGAGATTTTTAGCAATACCAAACAACTCTTGTTTTGTTTGACGAGATTAGGAGCAGCAGGGACCCGAGGGACCATGTGGAAGACGGCTAGTGATAGTCCCCCATCGGGAGGACGACCCCGGCTAGTCGCCGACCACACCCACAAAGAACCCTGCACAAAGACCGCAGGGCGGGGACCTGTTCCTTTTTACCCATCTCCTAGTAGAGGTGTCCGTTTTATTTATTTATTTATTCTTGTTTTGTTTGTGTTGTTGTGGGGGCGCCGAGAACGCGAACAGAACGCCGACCCGGACGGGGTGCTATAAAGGGCCGCCCAGAATGCCATCCGGGCACGCTCGGTTGGCATCATCCTCGGGGATAAGGAGAAGCCCGAGGTGACGGGGGTCGTGGGGTGCAAGGAGCGTGGCCGTCAGGTGGACGGACCGCTCGACCACTCGACTCACGACCGGAAAGGGACGATGGGTCAAATAAGACCACGCTATGGAGACGGGTGGGTCAAGAAGAATGCAGGCTGGAAGTGGATGGGGGCCCAGTACTACGACGCGAATTGGGTCAAGAAAGCCATAACGCGGCTGGTGCTCGTGGAGACTTTGTTTGGGTGGCATTGCGCCGCCCACCAAACAGTTCCTCCACGTGTGTTCGCCAAGGAAGCGGTGGGCACCAACACGGACCGGACGGTGTATGGGGCGGCGTCGGCGAGCGCCTCCTCCTTCGTCGTCCACCACACGCAGCATATCTCCATCCATGGGCATGGCGGCGGTGGCGGGCGGCGACGCCGAAAACATCAACGAGCAGGCGCGCAATGCGCGTGCCGACTGGGTTAAATCCCCTAGGCGTGCCGAATGGGTCAACGACGTCAAGAACAAGCAAGCGGCAGACGTCCTCTTACCCTCGGCGCCAGTGGGGGGCGCCCCACACCGCCTTGCTCCACTTCACGTAAACACAACCCCGGCACCACTCACCCTTCAACATTCGCTGTAGGCGCCGAACGAGCAGCACGCCGACGACGGCTGAATGGGCTCGTTCACTCCAGGTGTCTCTGTGAGCGAGAGCTACTACTCGCTGCTCAGCGTCGAGCCGCACGCCACTCCCGACGAGATCCGAAAAGCGTACCGCAAGCTGGCGCTGCGATTCCATCCGGATAAGAATCCCGACGCGGGCGAAACCTTTCAGAAGATCTCGACGGCGTACGCAACGCTGTCCGACCCGCAGCGGCGGCAAGTGTACGACCGCTTCGGCGAGCAGGGCGTGCAGATCATGGAGCAGGCGGCCGCATACGGCGTGCCTCCCTGGCTGCTCAACCCGGCGGCACAGTCGGGGCTGCTCTGCGTGCTGTTGGTGGTTGTGGTAGGGCTGGTGGTGGTCTTCCCCGTCATCCTCACGATGCGCATCGATGGCGGCCTCGCCTGGCCCTGGCCCGCCGTCTTCACCCCCCTCTGGCTCGTCGACTTGCTCGTGCTTGCCCTCGCCGCCGCCAGCCCGCGCGACCGGGACGCCGGCTGCTGGCGGTGCGTCCCAAACCGCCGGCAAGTCAACCTGGCGCTGCTGCTCGCCTTTCAGCTGCTGCTCGCCTACAAGCTCGACGCGGGAGAGCAGGCGCGATCCGACCACCCGCGCCCCCCAACCGCCCTGCCACACACACACACACACACACTCGCGCCCGCCACTCGCCTCGCCTCGGCCTTGGCTGCTGCTGCCCCTGCAGGCGCCCTTCTCCTACTCCGAGGCGTTCCTCCCGCTCGAGATCTCAATCTTCCTCGGCGCGGTCGCGGAGCTCTGCATGCACGGACGGACTGCACTCGGACGAGGCCGAGGCGCATGCCGCACGCGTGCAGCAGGCGCATGCTGCCCGCGCGCAGGAGACCAGTCGAGCGCGTGTGTAGGCGGCGGGCAAGGCGCAGAGGGGGCAGACCGGGCGGCAGCCCAGCGGAGGCTGGTCTCCGTCGTGGCACGCTCCTCGCTGCAGCTCTCCTTCCTCGGTGCGCCTCCTCCGGGAGCACAGACTTCCTCTTCTCTCGTCTCGCCTGACCCTCGCCGCCTCCGCCACTCCGCCTCCGCCACTCCGCCTCCGCCACTCCGCGTCAGGCTTGCTCGGCTGCAGGGTGGACGACCTTCTGCCCGTCACCTGGTGGACGGTGCTGACGCCTCTCTGGCTCCTCCTCCTCCTCTACTGCCTCCGCGCCGCCGCCTCGTGCGCCTCGATCAAAGCAGCGGCGCGCCACCGCCACGGCGACGGAGAGGGAGGGAGGGGGAGGGAGGGAGGGAGGGGGAGGGAGGGAGGGAGGGAGGGAGGGAGGGAGGGAGGGAGGGAGGGCGAGGGAGGGAGAGGGAGGGAGGGAGGGAGAGGGAGGGAGGGAGGGAGGGAGGGAGAGGGAGGGGGGGAGGGCGAGGGAGGGAGGGAGGGCGAGGGAGGGAGGGAGGGAGGGGGGGAGGGCGAGGGAGGGTGGGTGGGTGGGAGGGAGGGCGGGAGGGAGAGAGAGGGCGAGGGAGGGAGAGGGAGGGAGGGAGAGGGAGGGCGAGGGAGGGAGAGGGAGGGTGGGTGGGAGGCCCTCGCCGTGAGCTGCGGTGTCGAGCTCCCCCTCCCCCTCCCTCTCTGCTGCTGCGCAGGCGCAGGAGGAGGAGCGTGTGGCGAGGCGCGTGCTCGCGGGACTGAGCTCCGCCGCCTCGCTGATCTGCTTCTTCTGCCTCCTCCTCCTCTCGCTCCGGCTGGCCGAGGGCGTCCCTCTCTCGGCCGCCCTCATCCTCACCCCCTTCCTTACCGTCGTCGGGCTCCTTCTCTGCTGCACCTGCACCTCATGCATCTGCGCCGGCGCCCTCCCTTCCGCCGACGAGGAGCATCACTACTCTCCTCGTCGTCACCACCACCATCACCACCACTGCCAGGCGTCCTCGTCTCCGCCGACGCCGACGGGGCTGCGGACGGGCTGGCCGCCGGGGACGCCTACCAGCGCCACTGTGATGAGGAGTCGGCGCAGTCGGACCCGTCCGCCGCCTCCGCGTCGGGCGTGCCGCCCGCCGCCGCCGCGCCTCGGGGCGGCCCTGCCGGCGGGGCGGGCGGCGGGGCGGCATTCTCGGCGGCGCCGGCGGCGGTGCCGCGGAACCGGGCGAGCGCGGAGGAGGAGGGGCTGGCCGAGGTGAGCATCGGGATCGACGACGTCGTCGACTTGGGCCACACCCTGCGCGGCGGCGGCGACGAGGGGGGCGGCGAGGCTGCAGGCCCTAGCGAGGAGGAGCTGCGCGGGATGGGGGTCCGCGCGCTCAAGCAGGAGATGGCGAGGCGCGGGCTGCGGCACAACCACCTGCTCGAAAAGTCGGAGCTCCTTGCGGCGCTGGGGGCGAGGCCCGCAGAGCCCGCGGAGCCGGCCGCCGCTCGCCAGTTCTCCCCCGCCTCCCCCCTCCACCTGATGGATTGAGGCGGTGGGAGGCGGTGGCCGGCGAGGCGCAGGCGCGGCTTGCTCGAGTACAGCTTATGGAGGAGTGGGCCCGTCCGCAGGGCGGGCGCTAGGGTGGCCATAGACCAGGGCTCGAGATCAGGGCGGTCGGCCGCCGCAAAACGAGAAGAGGCGTGGTGAGTGGTTTCGAGCGCGCGAGCGAGAGGGTCAGGGACACTCTCTGCGCAGACTTCGAGAGAGTTATGCGAGTTTTGTGCGCGTCGCGTGTACCGTAAAGATAGAGAAGAAAGAGACCTACCTTATGGCTCCATTTAGCGCCGCGCTAACCCGTCAAACCCGTACACAAATGTACGTCTCGGGACTCGGCTCTCTCGCGTCCCCCTTGCGCTTGGTCTATCGGGCCTGAGGCCTGTCACGTGTCAGCTGTCTCTGTCATGGTGGGAGGGAGCCGCGAACCAGACCGACGGAGAACCGTAGTGCGTAGAGAGCCACATCATGATCATCAGCACTCGAAGCCACCCACCACCCGCGGAGGGCTGCCCTCCTCCTCGCGCAGCGTCGGCACGGTCGGCAAAGCCGCCGCGTACGGCAATGGGCTCAGGGTGCGGATGGGCAGCCTGACGCCCCAGTCCGCGCACCACGGGTGGTCGAGTGACACATACGGAGGGAGGCAGAGCGGAGGCGAGGCGCGCTGGCTGGCGGCCTCCGCCTCGGCCGCCACCCCCTCGGCCTGTTCGCGGCGGTGCTCGCGCCCGCGCCGCACCGCCATGAGCGAGTAGGCGAGCCGGTCGATGTTTGACGAGAACTTGCCGATGAGGACGTCGCACGAGGCGAGCAGCAGCAGGTCGACCATCACGCTCGTCGCATCCTCGTGACCGTCGACGCTGCCTCCAGAGATCAGCTGCTCGATCTGCCGCACGCCGGCCCCTCCACCCCGCCGCCTGAGGGTCTGCCACTTTCGCCGCACCTGGAGGCGAGGAGGAGCGGGTGGGCGCTGGGAGCCGTCGGCGCGAGAGCCGAAGGCGCCCCTCCGCCAACGCCTCCTCATCGCTCCGCGTCAGCCAGACGATGCCGCCGCTCGTCCCCCCGCCGGCAGCTGCGCCGCCGCGGCGGCTCGTGCGGCCGCGCCGCGCCGCCGTGCCGAGCGAGCGCGCCTCCGCCGCCGCCGCCGCGTCGTCGGTGGCCAGGTACGCAAAGACTCGCCGCTTCCCGCCGTAGGCCGACACGACGGCCTGCACCGCGGCAGCGAAGGCGCTCAGAGGCTCGCACGTCCGGTTGTGGCGCGCGAGGGCCTCGGCGTCGCACGCGTCGCCGGCGCGGAGGTGGACTCCGATCAGCAGCGGCGGCGGGGCGCCCCTCCCTCCCCTCGCCGCTCGAGGCTCCGCCTCCGGCCAGCCGAGAGAGGAGCGCACCGCTCGCAGCCTCGCCGCGACCGAGCCCGAGGGGCGGAGCAGCGAGGCGAGGAGGAGAGAGACGAGGGCGAAGCGGCCAGCGGCGGCGATGTCGGCTCTCAGCGGCTCCGTGCCGGGCGGAGCCATCGCGAGCACCTCCTCGTGCGACACTACCTCCAGCCACCGGCCTCCGTGCGCCATGCCGCGCTGCGAGGTGCGGCTCTCTGCCGAGCAGTTGGTGAGGGGCTGAAGAAAGCACTCGAGGCTGGCGTTGGCGCAGGTGGTGGCGTTTCGAAACAGCTCGAGCGGCGCCGGCTCCGCGAGCCTCAGCCGGTGCTGCGCTCTACGCGAGCCGGAGCGCTCTGATAGCGCCTCGCCGAGCGGCGGCCGGCCATGAAGCAGCGCCCACAGGAGCTCTTTGACGAGCGAGTTGAGGGTGCTACCGAACCCTCCCTCCCGCACGACGAAGCGAAAGCCGCGCTCCTTGCACGCAGTCTGCTGTGGCCGAAGCCACGCGGCAATCGATGCGTCCAGCGCGGCGACTGCCGAGGCGACCGGGTCGTCAGCCTGTGGCGCCTCTGAGGAGCCGGGCCGCGGCAGAAAGGTGACTGCATTGTGCGTCAGCAGCGTCGTGTTTAGCGAGCTGGAGGGGAAGATGCACGGCACCATGGGCTCCTCGTGGAGGTGCCGGTGGCGCCGTCTCGCCACTGTGTGCATGTATGCCGGCCTGGCGAGTAGAGGCACGCGCACGCTTCTCGAGGTCTTTGGAGCCAGAGCCAACGCAAGAGAGCGATCGAAGAATTTTGCATGCCGAAGAAGATATCGACGACGCACACTCAAACACACGGACAGTCGGAGTGGTCACGCCGCAACTGCGACTTGTCTATTTGACCAGCTCTATGAAACTGCCACGCCACAACGACGCTTGTATATGCATCACTCGACGAGGCTGCAGCATCACCTTTGGAATCAGTGTGCTGTGTGGGAAGGTGCGCTGGCCAAGGGGAATCGTTGAGATCGAGGAGCGGGGCCACCTCCTTGAGGGATATGGCTGTGAAGAGACGAAGGCACCAGACAACCCAGTATAGAAAGAAATTCACCATGCGCAATTCATGCTTGCTAGAACACAGAACAGGCAGGTCGCAGGTCGGGACGCGGGTGGGATGGGCTGTGGTCAAGGAAAACGCATCCGAACTGGCAATCGCAGGAGCGGGGCCACCTCCTTGAGTGAGGTGTGAGAGGGCTCTGGTGTGAACGTTGTGTTCCAGTGTGTGACCCTGCCTCCCGGCTCCCGCTCCCGAGCTCTGGAGCATCGTGCACAAAATCTCGGAGCATTCCTGCGCGTTGACAACAAAGCAAAGAGATTTTTTGCAAAGCAGTGAGTGCCGTATCAGAGTTGAGAGAGAGGGAGGGAGGGAGGGAGGGAGGGAGAGGGAGGCCAGGCCAGGCAGGCCTCCCCGAGGGCCCAAGTCGAGAATTGAAATTCTTTGGCGGCAAGGATGACTCAGGTGTGGGTGTGAACGTGTGGACACAGAATGAAGAAAAGGTCGGATTCATGTAACGCTAAAAATGGACGTCCGCGCCGGTTTTGACCAAGTTGGTCCAAGTTGCACGCAGCACGCCGCGCCGGTCCGGTCCCACCGCACGTGCCGCTCGGTCACAACATTGCGGCTCTGCTGTCTCGATCACGTCGCGGCTCTGCTCGCGAGCCTGCAGCCTGCTCGCTGCCGGAGTTCAGCCTGAGGCGCACTGGCTGTCTACTGTCTGCACATGCGCGGTCCTCCTGTTGGCCGGCAGCTATGTGCCCTCTTGCCCGTGATTCTCTCTCCGATCCAGGCCGTCGTCGCGCCCTGGGACTGCACGACCTACCCCTACCCCATCCAGATCATTAAGGGCACCTCCGACGCCAACTATCGGACGATGCAGCTCAACTTCGCTGATGGAGATTTCACCGAGATCTGGCAGTGGACCGTGGACAGCGCAGAACAACCGACGGCGCAGCTGAATGCGCAGGGCTACAACACCAACGACGATATCGCGTACGGGCTCTTCTCCGACTCGACGTCTTCGGATCCGGACGTTGCGCCGGGGTACTTTTGCCGCTTCTCCGCCGTCCAAAACTCGGCGGAATGTCTCTGCCAGGCTCCTTACTGGGGAAACACGGCCACCATCACGAGCGATGGGACGTACTACCTCGCGAGAGAAGGCGGTCTTGAGGTCCAGAAGCTGCCGGACGTCCACAACATCGCCTACCCAGTCGGCAGCCCGGTCGCGGTCAGCTCTCTGAGCAGCTGCGGCTTCTCAAACGTCTTATCTGGCAGGGGCACAGGCGGAGTCATCGACATCACGGCCTGGGGCCTGACCGGAGCCGACATGGAGGCCGCCTATGGCCTCCCGACCGACTGCACCCAATGCTACATGACGACGGGTATCTGGACTGTAGACGTAGCTGGGACATCGACAGGAGTCATGCAAACGTGGAAGCCGGGCGGCCAAAACATGGCGGATTTCATCGACTTCGAGTACAATAGCATAAATTACCTGATCGGTCTGGGAACGTACGATGCGAGCGTCTGGATCATCAAGCTCGACGGCGCCGGGGATGTCACAGGCTACGCCTACAGCCGCGTCGTCGTCGACTACACCGCATCCACAAGCAGCAAACGCACGATGGGAGGGTTCGGTGCCGGTTATCGTTATGGCGACCGAATCTACGTGCGCGACCCCCCACACCCACACACCCACACCCACACCACCTACCAAACACACCACGCCGACACACGTGTCCCCCCCCCAAACACACAACGCCGACACACGTGTCCCCCCCCCCCCCCCCCTTCCCCCCCGCGCGCGCGACAGTTCTCCTCAAACACTGGATCCGGCATCTTCGAGGTGGAGTTGGCCTCGCTTCAGGCCGTTCTCGACCGTACCGGGGACGACGCGTGCGACTTCGGGAAAACGTCTGGCTCGCGCGTCTGCGCGGAAGTCAATTCGCTTGTCGCGGCGTCCCCAGTTCCCCTCCCCGTCACGCTCAAGTGGGTGGCACCCGCTGTCGCCCCCACCCAACTGAACGACGGCTTCAACTGCCCAGATGTCGTTGATCCCTTCACCTTGCCCCGCCCGCCCTCCCGACCGCCGCCCATCTTGCCGCCGCCCGCCTTCCCTTCGCCCGCCTTGCCGCCGACGCTGTGCTTCACGTACAGCGAAAGGGGGTCGGGCTTGTGCAGAGTCGGCACAGTGGCAGGGACCGACGCCGGTTGCGAGTGCTCCAGGTCCACAGGGGTTGGGTCCGTCAGCGACTGCGAGGCTGGATGCTCGGCTGACGCAGACTGCACGGGCTACGCGTACAACCCGACCGGTATTTGCCTGGTGTACACGCTGGCCTTAGACTTGCCATTTGGATCCGGCTTCACCTCGTACACGTGCTACGGCCGCGACCCGTGCCCGCCCTCGCCGCCGCCGCCCTCACCGCCGCCGCCTTCTCCACCTCCTCCATCGCCGCCGCCGCCCTCGCCGCCGCTGCCCTCACCACCGCCGCCATCACCACCGCCACCATCACCACCGCCACCATCACCACCGCTCCTCTCGCCCCCGCCGCCCTCCCCACCTCCTCCATCGCCGCCGCCGCCGTCACCACCGCCACCCTCGCCACCACCGCCCTCACCACCACCGCCGTCACCGCCGCCGCCTTCTCCACCTCCTCCATCGTCGTCGCCGCCGTCACCACCGCCACCCTCGCCACCACCGCCCTCACCACCACCGCCGTCACCGCCGCCGCCTTCGCCACCTCCTCCATCGCCGTCGCCACCACCGCCGTCACCGCCGCCACCCTCGCCACCACCGCCCTCCCCACCTCCTCCATCGCCGCCGCCGCCGTCACCACCGCCACCCTCGCCACCACCGCCCTCACCACCACCGCCGTCACCGCCGCCGCCTTCTCCACCTCCTCCATCGCCGTCGCCACCGCCGCCATCACCGCCGCCACCCTCGCCACCGCCGCCGTCACCACCATCGCCATCACCGCCGCCGCCTTCGCCACCTCCTCCATCGCCGCCGCCCCCGTAGACGCCGCCACCCTCGCCACCGCCGCCATCACCACCGCCGCCATCACCACCGCCGCCATCACCACCGCCACCATCACCACCGCTCCTCTCGCCCCCGCCGCCCTCCCCACCTCCTCCATCGCCGCCGCCGCCGTCACCACCGCCACCCTCGCCACCACCGCCCTCACCACCACCGCCGTCACCGCCGCCACCTTCTCCACCTCCTCCATCGCCGTCGCCACCACCGCCGTCACCGCCGCCACCCTCGCCCCCGCCGCCCTCACCACCTCCTCCATCGCCGCCGCCGCCGTCACCACCGCCACCCTCGCCACCACCGCCATCACCACCACCGCCGTCACCGCCGCCGCCTTCTCCACCTCCTCCATCGCCGTCGCCACCACCGCCGTCACCGCCGCCACCGTCGCCACCGCCACCGTCACCACCTCCGCCATCGCCGCCGCCGGCGTCACCACCGCCGCCGTCGCCGTCGCCACCACCGCCACCACCGCCGACGCCGCCGCCGCCTTAGCCACCTCCCCCATCGCCGCCTGCGTCGTCCCCACCTCCGCCGTCGCCGCCGCCACAGCCGCCGCCACCGCCACCGTCACCACCGCCACCATCGTCACCACCGCCTTCACCGCCGCCGCCATCTCCACCTCCTGCAAGGGCGCCCCCACCGTCGCCTCCACCAGCCATCGCGG